ATTGATACATTTATTGAAATATTCTGCCAAAATGTTGTCACATTTTATACCTGAGAGTTTTAGACGAAAAGCTTCAGTATGCCTTCAAATGTTTGTTTTTTACAAGCCATTTTCAAATTATGTACCGCCAAAAAATTGATTAATAGAATACCCAAATTGTCATTTTGTCATTTTGATTTATGCATTAAATGATTTGAAACGGGCTTTAATCCAAATTGGTACGTTGATTTTAGAAACAGAAAGCTAATGTGTCTCAGAAGCGCTTAAACGCCAAGAAGCTTGTTTCAATCGTTCACATCAGCTTTTTCGAGAAAATTTCAAAAATGTACAACACACTTTGTGATAAACTGAAGTACCCTGTGTCCGAACCTCCTTAAGCCCTGACCAAAAGTTGCAACGTTAATTGAACAAATGGTGCACAGACTAGCACGCCTAAATTAATAGATGGCCATGCAATGCAACATTCTGTGTTTGTTCGTTTCGTGGAGCATTGCATCGGAAAAATGTTGCACGACCCCGACAAAAAGATGTAGCAAAATGTCATTGTTTAGCCAAGGCTTCTCTTCCTTCTTCAACCTTTTTCTCCTTTCACCACTTCCTCCCTTCTAAACTCCCTCCCTTTAGCTCATTCACATTTTATCTCTCAATCTTCAAACCCATCTCTCCTTTTTCATCTCCTCTCTCTATTTTTTCTACAAACACCTTTTTTCTATTCGTCCTCACTCAATCCCTGCAAAAGGGCAGTACGATTTATAGTTGCGTGATTTGCCACCTACAATAATGAGTTTATTTTCTGGTGGTTCGTACTTCACATTGTTGATGCTTATAAGGCCATGATAAAATTTCTTTTAAGTCAATCTCATTGACTTTTAATCCACAGCAGAAACAAAAATAGAAAAGAAGTATTTAAGGATCAAGTCAGTTTACTTGGATACCTATTCAGCTGTCTCTTACTGTGAGATATTTAAATACTTGAGCAAGGAAATTTTATCGGTCAAGCCAAGATACCGAGAAATGTTTGAGGTAAGATATCTTGGCACTTTGTGTAGCTGCCACGAAAACAGCTACCCCAGACCACCCAACATTGTAGGTTAAACAGAGGAGCATATTATGTGACACCTGGAGAGGACCATAGCAACCACAATGTTTTGTCACTTGAATAGGACGAGATGCAAACATTTAACCAACTTTCATTATCCAATACACTAAATTTCTAAGACCCTGGCGGCAGTTTTAAATCCAAATGTGGTCATTTATTCTCCATTTACCGAATAAACCGACAAATTGTTTTCATTTGTTTTTCAACTGTGTTTGGTTTATATCTATTTTATTCCTAATACATGTCGCTAAGGATCAAGAGCCAGTGAAGAGGGTCGCAATGTCAAAACTCTTTAAAGCAAAAGATCTCTAAATCCTTTAAAATAGGAGAAAACAAAGATGTGTACAAGCAGCGGCTCTGTGGTGATTGGATGAGCTGTAATCACGTTTGTAACAGTGAATGCTTTAGAATCAAAAGAAGCCTTTTAGAATGAGCTCCACTTCTGTTCAATAACAACAACATTTCGAAAGAGCATAGTTTTGCCTGCGCATGATCCAGCTTAATAACGTTGATCAAAATTAGTCCACAGCAAAGTCATTAAGGTGTTAGTAGTCCAAATCTGTTTACGATTAGTATGTTCTATGGTTTTTTAATGGGGTTTGCGCCCTATCATGGAAAAACTTTCAAACCGAAGACTTACTTAAACCATTATAAATGAGACATGAGACCTTCTTTGTTCGCTATCCTTTAATCTATTCACTTAGCAAAAATGATAAAGGTCAGTTTGAAATGCTTCGTTTCAAAATCTGTTTAATATCCTAACTGTGAGGCGTCGTGCTTTTCAGAATGAAACTGACGATACTAGATATCACGGCGACTCGATATCTAGGTCACATCCATATTTGCAAGAGCTATTCAGATGCCTCCTTCATTAATGTAACCTACAATATTTCTAAGTAAACCTATAACATTTGCTGAAAAAGGTGATAAACATTGCTAACAAAAATCACCAAGAAGTTTTGAAAGACCCAATGAATAGCGGCACATTTACTACAGCATTACGAAACTACATGCATCGAAACTTAAATATGGCCTTAAATATGTGACAGCTGCTGCCCAATCATTTAGGGATTTTTAAACGTATTTTGGTTGGCTGCTCAAGCCCAGGCCCCGAGTCAAAAGTTTTTGGCGCTAAAACGCTTATCGTATCTTGTTGTGGCAGCGAAATACGTTCCATAGCAGATTTGGGAGAATATTCTTTAAAAAATAGTGTTCAGGTAACAGAAAAAATTGTGGGATTTTGGGCTTTTGAAGAATAGGAAACAACATTGGCAGATTTCAATCACTAGAAGTTATTGTTATAATATTTGTTTTATGAAAAAAGTCTGTTTTCACAGATTTGAAATTTTTCGATACGTGGCCAAAAGTTTATATTTTGTTAAATTTTCTTTGAAACTAGAGGCCTTTTTAATAAAAATCAAAGTAGAAACGCAAACTGTTTGCTAAAGAACATATCCTTACAATGATAGTCATCTTGATAACGAGTACATGCTCGAAACGTCGTGTTTTTTAACAACCAAACTAATATATTTTCATTCTGGTACTAAATTTATTTGCTAACTATATTATCGTTATTCTGGATGAAGTAAATATCCTTACCATGGTTTGCTAAGGTTAAAGAAAGAAAGCAATTCAAAATCTATCCACAAACTTTTTATAATTCACAAAGCTAGTATAGAGTGCTATATCTTTGCCTGAACATAAACACAAATGTTTCTGATTTAGAGTATAAAGCAGTAAACTTTTCAAAATCGGAGATAAGCAAGCGGAAATCTTTAAACACGCGGCATCCAGGCAATGTGGATTTTAATTCGAATCAACCAGCCAAATTAATCCTTAAATGGGCATAAATAAAGGCAGATAACTCGCCTCCTTGGCCATATTAATTTTGCTGAATGTACCGTCCCATTAAGTGGTTTCTGAATTATCATAAACCAGTTAAGCATGTGATGAAACCGACTGGCTTAATAACAAAAAATTGTCTTAAAAATTTCAATCAAGGAAAGGTGCGGCTAAAATTCAAAGTTATTTCTATCGTGAAACAGCTGGGCCTTTAATGTATGTTTGAAAGTTACATTTTGATTGTCTCATAAATGAACAGGCACCTAGATATCTGTCCGTTAAGTGGAGGTGTCCGTTGATGCGAGAAATCCGTCAAAATGGTTACAGGAAAATTAACATGATGAAAGAGGCATATGCAGAGATAAGAGACAGTCGAATTCGTTTTAGTGGTTCATTACTCTCACAGTTCCGTAATGTAACCATAGGTTTTTTTATCAAACCTTGAAAAGCAGGTGCGTGTGACCATGTATCACTCATATCATTCAGTATTTTCAAAAAGTTGACATAAAATCCTTAAAAATGGGTATCCCGTACCCCGTAAAACGCCTGCATATTACTAGGATATAAAAGACTTTGCTGCAAAGATTGAGTGTTGCCTGTGTACAATTCACGACCACACTATAATAACAGCGAGGCTCTATTTGCCAGAAAAAGAACGACGTAAAACATACTCAGCCTTCTACAAAATCTTAGAAGGAAAGACATCGCTTATTGATACAAAAATAAAGCAGACTTTCTCAGCAGATCTAGGGTCTTAGCAAAAAACTATGCAAAACTGTTATTCCGAGAGTCAATTCACGCAAATAGCGCACGGGATTTCCACCATAGTGAGAGGATTTCTACGGATTTTTTGATAAATTATAGGATTTCCACCAAAGGTGTACGTGTTTTGGCGATGATATTGAAATAAAAAATGACTAAATACGAACACTATAGTCTAGCTTCGATCGATTGTAACCTTTTTAGTAACGGCTTGAATTTCAAATGTTGCAATCAGGGCATGAACAGAGCATGCGCATTAGTGCTTTACAGCTCGTTTACTATACAGAACATCTGAGCCTCAAATTAAAAAAAAATAAGAAATTCGAGTATAGAAGGTAGAGAACATCGATGGTATATTAGAATACTAATTGTCATTTAAAATTATAACATGTCCCTTCATTTACAACCCTTTATGTCTCTTCATTCATATTCAAGACTTCATTTTCACGTATATCAAACATCTAATTGGAGATGCTTATGAAATGGCATGAACTCGCAGGGGATATTTGGGCCTATTTTCGGAAATTTGAAAAACATTAGCGCATCAACATCAAAATAAGCAAATTTTTCGGAATATGATACTCGAAAAACGCAACAATCAAACAAGAAGTTGGAAATCATGGTCCCAAGTAACATTTGCTTAACACCTAAACATTACTTGCGTTGTGAAATGTTGGTTGGCAAAATACTCTTTTATGTGGGATGTAATCTATATAATTGGCTTTTCCAATTGTAGACTGAGTCTTTTTAAGCATGGAGCACCGTTGAATTTCGCCCACGTTCGTTAACCATCGATAAATTTTGCTTTCAGTAGAACTACCCGTTTATCAGTAATTAACTGATCAACTATTTGTCCAGTCACCAATTAAGTCATCAAAGAGCAAGCACCACGAGCTTGCAACCACTGAAATTTAAGCCGTTACTAAAAAAGTTACAATCGATCGAGGCGGGACAGTGCTGGTCTAACTTGAAGAGCCATAGTGTGAACGAAATCAAACAGGATCTTAAATTGCATTAGACAATAGCATAACTCCAATCACTGCCAACAGTCTGAGTAGACTACACTGAACTTCATGGGATCCCCCTCTCCCCTCCAAAAGATGCTATCTTATGCAATGTTGAAAGGAAAAGTCAATCCGATATCGTGTGAACGACACGAATTCACGTGCCGGATTGAGTCAGAGAATGCAATACAATTAATCTGGTATCATGCAAAAAGAGACAAAGACATGATATCTAAACTGAACCAAATTTAGTCATTTTGCCCCTTCCCCGTGACAAAAATAACACTGCATACCTGTATCAGATTGTATTCCCTTGAGTCTTCAAACGCTGGCAACATTTCCTGGTACTTTGTTACGGCATTCTGAGCTTTCTCCATATCGATACACATGTTGCACAATGCTGCTCTGAAAAAATACTCCCTTACACTGTATTTGAGCAAGGAACTTTCAAGTGAGGTAGCAGCGACCTGAAATTTTAAAATTAAGGAATTATCAATCAACTGATAACGTACTTTCTCCCGAGATTAGCTTCGGAAAGTGATTCTACATCCAATTATTTAAATTTACCATTTCTTCTAATTTTTCTATTTAAGCAGTAGCCTCTATATATTTCGATCTGAACAAGCTATCCCCAAGGAGTGCACTACACACAGGGCCGTCGCTAGCTTTTGTCTACGAAGGGGTGCCCCGACGAAGCACACCCCTCCCATACTCCCTCGTAGCGGCAGCCTTTGTGTACCCTTTAATACTTCTGTGTTAAGGTCGATGGGTAACCGGGCCAATTATTCTCCCAATGGCATCATCATTTTAATTATGCTCTTATTAAATGGTACTTTTTTGGATTGTGTAAATAAAGCTAGATTATCTTAATTTAACATTTTCGTTTGTTCGTCTAACATCTATGAGCTATCTGACTTGATCAATACTCGTGTCACGTGACTGAACTATGATCCAGCGTTTAGGAGTCGAATGAATGATCCCGTGAAGAGAAAAAAAGCACAGGTCACAAAACTGAGGCTCTGGCAACATATCCGTGATTATACTCAAAGAAACACTAATTTCGCCTGTTTTCCTTTTAAGCCTTGGGTGGGCGGAAGACCATGTGGAATATAAATGCAGAAACATTCTACGTGACAAATAACAGAACTAGTTTTTCTGATGGCAGTTAAGTTTTCTCTGTTAAGTCGAATCTACAGTGCTACAAGAATAGCTCCAAACATAGCTATGCATATAATCCATACACGCTGGCTTCTCTCATAAATAAGTAATAGGTTGTGATTTTGAACAGATTATACGTTATCAGTTGCCACGTGCATATCAGGCCCATTCAAAAACTGATCGAAATCTCCTTCAAACCAACATTTCACTAGTCACGTGGATGTATGTTTTGCCTTTCGCAACAATGCCCGTGGGTATCATCATTTTTTGAGTTTGCGCTGGCAGGTAGGCATCTCAATATTTTATTTCAGTATCAGAAAGATTTTCATTCAAACATTTTGTTGGAAAAACAACAATTACGTCAAGGCTTAGACAAGGCCTTTAATTGGTGACGTAAAGGTCAATTGATTTCAATAAAAGCCATGGATGTGCTATATTAAGGTACTGCGGAATAAATAGCCTGTCCAACGTTCAGGTCAAACGAACCTTAATCAAATATACAAAAGGGAAATGTTGTTTGCAATGCTAGGCGTATTGATCAGTTCATTTGGTTCATTCAACATTTTCAAACTAATGTTTGATGAAGTTTGATTGAGATCGAGGAAAAATTTTTCTTTCAGATCAAATTTTGCTATCAGATGTGGGATGGTTTGACCAGTTTTATGGGGTAATCCAGCAAACTGATTATTGATGAAATTTTTTTGAAGTCAAATGGGTAATCCGCAACCTTCCTCCAGACGAAATTTTGCCCTAGTTGCCTTTCTGAAAATTCTCCTTGTATCTTTTGAATAAAAGTTTCTTAGAAATGGAACTGAAGTAAAACCCTATATAGATTGATATTTGTGCTGTGCCAGGAAAAAAGAAATGCTCCAGCACAACGGTATATTCTTGTCACTTAATATACTCCTATCAAGTTATGCCTTGGCCTTCCTCAAAACTACTGCATCGTTGGATAACCTTCCTCCGGCTCACTATCGTGGAACCGAAATGTTTTCTGGACACTGGAGAAAAATATGTTAATTGCATAGTATTACTGTTATTTATAAATTATGTTTATTTTAAATGTATTTTTTGTCATTTTGTATGTTGAGGTATTTTGAAATTAAATAACTGAACTGAACTGAACTGAACTGATTCTCTCCATAAAAATGAAGGCAATAAATGCACCGTTTATCCTTTCACGTTATTCTCAATAATGCAAAATTATTGAAATAACAGTCCAAATTTTCGTCATTGTTAGAAGTTTTGTACACCGAGAAATATCAAAGGAAAAATCATGAAAATATGCAGTACAAAGGTTAAATTTGTTATGTCAAGATGAATCAACGGGGCAGGGCCGAGCAGTAGCAATTATCGCCTCGTTGAAACCCCCTTTTCGAATTTTCACAACAAAGCTTCTGCCGTTAGGCCAGTTTCTCTGAACAAATTAGCCACAGTTTGAATAAAAACACAAACACCAACTTGTTTACTCAGAATCCTGGAAACCATGATAATTTCAAATGAAGTGCCTGGCTTGGCAGATCCCTTTTCAATTAAGAATTTACCTGCTTAAGAAAAGATGATTCGTGCTTCCAGTAAATATGTACCGATAAATATATGTGTGTTAACTGATCAAACGATTTCACACAGGGTACCTATTCTCGGGTGTGTAGAGGGAGATAAATGGTCATTAAAACATAGTGCTAGCACAAATTTTGAGAAGTTTGTTCATTGTCCCGAGGCTATATAACATGAAACCGAGGTGCGATGATGGTTACTGATAAGACGAGTGACTTTCATTATTGAACATAGACCTCGATCAGGGCAACATAGGGGGGATGATTCAGGCAATCAAATTCGTAAATTTTAGAAAGCGCTGTCTAATATGATAAAGCGGTTTGTATCGAAAAATTAATTGGCAATAAAGTGTAGATACTTTTGCTAAATATGCAATAAATTCCCTACATGAAATCCAAATAAGAACATTACGGGAAATTTATATGCATTTTCGGAGTATAGATTTAAACATAATTTCAAAAGGAAATTACAACGAGTTGCGTGCATTAGTGTATTTAGAAAAACTAGTATAATATTTCATACTGGTTTCGTCGAGAAACACGGAAAGAGACAAAGGAAGAAAGAAGATTGAAAACCTAAAGAGATTTTTCCTTACCTCTTCGTAAATTGAAATTGCTTTTGCAAAGTTCTCCAACTGTGCAGAATAGAGAGCAACTTTTAGCAAACATTTATTTCCACTGCTGCAAAACAAAAAGATAATCAGTTAATACATGGGAACATAGAGGTATTGGAATAGAAGTGTAAATGAAAAGAGAAATGCTAGATGAATAAAAAAATTCAAGTAAGCATGCTCGAGATGAAGAGTCTTGAAATGATAAAGTGAAGAAAAAAATTGGGATGAATATATAAGAAGAAAATAGGCAAAATAGAAAAAGAGAAAGAGGTGGAGGAAACAAAAGACAGAGAAGGAGAAGAACACAAAAAAAGTGCACAAAGGTGTAAATATGGGGGAAATTCAAATCGGTATAATCATAAAAGTTAAGGGACATGAAGCTTGCAAAGAAGAATGGACACTAAAAGCTTAATAAAGCCAGGGCAAATTATCAAGATACTATTCATGGTTAGAATAAAAAAACAATTGTATATATCCTTTTTTATCGGTTGTAATATTGAATGACAAAATACCAGATTATGTATTTTTGTATACGTGCGGTTGATGCTAGAACGCTAAGAGTTTGGCTCTCCCATGTAAAAGCTTTGTTAAATCACATGATCAAAAGCCATAATGGGTCAAAGGTCATTAGTTCGTAGGTCAGTGGATCATAGGTCAAGCTATCTATCAATAATTTTCAGAGGCCAATTGGGAGGTGTTATGGTAATTGAAGTAGTGGAAAGCTAAATATGGTGTCAATGACAAGTGTTTAATTTTGATTATTGAAGTGGCTAAGATTAAATGGTGAAAGTGGAAAATGCTTGCTAGATAAAAATAAAGAAATAAAAATCTGCTAAGAAAATTCGAAATATCAGGATGCTATGAAGGTGATAGATTTTTCATTTTGCCGTCGGTATTGAAAAGAAAAAGCTAAATTTTATGACAACAAACATCCCAACGCGTGTACTTGAATAAAGAAATCATCGGCAAAAACCATGACATAAACAAACATAAATGTAAGGTGTAAAATAACTTAAAGATATGATACGAACCTGCTGGAGCCTTCGCCTTTGTAAAAATCAGCTGCAGTTTCATAATGATGAATCGCCTAGAATGGTAAATACAAGATATGTTAAGAAAAACGGTTATTAGAAACATTTAGATCAAGCATGACTACGAGTTTCACTACAAAAAATCAACCCACGTGTTAGCAATATATAAAGTTGAAAAATTATACTTGGTTAAGGCTCAACTTTTGTGACAAAAATTAAATTTCTCCATTCTAAGAAAATTTCCTCAAACTAAGGATTTTTAAGGAATGTTTGAAAGAATTTCAGTTGGTAAGTAACCTTGGGAAATTTTCATAATTTCTATAATAAAATATTGTCTAGTTCAAACCAAACAGAACATCAAATAAAAAAAATAGAGAGAAAAAAGCATACGAGTCATCAAATAGATCTTTGAAAACAGTAATATTTATCTGTACAAAAAATTTTTGTTGCTGTCTCTTTGCATCACGGTCATTCGCATTGCTTTTCACTCCGTGGATCAGACGCTTTCATTGTCTGACTGTGATAAAATTGGTTGCTAAAATGTTCTTATAAACAAATTGTTCTTGAAGCTGGCTTTATTCAAAAACTTGGCTTACTTAAAAACTAAACTTTTACTGGACATTAATTTTGGACAATGCTCAGTGAAATGCGGAGACGGTGGCTTTGCAAAAGCTTTCCTATGCAGCCATGACCCGCGAACATCTGCCAAAAATATCCATATACAAGTGGCAAAATGTTTTGACGTAGATAAATGATCTGGCTTTCACTTTAATGGGTACCGCTGTTCGAATTGATTTTAAAAATATCATTAACAAAAAGGCAAGTTTTCATAAACAAATTGAATTTTTCCAACATCTGAGGAAATTTTCGTGCCAATTTAAGAAAATTTACATAAAGTAGAGTGAGAACACTTGAAAGGACGTTTCAGAAGAAAAATATTGACGCTGATAAAACGATATTACAAAGAGCAGTCACGCTAAGGTAAGTTGTTTATGTGCACGATTCGACAAGACAAAGATCTGAATAGAGATGTTCCAAATGAAGCGAATAAATTGATTCGAACACGACCATAAATTTTTAGGCCTTAAATCTTCAACAGGGTTATTTTGAAAGGCTAGATGAAACCTGATAGCAGCAGCTCACCTGATTATACTGAAAAAAGTTCACATAAACTAGTACACGAAAACTAGAATTTTGTAGTTAAATCGCTGAAATGGGGCGATGAAGGAAATGAAAACAAAATTTTACAAATAAGCTCAGCCATGACAAAATTTAGCAATGAAATTTATTTTTCAATATTCCTTGAGTTCAGTTCCAAATTTTGCCAAAAAGAATTTAATTCTTAACTTCTCCAACAGAATATTTTGCAACAGAAAAGTTAAATTGATTTGTAAGGTCATTTTTCTGGGATAATTTTGTCGAGAAGATATATACCTCAGAAGATACCAGTGACAAGTAGTTCAAAGCGCCTGCTCCTTTAGACTTGACATCAAAACAGAGATATAATTTTGAACAGAGCTGTTGAGACAAACCCCTAAATAGGTGCCTGGCAGCATGCATGTATACCTCCTCTCCTCCCTCATTCAAAGTTAGAATGTAGGTATTTTAGTGGCAGAGGAATCGATATTGAACTAGAAGGAGGGGTGTCAAATCTGAACACTTCCTGTCTGGAATTGTGGATAACAGAAAAATACCTGACAATATGACAACTATGGCTAACCTTCTAATCATTTTATTGCGTATCTTTAGGCAGTAATTAGGACAATGACATGATTTCCATTACTGGAAAAAACTACATTCCATAATTCCATTATTATTAATCCCATTCAATTTTCTGACTTTCCATTGTTTCTGGGTCGCTTTGAGACTGCACATAAGCCAATTCGATCGTTGGATTTTACGTGAACTCAAAGCACATCTACTTTGAGCTTTAAGATATCCCCCTCTCTTTGAATTAGTTTGAAGATACAATGGATATTTCTACTACTTTTTCCGGCCTTACAGCATCTCTACCACTCTAATCTACAAGCCAAACTAGGTGTGAAACTGTAAATCCGGCAAAGACAGAAAAATTTTACTTTTCCGCTTTCTTATTAAACGATTTCACGAGAAAAGATCAAGTGTGCACCCATGCCAACGCATCCCATTTGGTTCCGTTACAGTAAAACAGAAACAGGAGTCAAATGAAAAATTCACAGCACTTGCCTTCTCTAAATCCATGATATTGGTTTCGTAAATTTCTGCCATCGTAGTATGATGCTTCGCAGCCATTGTGAATCGCCCCTAGAAACAGGAGACGTCTGATTAGAAACCATAGAAACAGACATTAACAGAAGGAAAAAAACCAGGCAACCTCCGTAGGAAAGATTCCCTAAACTTGGGGAAAGAGAAATCCGTACGGGGTAGCGGAAACCTGCAGGATAATGATTACCAACATAAAAAATGTAGGAGATCTCCTACTACAGTCAATAAAAAACTGGGAACTCAATGACTGAAGCAAAAATAGGGAACATGAAGGCTAAACAACTAACTAAACTTGAATCTAAAAGGCAACCAGGAAATGAAAAATAAGAAAACAAATACTCCAAATAAAACAAGCAAACTTTACAAACTCTGTTACAGCCCTTACGTCATCCCGATCGGTGTAATTAAAAGGCAACGCGACTTCCCAACTCCCAACATAACGAAAGCAGGGCGATGGCGTTCTAAAGTCTATCAAAAATCTAGCCCCTGATATATAAATTAAATATTCACAAAAAAGTAACAAGATACATTGTGTTAGCTATGAAAGCCTAATTCGGATCGAAAGCAGTCAAAGAAAAGAACAAAGAATAAGGGGAAGTCATTTTCGTTTAAAAAAGAATAATAGGTATAAATTAGAATAAGTTATTAGAATATAAGAATAAATTAGAAAATAATAAATAATTGTTTTTACAGTTGGCAAGGAGATCTAGCTATGCAATAAGCTTATTAAAGCCCACGTTTTACTATATGCATAAATATATATATATAAAGTTTATTATTAGAAAAAAACCTAAAGTACCATAGAAGGTTTATACAATCTTAACATGCCATCAAAGATATCTGCAGATTTTGCGTTTCGTTTAAACATATGCAGTGATTTGGAGTTCTCAATTTCTAAAAGTAACCTTTGCTTTAATTTTTTGTCACCAAACTTAATGGCCTATGTGCCAAATGTTGCTAAATAATGTTGCTGTCAGTTAGAGGTTCATATTATCTGTTTTACTCATAAAAATGGATATTAACGTTTAGTCAGGATATTAACGGTTTTTTATATCTGGATCAAAAGCAGCTGTAAATTTTTATAATTTATGATTTATTATTTCGCAATTAAATATATACAAATTATAATAAAACCCTACTATATTCTGAATTTAGTTTAGTTAAAGATTGACATCCACGATAAAAATACCATATGGTTACACCTATTTACAATTGCGCAAGATATCTTTAAAGTTGCTCAAGGGAGATGTCCGTTTACACTCAGTTCAGAGGCCAGTTCAAGACCTGGACATTTTGACAGGGGTCTCCAGTTTTTTCGCTATATGCTTTAGGCTTGTAAACAAAATGTATGTGAAATGTATGCGATATGCATAGTAAACATTTCTCACTGCATTTTGTACACAAGTAAAATATACTTATCAGGCTACAAAGACTTACGAAATGTAAACTGTCATAAACAAATCGATAGAAAGAAACGTAAAGAGATTGCATCCAAAACCTTAAGCTAATAAAATTTATTCAAGCAAGTGAAATTTTATTTTACAAATTAATTTTGCAAAATTTTTCAGAAAAGTTGAAGATGTGTTTGGCGAAAATAATACCCATCGAATATTTTCTCAGGCAAAATTTTCCATGGGGGAAATATTGTAACCTACTAATGATAAAATCTTAATAAACTCTTGATAACTTTAACTTTTGAAAAGTATCAAAAATTTGCAGTCGCAAAAATAGTCCAAAACCTGAAAAATGATTTGACGGTCAAAACTGCAAAAATGAATTTTTTAAAACTTTATATATACACATGAAGAAAGTATAATTAGGGTTATATGATCTAATAGTTTTCGTACCATGTCTGTGAAAATTTCAATGGCTCTCTGTAGACAGTTGATTGCCTCTGTTGAAAAACGATACATAGAAATTAATGATGAATAACCAAGTACTACTACAGTATATAGTTGAAACTGTGGGAAAGTTTTGGGGTGGGCCTGGATACTCCAAATGACAAACACAATTTCCAAATTTGCAGCATGTGGAGAATAATGCAGTGAATTTTCGAAAGTGGGAAAATGGCATTTTGGTTTCAAAATGCAAGACTATTTTTAATTTAAAAAAAAAACAGAATATCTTGACAGTGTTAGGAAAAGTATACTACACACAGACGGTTAAATGGACTTATATATGTCAGAAGAAAAATTTTTAAGTACAATGTTTGAAGAACAAGATATAAACTCTAAGTGCTGTTTGAAAAGAACCCAAAGTCTAGGAAAAAATACACTCCTTATACTTATATGTATATGTGAAAAAGCAACTACCCTATTCGTAATTTTAAGAAGCTTGAAAATAGAAACTTCTTGTTCAAGATGTGAAAAAACGTAAAAAGATGTCTTTACACCAGAGGGTAAGAACTGCGTCATTGCCTGTTTTTAAATTGTTTAGTTTGGTTACCTAATTCAAACCAGAGTTATTAGGCTGGAATTGGCCTAAACAGGCTTGTCTTTTCCCCTTTTCCTATTGGTATATTCTATCTCCCACATTGGCAGAACCCTATTCAGCTAAAATTAAGCCACCTTTCCGTTATCTTTATAGTTATGACTCAACTTTGTACCGTTAAAAAGGACTAATCACTTAAATGTGTCTCAACTAGGCTATTATTTCTATTTACAATAAAGGTAATTTATTGTTGAGTTTCGTACGAAGGCCGTACAAAATTTCCATCAAATTCACATGCGCAGCTGACTGCCGACGTTACTTTCCCATCACATAAAGCATTTTGTTCTAGAAACATTCGTGGCTCTTATGGGAGCAAGTCTCGAATCGAAAGACGAAGATAATCTAGAGAAAAGGGTGTCTTGAGAAGGTCTGGTTTATATGATGCAAGTATGATCTACAATTGTTTTCTTTAAACGCTGTGAAGCGCAATGTGAAGGGAAATTCTTCTGCGAGCATTCGACCTAATACGCGTGTGCATATGACGCACTGCTCTTGTTGACTCGGCAAACGGAAGGAGCAATAGCCCTGAGCAATGCGGATCTAGACCATCACCCCAACAAATTAATATTTTGCTCATCAACAGAGTATGTTTATAAATGAAAAGCTTTGATCAATTTCTTTAATGGGGAGAGGACCATTACTGACAACTTTTCGACTGCTCGGCAGGCCGAGTGCCGAGTTGCGTTCCATAATAAAATTTTCTTGTAAAATATGTGCATGATGCACAGTTCCGCCATCAAAATAGGCAATTGGGAGACCTCGTTTCCTCAAATGCGGAGTTTTTCATTAACCTTGATCTAGCAACGCTGTCATCAACCGGATTTAAAAACGCATTCAAATTTATGCATTTGACCCATGATGGCTAGCAACACAGTTGTTGTGATGGAGGAAGTTAAATCAATGAATACCTTATTCTACGAATTCCTTATTCTTCCAATTCTTTCGAAAAAACATTCAGATATAACAGCATAATCAATTACTTCTTTTGTCGTAGAATTGGCTTTCGAGTTATTTACAATTCATTAGCTTTTGAGATATTTATCGGTATTCAACGACATCTTATAACAACAGTTCGCCTTCCTTTTGCCTTCCTAATAAAATAAGAGTATGATGTGACTCGTATGCCACAATATAGGCCTCAAATAGTCCAGAATATAACAGCAACATATGACGACATGAACGAGATAAGCCTCTTGAGCTACCTGCTTAAAATCTAGAAAATTCACCTCGCGTTCACAACATCACTGACCTCTTCACTTTAAACATACTTGGCAATAAATTTCTGAATCTAATACGGACTCTCAATTTTTTTCAACATATTTGCAAGGGAGTGTATGATATATAAATGCTACCAAACACTGTTTGAGTATTCTAGTAACTTCAGCGAAGGCTGCATCCCCCACATTTCTGAGAGTCCAGCTACTTACAATCTTGGAAACAGAATTGAGAGCTCACAATCCGACAAAAATTTGGAACATCTTTACAAAATCGTTACAGTTTTAAACTTGTTCCGTCTCCCCTCCATTACAATAATGTTGATTAATTAATATCAATTTTTAATTGTTTTTAGTGATGACCTAGTTAAATCTGAGCGCTTAAATACTTATAATCAACATTGTGCTGAGGAAAGAGGGTAAGAATTTAGCGGCAGCATCAATAACTTCAGGAAGTAGGTTGTCAACTTCTATACATGATAATTGTGAAGCTCCATTTATTTCTGGAATGGATGGCAGCCCGAGTTAAAGTTGACATCTGTACTTCCACGAAGCTAAAATCATAATTTTCAATTTCCGGAGGAGGTGGATGTAAGACGCGTACATCATATTAATTATAACCTTCTTTGTTGGGGCTAGCCCAGTAGTATCAAGAGCTGCTTCCAATATTTTAGTTCAAGAATACAGTGAAAGATTAAAAGCTTGATCAACTTAACTCACTGCCTGCCATTAAATCAATGAAAACAGATAATCGATGTCAAAAATAAACATACCCTCGAAATCCGATTTTCTATAGCAGTTTGCAGCTTCGACAAATTGGGTCCCAGCTTCGTGCTTATTCTGTAGATCGTTCAGCTTGATTTGTGCTGCTTCGCAGAATGCACCCCCTGCAGCTGGAAGAATAACAAACAGGGTAAAAAAGAATCATGATAGGGTCAGACTCAAAACAGTGAAGGAAATAGAGTCGAAAGAGTTCGTTAAAAACAAAGGAATTTCAGCAACTAAATCAGATCAGCTCATATTGCCTACTGCTTTTGGCATAAATTTTTTAAAATTTTTTGACTCAATGACTGAAGGATGAGTTAACAAGAAAACACTTCTCCTGGCTTTCCAAAAGGTACAGTACATGTAAACAGCTTCATCAAATAAAGGTACAAAATTAGTATCAGGTGCTGCAAACTTTCAAATTACACCGAAAATAGAAAACATAGCACTCAACAGTATTTTTCGTCCAGTGCACTACAAAATATAAAATACCAAGCGCCTAAGTGTCCTATTGTCAACGTCTATATTTTGGCCCAGAGTGCATTCCGATGCCCTCCCGCCGGATATATCCGGCGGAGAACGAGCTTCTGATTTCTTTCCCCCAGGAGTTTTGGCGGGATTTTTTTAGCTTCAACAGTATTGGCGTGGCATTGGCGTGGCATTGGCGTGGCATTGGCGTGGCATTGGCGTGGCATTGGCGTGGCATTGGTGTGGCTTTGGCGTGGCGCTGCATCAAATTTATAAATTAATGACTGAAATTGGCGTTTAACATCATTCAGATTAACGAAGATAATTTCAAAACTTTCCCTTCGAGATGAAAAATAAATTCCAACCTCGCTTTCAGGCAATTTGAATTTAACAATAAAATGGACCCCAAAATATTTTTTGGCTAGTTTTTCTTGCCCCTTCGGTTTTGGCGGGTATTTTTGCCCTAGGAAAATGCTGGCGGAAATATCTGGCGGAGAGAAAAAATGGAATGCACCCTGGATTATGGCACACTTTGGATTGCCACAAAATAATAAAGTAAAGAGGGTTGCCATCAAATTTTAGGGCATAAGAGGGTTGCCTTTTCGTTCAGGCGTCTTGAAATTTGTCTTTATTTAAAGAAAAACAAGCAGGCCTTTGGGTAAACCTTAGAAGTTATTTTTCAAATGCAGAATCTTATCAAAAACTATTTCAAATTGATAATTTCTTGGTATAATGTTTATCTGACTGGAAATATTTTGAATCTCAATGAAGTCGAAATATTGATCTGAAAAGATTATTTTATCTTGTCTACAGATTATCTGTTGAAATTAAAGGTAATCAGCAATGAGATGGAAAAAATTTAAAATATACCAACGAATGCAGCTTCAGAGGTTCATCATTGGCAAAATCATGAGACTTTCCAAAAAATCTCTATTGCTGACTGCATTAAATTTCATTTAATAAAAATTTCATCTACATTTTCCTGAGATAAAAACTGCTGAAAATTTCGCAACTTTCATATCAATGTTCTAAAAATTAAATTGATCTTATATCATATTCTTAGAAAATACATACCACTCCACTTTTTTGCCATTTTAAATGCATTTCCAGCTCTAATATACAGATCACAGGCATCTTCAAGCTTAGCTGCTCCCCTACAAAAGAAGAAGAAAATTCATATCAATCTTTTGGTGGTACAAAATCTAAAAATGACTTTGAAAAAAGCAAACATTTGAGTATGCAAAAGCTTTTCGTCTGACAGTCTTCAGATTATAAATTGTCAGAACATAGATCGAAAACTCTATGCTAGGTAACTGGGTATATATATTTCCTAGCATGGAGTTTTCCAACCTATGTTCTGACAATTTATAATCTGAAAAGTGTCAGACAAAAAGCCTACCTATGACTCAAAATGTTTGCTTTCTTCAAAGCCATTCTGTCCAAAGTTACCAGCAATTTCTAAAGCAATGATCTTATTTGGTAGAAAGAATTATTTTCAATTTGTAGCAGAACAGGTTCAACATGCATGGCTTTCCAAAAGGTGCAGCTTTAAAGTAAAAATTGGAAATCTGGTTATTTACAAAAAACTTAGAAAATACCCATTAAAAATCACAGCAAAGGAATGTGAGCAAACTTTGGTAACAATTGATCCTGGTGGATTTTTCATAGCAATATTCAATAGTTTTAGAAATTAAGGATTAATAAGAGGATAAATAATTATAATAATCATGATCAAGAGCTTACCCTCAAATTACTACCCTCAAATTGTTTTCATTTAGATATAATCTATTTTTGCAGTTAATTTTGTTCTTCTTATTCACTTTCTTGTGATGAATACCAATTAAGCTATTCTGTTCTGTCTCACAAATAATAACACATAGAATACAGCATATAATATGCCTCAAAGAAAATGATTGTTTCAATGACTTGGTGGACGTTAGGGCTTGGCTGGATTTTTTTTAAGTTGCATGAAGTTTTCTCTAGAAATATGATGGGCCTTTGTCTAATACTGCATGTACAATTTGAATTGCTTGATTTATGCATGAATTTGTTCCGAAAGTTTAAGTGATTTGAAAATAGCCTGAAAATTGTAATCAAAATACTACAAGATGGATCTTGACCTACCCTAGAGATTTTGCTCAACCTACCTTACATCCTGACCTACCTTACATCCTGCTCTCATGCTGATCTTACAATTTTGAAATCTTTTCAAATTAACAATTAAAAATTCTTTACTAAACGCTTTAACTGATTTTATCACCTATTCAAATATTTCTCTAATATCTTTTCTAGCAAATTTTTAATAGTAATTTTACCTTGATTTAAGAAATTTATAATTACCCCAGGGCATAATGAAAAACTTGGCTTATAAGACTGAGCTGTTCATTTGTGCCAAATTTTGTACACAAAAACAGACACAATTATTTCAGTATGATGTGTTGAAAATGAGAACAATTCAATGATTCAAATTAAACCAAAGGAAGGCAGTCATATAGCCTATTGATGGTAGCAAGTAGTAACTGAACTAAAACTGCACAAACAGAGGACCATAAGCATTTCTTCATGCATAAGGTTGCTGCTGATTAAGGTACAAAATAGCAGCATCCTCCTCAGCTGAAATTTTTATGGCAAATTATACAATTTCTGACTTTATATCAAAATGCAAAATCTCATCTGTCAAGCGTTTGATCTAAAATCTATCTACTAACTCCAATGAATACAATAATCAAAAGACAATATAAGTCAAAAGCAATTTATTTCTGTTTACAACAATTTTGTCCTCTGAACTGCTCGACATTTCATGTCACATAAAAATGGTCAATCAATTACAAAAGACATTCATTTGGAAACAATACAGCGATAAGTAAACAAAAGTGAAATGTGCATGGAGCACTATAGGTATCAAACAATAAAAGTCTGCCCTTAGCAACCCCACATGTAAGGTTTGTGTACATATTGCAACAAAACCAAACTGAAAGGTGCCTTTGTGAACCTCTTGTCAAATAATTTATTTTCAAGATGGCTTCTTTGATTTTGGTCTAGATAACTTAAAATCAGAATTGGATGGCTCTGAGAAAAGATGACACTTAGATAAAGGTACTGTCAAACTATCGAAACAAGTACATATGCGCCAGGCTTGCAAAAAACTAATAAATTTGACTTCAGTTCAGTGCCATGGTGGCCTGTCAGGACATTGGAAAATTTCAGACCTTGCAACTCACACAAAAGTTTTTTCAACAAAGGCAATTGAACACTTCAAATTGAACACTTCTAACAAACTACGTAACTGTTGAGAATCCCAAGTCATCTTGGCTGTTAAAAGTGAAGTATGAACATGCCAACAAAACATTGTCTGAGATTTGTTCATAAACTGGTTGTTAGTCGTGACTATTTCAAAACTTTTACTTCTTATCTAGAAACAGATGATAGAAATCAAGAGTGGGTATAAAGAGATGAGCCAAGTCCCTTGCAACATCTCCATAGCTTAGAAAAGGCATGGTAAAGGCCATCTGTTAATTCCTGAGAGTTACTTGTAGCTCAATTAACTTTAAGCAGGCCTAGCCGTTTGTATTTTTATAGGTGAGCTGTGAATCGCTCCCCTCATTTGCTGAGGCGAGCTAAATCAGTAACACATACAATGTACTTTAAAGACAATCGACAGATGATTTAATAAGCCCCTTTAGTATCTGTTGGTTGCCTTTAATAGCCTCAGCCAGGAGTATGCTGTTTTACTTCTTTCAATTTGTATTTGCTTTAACCGTGACTTGAAGTATTCAAAATAACAGACTTTTAGTTTCATGTAAAGCTAGCACAACACAAAAACAACAACTCTCTTGCAAAACAATCTTTTTGTTGCACAGAATTTGAAAATGGCTTTGAAAAAAAAATTTAAAACAAGCTGAAGTTATACGTCTAGCACTCTTCAGAGAATAAAACGTCAGGACATAGATGGAAAACTCTACGCTGAAATACCCAGTTTTGGATCGAAATAGGCCAATCAGAAAACACCAGCACATGACTGTTGAGGTTGTCCAATCAGAGCCGCTTTTCTATTGAAAATATTAGCCATGGAGTCCTAAGGTGAAAACGAACTCACTTATGTCTAAACAAAAGCGGTTGGTCATGTTTATATAGTAGATAGATTCACAAACTGCTAGATGGAACGATGATCAGGCTTTGCCAATAATGCGAAACATGTCGCCGTTACAGTTTTCACCCAATCTGGGTTTTTCAGTAAATGCTGCTGGATAGTGGAATTCCATGTTTTGGTTGTCCTTTTTTATCTGCAAGACAGAGTACCTTGTTCTCTTTGAGGGATAGTTTTGTTTCTATCGCTGGAAGGGACCTGCTGTCTTATTATATCCCCAATCTACAATTCCTACCAATTTCTTCGACTTTCCTTAAAAAAATATTCCTGTTTTCTTAAGATTGAAAGGTTCTAATCGCTACAAACATACCTTTCGGTTGACTATCTTTTTCAAATAGATCAAAGTTTATGCCTATCATAACAAAAACCGCCCAACAAGCAAAAAGTTAATTGCAAAAAATGCAATGACGGGAGAAATTGCTGTTACAAAAATAAACCAATTAACCCTGGTGCGTTTTCATAATTCTCTGAATAGGAAATTTTAAGGGAGCGATTCTTCCTTCATGTTCTGTTTAGGAGAGCAATTCATAGCTCGCCTCAGGTTGTGAGGGGAGCGTGGAGCGAGAGCTATCGCTCGCCTCAAACGGCAAGGCCTGCTTTAAGGCAATTTGAAATGCCATGGACTTCTGTGGCTACAGAACAATTTTGCATTTATTTGTTCAGATTGGAGTTATTTAGGTATTCCACTCACAGAATAATATTTTTCCAATCCATTTTTGAAGATTTTACCGTAAATACATTTTGGAAAAGTTTTCTATCCCTTGGAAAAAGCTTTTTGGTGCATTTTCTAGAAATAATACATAACAAAATCAACCCATTAGTGTGAAACCTGATCCAAATTCTAATGATCAAAGATGAGAAAGAAGCTGGAAAAATTTTGATTGAGCTTGACTTGGCTCAATGGGTTTCAGTATATGAGATCTCTTTGGTTAAAGTAGGTGGTTTCTACATGTGGGAATAGAATAATGCCTTGCTTATAGTCAAAGCTGAATCTCCTTTGATATACAAAGCAATCAATTTACTGTTGGTTATATAGCCACGTATTTGCTTTTTCTATACATGGACTATCAGTTCTAGGAGGGCCAATTGAAAAACACTATATAGGGCCCCTAAATAACAAGTTTCCCAAACAAAGAAAATTCCAGTCACAAAGAGTCAAGCAGGCCTAATAATAGCAGTAACCAGTGTTGATGCAATAGTGACTAGAAGGCAATAGCATCTTGGGTGTGCAATCTAATCGAACCTACTTTGAAACATGTCCAAAGGCGTGGGATTGTTAAAAACAGTCTGAACAAGATCATCCTTAAATTGAGAAAAAAGTCTGTCCTGCAATTTGGCAAAAGCATTTTGATCGTTCTGAAGTCCAACTTAGACATAATCCAACTTAAATTAAAAACAAAGAAAACAAAGCTTGTTATTTGACATAATATTTGGCCACTTATCTTTTTCCTTGACCTTCAAAAGTGTTCGACACCATAATCCACATTCTACTGGTTAAAATTATGCGGAGGTTACAAGCTTTTATATCTCTCTATGTTTTAGACCAACAAGCACTAGGTTAACAATATTCATAAAATGTTCTCGTGGCCATTTTCGAGTTCCTGCAGAAAATGTTATTTTTTAAGGGCCTAACTAAAGTGAAAAGATAGGCACATCTATGTTAGTAACTATGGGAAAAACAGAAAATGATATAAAAAAGGAAACTTAAACTATAAATACATACCCAAATAAACCTCCGAAAAATGTTCCGGCAGACTTAATTTTCTTTTCCGCTTCTGCAAGAAATGATTTCCCTCTTTCTTCGTCCGCCATTCTTGTCTTACGATCCTGACATCATTCTCTCTGACCTCGTATTCGTCCGATCACAGCCCGATACCTGCTTGGTATTTATGACGTCAACATGATAACAGATAATTTTTTTAGAGGAGACATTGAATATATAGTAAATTAAAGTGACTTTGAACAAGGATTAATGGGATGTTACAAGGCCTCGAGTTTAACTTTTTATCTGAGTCAAACAGGGGCAGATATCAGGGGGGGCTGAATTTTGCTTGGTCCCCTGTTTGTTTCAAAATTTGAAATAGGATTAATGCGATTTGTTGAATTTCAGGAATCTCGTATAAGTCAAATATATACTTTTAATCCATATTTTGTGGAAGGCCTTTGGAAGGTCATCATTTTAATTTTTAGGCTGCATTCTACAAACGTGTAATAATCTTCGTTTGCCGGTTTAACTTCTTCTCCCTAGATACGAGAATTCTATCTGTCCTAGACTTGTACGAGCTGATGGATCCTTGAGAAAAAGTTGGTCGCATTTTCCCTCAAAGAAAACAAGTTCTTTACCAACGGCGGTGCAATGGAGGACTAAAGGGAAACGTCCCCCATTTCTTAGCAGGGTCGATTTTTTTTATCGATGAGAAAAATGATGGGGGAGGGAAACATTTTTGCAAAGTGTTTTTATGGTGCTATTATATGACTTAAAAACTGCCTGTATATGACTAAAGGTTAGCCATGGGCGTTTCCTGTTTGTAAAAGGGCGTTATTTTACAGAAAAGAGGATGTGGCCTTAGCCTTTTTATTTAGACGGTGCTTTGGTCCCTGCCATCCTTGACTGACCTGTAGAAGAAAAATGGTTTTGAAAGTTCTGCCTAAAAAGCTGGTCAGTAGCTTTATACTTTTCTCCCGCGGATCAAGAAATCTTTCAGTAAGAAATTTTTACTAAAATACTATTATAGCTGTTCTTAGCACCAGAGGTGGCGCCAGAAATCTTCCGACAGAGGTGCTCGAGCTTCCGACAGAAGGACTAAAATGACTAAAATAAGCAGTTTCGTACGTTATTTTGTCAAATTTGCTCCGACAATAACCTAAAATTTCCTCCGATTGGGGGGGGGGGGTAGATGCTTCCGACGGAAGGGCTGTTGCCCCCCTAGCCCTCCCCTGGCGCCACCACTGCTTAGCACACAGAAACGGAACGTTGTTCAAACTTTCCAGCTCGAAATAATCAGCCACTACATCAAATTACCAATAAGCTAGTGACATGAACAAAATAGACAGTGGAAAATTTATGTTAACTGACATGATCAATTGTTTCGATTGCTAAGGGCGAATCTGGAGTTCAGAAAAACGTACGATACTCAGAGAAACTTTTCACAAGGCAACATAGGCTTTTCATTTCCTTAACTATTTTTTGTCCTTACTCATTTTCTGTAGTATAACCCCGATCTTGAACAATTTCCTTGTACAAGGCGGTAGTAACATATTATAGTAGCATTTCGTTATTATGCAATTGTTTTGTTGCAGTTTTGTACTATTCCATTCCAGCATTTGTAATAGTATAGTATCTGTTTTGTATCTGAATATTTTACATTGGTATAAAAATACTTACATCATCACATTTTTCGTAAGGTTTGCTCTATCTATCTCGATCAAATAAATCCCCAACTTTTGTAGACAGAAAGAGTTAATTTCTCTGTTGGACTCTGTGACAAAGTGAGCAGTTAGCGGTTGCTGATTGGTCAAATTCAAGCAACCAATCAATGTCCAGCATGACTTTTCGTCCCCACCTGGATATAGAAATTTTGCTTACCTATGATTATTTTCCTACCTTTCATATGCTGTTGAAAATTGGAAAGGGCCTTCGACGAAGCGGAGCAAAACAATAGTGCTTTTTCAAAATTTTTGCTATTAAGTTTTCCCTTGACAAACCCCCTGCCCCTCGACCCCCCCTCCATTTTCCAACATGGGTCGATCCCATTTAGCAAATTTTAGATCTGAATATCAATGAAAATGAAAAAATTAAGAGGAGAAGCAATGACCACTTCTGGCGAGCAGCTAAATTGGTCTTACGTATCTTATATTAAATTCTTGATTTTAAGACAAAGACAATGCCAAGCCCTCATTTCCCCCTTCCCATCTTTAAGCAATAAGCAACTGACTTTCAAAAGTCAGCCTAACTTTTTGCTTGTATGTGCACTAGAGTGTCATGCTGTTGTTAAAATTCTTAAGAACCCCCTTCTATGGTTATCTTAACAATAAATGCATCCCCTTGTTGGTTAATCTTTTCAAATTGACTTTGAAAACGATTCCATAGATAAAAAATAAAGGCCATCAGGTTTCAAGAAAGAAAAAATCTTGAAGTTGCTTTAATTCAATACTAAAATAAGAATTATTCATTTACAAAAGGCAACTATACATTAATACAAACAATCAACATGTGCAATGTCAAAAAAGGTTTTTATAGTTATACATGTAACACAACTCTTTATAGTCATGGTTACTGCATGTACACTTCATAAAACTTAATAAAACAGGATTGAAACCTGTAAAGATAAAAGGGGCTTAGAATGAAAGTGACTGCTTGTGTTGCATGTTCCAGATCATTAAAGCTAATCCTCCATTTCATGCTCCTGCTCTTTGAACCAAACACCTCCCATTAAATTGGTATTTTATGTTTATTTCAGCTAAGTGAAACAAATATCCTCACTGTCTAATGTCACTGTTTTATCAGTTGCAGGATTTCAGGGAAATTTATCGGAACAAAAACAAAGATAACAAGGAAAATGGCCCATATTTCAATGAAAAAAAATTTTTTGAAGAAGCTGTTACAATTAACACTGATAAACACAAAAGGCATTTGTTTTTATCTCTCGAGCAATTTATTGTTGTCCCCTTCTCTTAATACTCCCTGTTCTATAACTATCTCCTTGTATCTAATATTACCAAATTGGCACCTTGAAGCAAGGGACTATATAGTTTCAATGCCGACAGAACAAAATTCGTATTGAGGGCTGCCCATTGTATTGCTTCCCATGCAGTACACTGTTTTAAAATAACTACAGTTTGACTTCAGCCCTCCCCTCAGCCCTATCCTCAGCCCTCCCCCGTTACTCTATGTCTCTTGTGCCCATTTCTAAAAATCTTAGTATCATACCTGCTAATGGAATGGGTGAAGTTTATCCTAACTATAGAAAAGGTTGGTCTGCAACATGATGCTTATAAATTCATCAAGATTGATTTCATTATCGCCATCTTTATCAGCCTCATATATCATACCCTTTATATCAATGTCTGTGAGATTCACACCAGTCTCTTTTGAAGCCCATTTCAAATCTTCAAAAGTGATTTTACCAGTTCCAGATTTATTAAAAAGTTTAAAACCTTGATTTATTTCAGAGAATATGTCCCTATCATCACCTTGTCTTGAAATGATAAACTCTAGAAATTCATTGAAGTCAATTTGGCCTGACTTATCAACATCCAAATCTGCAAGCATTCTTTGTATTTCATCCTTCTTTAGATTAAAACCAAGTATTTTACATGCTTTTCTCAACTCTCCATAATCAATGTAACCACTCTTATCAACATCAAACACGTCAAATACCAGATGAAGATCTCTTACATCCTGAGATGACAAGCTTTCAGTAACCTTTTTACTCAGTCCTTCATTCATAAATACAGCATGTTGAATTGAAGATGCTTTTTGAAGAGCAGAAATCAGCCTGAGCTTTGGTGAGGCAGGAGATTTTTGCCTGATTTCATTGACAGCTTCTCTCAAGGTTCTTTTCTTTGACATCATTGGGCTCAACTCTGCTGATGCCATATTCTGTAGCATTGAACTCGCTGCTTTATTCTCTGTCTGTGCAGGCTTTAGCAGATCTTTCTGAGATAGTTTCTTTTTAGGCATTTTGTCCTGAAGTGAAGGAAACCTTTAGAGAAATATTCATGGAAGTGACTTTCTTCAGATCAATTTTAAACTGGCAACATAACCTAATGGAGGCAGTGGTCATGATAACCTCTATTAGAGATTCTTTCGCTCACATCTTTTTGAAGTCTGTCTACATGTTGGTAAACAAATCTTACAATTTACAATGTATGTCTTATCTTTAAAAATTCTAATTAAATTCTAATTCAAAAACATTTAGGAAGGGCAGGTAAACCTTATTGGTCTTATTTTTATTGTCAAAATGACTTTTTGCCATAACTTCTTGATGACTGCTGGCCATAATAAGCCAAATTCCCAAAAGGTTCAGGTACCACTACAGTACCTAAAGTAAATTACTTCTATAATTATATTCAAAAGATATTAAGACACTTTGATAGAAGAAATATTATGGCATTTGATTAGTTTCACAGTGGAAAGTTGTCTCAATATGTGCAGTCTTTCCTTTCTGTAAAATTGCTTTAAGGATCTTCAGAAATGCTCATAAATTGGAAAACACATTACTAAACTGTTGCTGTATCAAACTGTTCAAAGTCAAAAAAAATGAACTGAACAAAGAAAAATACATTGACTTTAGATTAAGACATTCACCTGGGCTCCTTTTTTAAAAGCAGCCTACAAGAAGATTGATGAGCATTTCTTTCTAGGCTGCTTGAAAATTCATACTTTTCAGAATTTTTCTGCTGTGTTATTGCTAACTTTTCAAAATTTAGATTCATCAACAGATTGTTATTAAAACCATTTGTTGTGGCAAACTTCTTTGATTTACCAATCCTTGGTAGATTATTCACAGTTTTTGTTGGGAAGAAATGTTTGCACACACAAGTTACTCTTAGAGCAGCCAACAATTGCAAATTCTTGAAATACACTTTGTCTCAAAGCAAAATGCTGCTACCCCTATGCTCAAATAACAACATAGAAAATCAGTGTAGCATAATGAGATTTTGAACTAATTGTGAAAATAAACATAAATTGATAAATTATATAACTGAAATAACCCTGCAGCAAAAATCTTCGGATACAGGAGGAAATCTCAAAAAAAATTATAAAGGAGCTCATTTTTGGTCTTAAAAGCCCATAGTTTTTAATCACATCAAGGCTTTGACTCAGACAGGGATTTTGAAAGACAACAATGCAGTTTGTTAATAGAAATTGCTATCACAATTGCAACATGACTAGGTTTATTGTCTTGCTTAAAAGTTCATCAGCCTTACTCGTTTCTGTGCGTCGTCATTTCTTAAAGACTAAAAACTCCAAGAACAGGCTGATTACCCCATAAACACCCTAAGAAGAAGCCATAAAATTGCTATGAAGCGACTGTACACACTTAAAAACATATCAAAATCAGCATATCATTCCAAAAATAATTTGGTCAATCATTTAGAATTAATTTGGGGGCGGGAAAGGGCCTGATAAGTCTAATGCTGTTGGTATTATTACAACCAACTAATGTTTTGCGTGCAAAGTGTGAATGGGCACCGGGCACATGGATTTGATAGCTCTATCTTGAGTTTTTTTCATGCGTCCATCAGCTGATTTAATAGTAATATAGTTTTTTTCCTTAATGCTCTTATTGTAATTTTGGATTTAATAATTGAACAAGTTACTTAAATGACGTAACGTGTAATTAATTGATTTGCTGAAAAAATGTTTTCGAGTTCAAGTTGAGTCTTGGTATGTTTACATGGAAATTACATGGGTGATGTTTTGCTTGACTCTCATTTTACATTTTTCAAAAAATTGGTAATCATGCTTGGCCTGGAAGTATCGATAAAGCATTAAATGAATAGAAGCATTCACATGAAATAACAATACAGGAAGAAAAGAGATGTGTCTCTTACCTATTGAACTTCACTCAAGTCTGTGCTCACGTTGGTTGACAATCAGGAACTAGGCCAGGGGCTGTTGCCATCGCAACAAGGCATAAGCGCCAGTGCAGCGTCGCGAAAGCAAATCTACTGATAAGCAAATCTACTGATAATCTCTTTTGAATTTGCACATTTTAATGACTAGGTTTTTGTCTTTTAAAGTCCGTTTACTTTTTCTCTGGTGACGCCCTGTATGCCGGGGCGAGATTTTAAACATAACTGATTTACGTATGTTTGTTGTTGTTCATTCTTGACGCGGTGCGGTGTTACTTGTTTATAACATTCTACTGATGAGCCCCGTTCAAAAGAAACAGTACGGAAGGTCTTAGGCCAATATCTCCACAATTCAGTCTCAAAAATAGATGATTCAAATTTCTTCTCGGAAATTTCCATACATCACAACAGTCTAAGATACTGAATTATCAGGTACCAGGAGAAAAGAACTTTGGGGAGATTATCGTCGCACGAGAACGGTGAGGCACTTTCCCTTCCCAAAAATAGGCAATTCTGATTCGTAGTTATTGAAAAGCAGTGGCGGAAATTATGGTGCGCATGGGGGGCCCAGCCTTGTAACAATCTATTCCATTTTGGTACTTACTTTATCCGCTTTTTAATTATATTTTTTACTTTCCTTATCTGACCCTGCCACAAGCCCTTGATTGGACGGTGACTAATCACATAAGGAGTAATTTTCTATTTTCTAAAGTCACAGAAAGCGTGTTTGCTAAATATTTGACTGAAGGCAACCCTAAATTTTGGTTCAAGATCCTCCAAAGTTGGGAAAGTCCTTTAGTTGAATGAATTCTCAGATTCTGTTTAGGCTGGAGATCCTGATACTCGCCAATCAACACCAGGATATGTTTCCCAAATCGGAATATCTGAGTCAGTCAGTGTAGCAAAACACAAGCCACCAGGGCCGTTGTGAAGCAGGTCTTGTGGGGAGGGGGGGGGTTACTAAGAATTTGCCCGATAAGAAAATTTCCTGAAATTCTTCAGTTGCTGAAACAATAATCTACAAAAATTTTGTCAAATTGATTTTATGGCATGTAATTCGCAAAATCTATTTACATTACAGTATCAAACCTTCCAATCTTATAGATCTGTACATTGGCGAAAGCACAAAATAGCAGCGCCACGGGGCGAACTGGAGGGAACATGCCCCCCAGTTCTCGGCAGGATCAATATGCATTTCGTCTATTTTCGATTAGAAAATGTGGGGAGTGAGGGGGGAGGTAATATTTTGGTAACGTATTTTTGTGATGTAATCCTATGATTTTGAAGCTGCCTTTATGTAATCAAAAGTAAATAACGGGTGAGATTGGTTATTGATTTTAAAACGTGACGGTCTACGAATTGCCTAAACGTTTCTTCAACTGAACGGGCTCTATTTGAAATTTCCCATTGACTTTCTGTTTAGGGTTGTGACATCCTCCTCCCCTTACCGCGTAGTCACGATCCCCTGCAAGCTACTGTCGCAATGTCTACAACAGAGGCTGAGTAAATTCCCTTATCGCTTGCTGCTCCAAGAAGCTAAAGTATTTCCTCGAATAAACGCCCTTTCGAATAAACGCCCCCTTTGAATAGGCGCCCCCTAAAGAAGCCAAAGTTTCAAACAAGTGCCTCCTTTGAATAAGTTGCCCCTTGAATAGGTGCTCTCTGAAGAAGCAAAAGTTTCCAATAAATTTCCTGTGCAAAACCATGGTGACTTGCATTCTCTTTGTTGTTGCTCGATAAAGGCAAGGCATAGCCAAATAATTTTCTTTTTTTCTAGACCCAATAACGGATGCAGTGAACGAGTTTGTCTCTACATTGTTCAATAAAGATTTGAACAGGAATGATGATTCCATGGAAATGTGCCTTAAAACAAGGACATAGATTATAATTCCAATATCTGAATTAAACTTGTCACTATCTCTTTTGTAGATACATGTAGATCTTCATGTTTTATAAGCTTCATTTTTTCTGTCGCTTTCTTGAAGTTTGCAATTAACCACCCCCCCCCCCTCCCCATCAAATAGGCGCTGAAATAGCCCTGGGCGTTAAATCGAGGAATTATTGTATATTATTATGCCGCTTGTATACTGCAAGAAAAACAAAGGACAGTAGAAGTTTCTAAAAGCCCCCAGTTTCACAACAGAAAAAAACATTGATGTTGCATATATTTCCATCCAAGTGGAAGCAAATTTAAAAGATATTGGAGTGAGGGATGATAGCTCTCACTATGACTAAAAGGTTGACTAAAGTATCTTTTCAAAAAATTTGTCTTTAGCTCAATGTTTGTTATTAAACTGAGCAGTAACTTTCATAATGCATAATCATCAAGTGGGAGTATTAAAATATGTAATAATTTTTACCATAATCATGTTTTGTATCATGTTTAAGCTGATTAGTCAAGGAGACACTTTTCTAGAACTTTCTAACCACGTTCTCCTTCTTTAGTTTTCTTTGGCCGTTGTACTAGGCCATTATTGTTCCATTTTTAATATTTATGTATTTGGATAATATCTATGCTTGTACTTTTATTTGATCATAGCTGTGAAGAATTTTTACAATTTCTGCCAACCATTTGCTTACAACGTTTACTGCTTAAACATACAATATAGAACTTCTAATCAACCTCCCTCATATTAAACGAATGGACTTTTTGCAAAGAGAGGTCACTTTTAGAAGATAAAATTTTAAGTCATTCTGCCATTTTGTGCAACATGTCTGCTACTTTGTGCAACCGCTACTTTGTGCAACCGCCATCTTATGCAACCGTCACTTTGTTCCACCCCCACCTTGGGCAACTGCTACTTTGTGCAGCCGCTACTTTGTGCAACCGCCACCTTATGCAACCGTCACTTTGTGCCACCGTCACCTTGGGCAACTGCTACTTTGTGCAACCGCCACTTTGCGCAACCATCAAATTATGCAACCGTCGCTTTGTGCCACCGCCACTTTGTGCAACTGCTACTTTGCACAACCGCCAATTTTCGTGACTCTGCTTGAGTAGTTGTTTTGTGCTCTTCATTCTTGCTGATCGGGTTTTCAGACACGTTTAGACTTAAATATTTCTATTTCATTTCACCAAAATGTACCCAAATGCTGGTACTGCCTTAAGACCATTATCCGGGATAAAATATGCATAATTTCCGCTGTATATGGTTTGTAATGAAGCAAAAGCGTAGTATGGTGCGCCTAGGCCCAAAAACGAATCAGGCGTTAGACAGTCTTCTTCATTGTTCCCTATTATACCAATTCTGGCTTTTAATAGATTGTTCCCATCTTTTACATTCAAACCCTCGCGAGTGCAACCAAGTTGCAAAGAAGAGTCTGGCATCAGACTCTTCCATGTTTGACGACCAATGTTTGTTGGGTAATATTCTGCTGAAGAAAACAAATGCAACAGAGACGTTGATGTTAATGGGATCTTAAGCCATTTTGTTGAGCCAGTGCTTCGCATCCCAATGCACATTGCTGTGAAATTGACATGATTAAAGGCGGGAAACTTGGCCTCGATTCCACTGAATGATTTTAAGCCATCTTCAGCATTGTATAAATCCATGGTGCTCCAAAGGATAGAATCTCCAGAGAATGTCGACTGCAAAAAAGTATTTATCAATATGAAGCTAAACTATACGCAAACTGCATTTCGTCAGATAATGAAAAGATAATATCAACAAGAAAGAAAGCAGAGAATTTCCCCGCTCACACAATGTTTAAAGTATTCTTTAAAAGATTTTGTCTTGGCAAAATCGAAACAAAGATCCAACCACTGCACAGGGCCGCACTTCCCACTGGGCCCAAAAACAAATAGGGGTCCCAAGAATTTTTCGGAAGTTTAATATGGTATCATAGGGTTTTTCTCTTGCACGGGTTTCTTATCAGTGCGCAAATGCACAATCTTAAAGTGTGCAAGCTTCAAAGATTGATATGGATGATTCCATCTTATACGAACTGACATGGCACCCTAACTTCACGAAAGAAGAGAAGGACGCTCCACACAACCTAATACATCTCTCAAGCAATGTAAAATTATTAAATGTCTTTGCCAAAAACTATATACAATACACAACCTCTTAAATTACCATTTATTTTGTGAATAGAATTGAAAGAGCAGAATTTTTGCAATCACACCACCCGGAAGATCAATATAAGCAAAACATAGTTTATGCAAGGCTTTAAGTACTTAAAAACAACACCTTGTTATGAGGAAATATCGGAAACGTGGACGTTATTCGAGGCTACGTTCACATTACTCCGTTTTCGATTAGATTCGTTTTTTGGCAGCAAAAATGGAGCTGTTTTTATCTCTGTTAACACTACTCCGTTTTCAGACGGGTATCGGATATCTATTAATTGGTGTTCACACTAGTTCTCAAAAACGCATCTGTTTTTCTTTTTCTGAAAACGAGGCTTCCGATATTGGCGTTGTTAGCGTTTTCAAATTGTTCCGTTTTTGGTGTTCACACTACAGAGTTGCGTTTTTGTTTAGCTCCGTTTTCATTTAGCTCCGTTTTTATCATTGTTTTTATTTAGCTCCTTTTTTGGTGTAGACTAATGTGAACGCAAAGCCAAAAACGGAGCTAAACAGATGCGTTTTTGTTCAAAAACGGAATAGTGTGAACGGGGCCAACCAAGATTTTATAGGAAAGGGCAAAGAGAAAGAAAGTCTTTAAAATCTTTGGACAAGTTTGAAAGGATGAACTGATGACAGTCCAGACTGATGACAGATAAAGCAAAAAATTGGCTGGTAACGATGATATGGTCGACAAAAGCATTGAAACAAATTTTTAAATGTTCGTTCAAGAAGCTCAAAAAGCTGAAGCACAAAAAGTTACTGTACTGTACCTCCCCTGTACCTAGCTTTTCGCTAGAACAATTTCAGCATTAATGTCAATGAGCCATGTCCTTTCTTAGTAATATTGGGCTAAATAAAAAAGGGCGCCGGAGCTACGGTTTCAATCTAGGTTTCAATTATCTCTTGATACCTACATGCAAGAGAAAAGTCAATATTCTCCAAACAATTTGACCACAACAAACTTCGTTGATGAGTCCTCTTTAACCTTCATGATCATGCTGAAGATATTTCAGATTGCTATCAATGTTGGTTTGCAAATGTTCGATATATCAGTCAAGGTATTAGGATGTCTTAAATTCAAGCAAAGGCGTAGGGATAGGGGGGCACAATGAGCACGTGCCCCCTTTTTTCAAAAATTCAGGCTACCTGCCCCTTCGCAGCTCACCGAGTTGCTGTTTTTTGCCAACTGCAAAATCAAAGAGTGCCCATGAATTGCTTAGGTGCCATACGAAAAGACCTTTCTGGCCAAGATTAAAGGGGTGACCTTTTTGGGCCAAGATCTAAAATATTTCTATTCGATCTGCTTCTAGAAACACCAAAAAAACAAGATCACAACCAGGGCTAACGAAAGGTGGTGGCGATGGCAAACTGGCCTTAGGCATTGAGTTTAGGGTGTCCTCGAGGTTTCCGGCGTGTGAAAGCAATTAGTAAGACATAACAAAATTGTACAGCTTCTTAAACGATTGCAAGGAAATGACTGTGAAAAAATTCTGAAATGGATTTTTAGCTAATCTAAAGGGCACGATCGCCAAAATTTTCTCTTTCTGTTGCTTCCTCTTTCTGTTGTTCCACGAGCAGTCCGAAAACCTCTCGGCGGCACTGACCACAACTAAATCAGAAAATGATATCTATATCATTGTAGTCAGGCTTTAGGTAGCAGCCTTGTTTTGTTTAACTTTTCTGGAATTTTTATTAAAGTGCCTCTTAAACAGGCGTTTACACCTTGTTTGTTAGAATGTTTGTTAGGCTGCCCCTTTAAACAGGTGTCCCCGTCTTTTATAATGCTTCCTATGACCTTGAATTCAAGACGTTTTATTCAAGACGTTTCGAATCAAGAAGTTTTTCATGCAGCACGGTATTTAGCGTACCAACTGGTTGCGCCGATTTGCTTGTCCTAGTAGGCCCTTTTGAATCCCCACTACCGTATTCCCTCTGATGAACGCTGCCCTCTGATAAACGCCGCCCTCTGATAAACACCGCCCTCTGATAAACACCGCCCTCTGTTGAACGCCGCATCTTGAAAAGCGACGCTCATTAGAAACAAACCAAACAAGAAGTAAGGAATCGTTTATACGCTTACTGTTCGAAAGCCATGAAAGTTTTTATCTCATAGAGACGAGGACTCTGACAGAGGCAGGGATATTGACATTCCTTGACTTGACTTGACATCCTTTTTATCTTTTTTCATCGCATTTTTCTTGTCATTTTTCATTTGACAAACTTTTAATTTGTATTGAACGCCGCCCTCTGACAAACGCCGCCCTCTATTGAACGCCGCATCCAAAATTTGGAGTTTGTAATAAACGCTGCGGTGTTCTTTAGAGGAAATACGGTAGTTGAAGTCCTTAAAAAATATCCTGAAGATTTGGCTTGAATTTGGTAAGCAGTGCTAGAATGTACATGTATTTTTATGAGCTAATACTAAAAGCTTCTTAAAGATTTTGCGCGATTTGAGTTTCTTATGAGATCCTTTTGGAAACCCTGGTGCAATCTGAAATTTCAAAAGCAAGTTTTTGAAGCCTTTTTGAAGCCGAATTATCTCTCTCCAGAAGTAACAATAATAGAATGAAATGATTCCTTTTGCTCTCAAGATCTTTGTTATACAGAAGTAGCCAAATATGGAACTCAGTTCCGAACCAAATAAGTACTCCCTAGCCTGAGCCTCAGACTCCAAATAGCTGTTGCAAAATTCCGAGAAAGAAAAGAATTAAAAACAAACCTTCGAGCCGTTCAGCTTCATCGCTAGTGTCCACCCTCCTCCTCCACAGCCCTCGATTGAGCCCATCATACATATATTCGATCCTGACTCTAGCTCAAAAACTCCACTATGTAGGTTTGATTTTTCATCGTGCAGTTCTTTACAGCTCTTGTAAACTAGAATAGATGAATAACCGAATGCTTTGGTTTGCTTTCAGTTCTTTGTTAGCACGCTAATAGAGATCAAACCAAGCCTTTCAAGACAGAATGCAAATTGTTAGACAGTCAATCGAGTAAGTTGAGCTAAAAAAATTAAAGGGTTAAAAGTAGGCCGATGTCTCAACTTTTCTTCCTCTTAATGTATCATAAAAAGGAACACATGCAAAGCAAAGTAGTGCATTTTGATTTTATCTCCTATCCCATCCCAAGCACAAAAAATCTTTAGCAGTTAAATGTTTCATTGTAAGTTTATCTGAAGGTAACCAATCGGTTCCCATTTCTCAGTGTTATCGATTTCCGAACCCTGCTCACAGAAAATTTACCAATTCCCGACTCTAAATAATGACAATTTCCGCTCCCCCAAAAAACATGTTGGGTACCCTCTTCTCTGGCGTCCATTCTCCCTTTTGTCTTGCTTTGCTGTGATTGTGGGCCAAAAACCTGACGCAAGTTTGATAACGGTCTTAACAGGGGACAAACATACTCACTTAAACTAAATTCTGTAACCGTGTTCTTTTAAAAAAATTTTGAGAGATGGTTGTTGCATTGATGTTTCCCACATTGATGCGTTGTTTCACCATTGAAATAGAGATTCATTTTAAATAATAACAGCTGCAACAATTCTGCATTTAATTAAATCTGGACTTACGCTTTGCCCATTTTAACTGAACAATTGCCTGAATAAAATCTGTGATAATATGAATGGAGGAAAAAAACCTCTATCATATTTATAATCCATGGCTTATTTGATCAATATCCAAGACAAAATGAAATGATATGCATGTTTTTAATCCGATCAAGACATTGTCTAGTTACCGCTGGAATACGAGTAAAACTAAAAAAAATAACACTGCTGATTCGTCTCGTAATAGACTATCGCACTATCGGTCTCGTAATTTTTTGTTAAGGTTTCAAAATCGTTTCTTTTTGTTGGTTTCTACTAGTAGCAAATTTTGATGACTAGGTTCTGGCATTATGGCATGAAAATTAATTGTAAAAATTTGTATTCAATTGAATTCAGTAATAGCTACCTTTTCCATTATGTGAACCATTTCGCTATAAAAGAACAAATACTATTTCAGAGAACTGGTACAATATAAAACAACATGGTATATAAAAATCATATCAGAAAGGCTTGTGCAAATAAATAGCAGACACATCACCTGGATTATAAGAAATAAGGGAGAATTGACTGAGGGAGCTGGAAGTGGAGATTCATTCGATTTCATTCATTTTATAGCAAACCTTTCGAATTAATGGCCAATAAAAATTTCAGATTGTACAAATATTTTGAATTTACATTTGATATTAAACGTTTTTTCTTAATCAGCGTTAAAATTTATAATTTATAGTTAAATTTTATGTTGTTTTGTTAAGATTTCACCATTTTTTTCAAAATTTAGCTTATTGCTCAATGTTACAATACCATTCAACTGTTCAAACTTATGATTTCGCAGTTCCCGCTATCTTTTTCAACTTTGTTGCGTTCAAGATCATGAGAAGTGTGGACAGAGGGCACCTTTTGAAGACCATAGACCTTTCCCTTATTACGTCACGCGCTCTTGAGCCCGCAATGCATTGTGGGACTTGTATTAATCGTAACACGTTGTATAATTGTCAACAAACTGCCGAATTATCATGGAGAATCCAGCAAATTCTGATGCCAAGCACTTCCCGGGTATTCAAAACTTTTATCCGGGGAAGCTTCTGCAACAGAAGAACTTAACAAGAACAGCGACGGGGATGCGACACAGAGGCAGGGGCGTTGTGGCTAGTCGGCACACCGGGAAATTTCCCGGTAGGCCCCTCTCAAGTGGGTTTGTAAAACCCAAGATAAACAGGCCCCTGTGAAAATGATGCGTGGAATATGAACAAGGCCACCGAGAGGATGACAAGGAGGGGCAAACTTCCCCAGAGCCTCGAGTCCTCTTAAAGCAAGAAATTCAAATTTAAGAAATGAATTTTAACGAAACGCAACAAACTATGCCCATAAAACCAAGCAAATTTAAAGGGCGAGACCCCATGTTTGTATTAAGTGTGCACTACAGCATTTGATCTGTTCCACATTTTTTGCAGTCTTAAGAAGGTTATGGTTAGAGAAAACGGGATACACCTCAAAATCCAGACAAATATGACTCTCCAGACCAATATGACTCAAGGGTCATATCAGTCCAGACCAATGTGATCTTTCGGCCATATCGGTCTAGGGAGGGCCATATCGGCTCAGACCAATATGATCATTCGGCCATATCGGTCTAGGGAGGGCCATATCGGTCTAGGGAGGGCCATATCGGTCCAGACCAATGTGATCTTTCGGCCATATCGGTCTAGGGAGGGCCATATCGGCTCAGACCAATATGATCTTTCGGCCATATCGGTCCAGACCAATATGATCTTTCGGCCATATCGGTCTAGGGAGGGCCATATCGGCTCAGACCAATATGATTTTTTGGCCATATCGGTCTAGTTAGGGCCATATCGGCTCAGACCAATATGATCTTTCGGCCATATCGGTCTAGGGAGGGCCATATCGGCTCAGACCAATATGATCTTTCGGCCATATCGGTCCAGACCAATATGATCCTTCGGCCATATCGGTCTAGGGAGGGCCATATCGGCTCAGACCAATGTGATCTTTCGGCCATATCGCTCCAGACCAATATGATTTTTTGGCCATATCGGTCTAGTGAGGGCCACATCGGCTCAGACCAATATGATCTTTCGGCCATATCGGTCCAGACCAATATGATCTTTCGGCCATATCGGTCTAGGGAGGGCCATATCGGCTCAGACCAATATGATCTTTCGGCCATATCGGTCTAGGGAGGGCCATATCGGCTCAGACCAATGTAATCTTTCGGTCATATGGGTCTAGGGAGGGCCATATCGGCTCAGATCAATATGATCTTTCGGCCATATCGGTCTAGGGAGGGCCATATCGGCTCAGACCAATGTGATCTTTCGGCCATATCGGGTCTAGGGAGGCCATTATCGGCTCATACCAATATGATCTTTCGGCCATATCGGTTCCAGACCAATCGATCTTTCGGCCATATCGGTCTAGAGGGCCATATCGCTCAGACCAATTATGATTTTTGGCCATATCGGTCTATGTTTAGGCCATATCGGCTTCTAGACCAATATTGATTATTCGGCCATTATCGGTCTAGGGGAGGTCCATGATCGCTCAGGACCAATATGATCTTTCGGCCATATCGGTCCAGACCAATTGATCCTTCGGCCATATCGGTCTAGGGCAGGGCCATATCGGCTCAGACCAAGATGATCTTTCGGCCATATCGGTCCAGACCAATATGATCCTTCGGCCATATCGGTCTAGGGAGGGCCATATCGGCTCAGACCAATATGATCTTTCGGCCATATCGGTCCAGACCAATATGATCTTTCGGCCATATCGGTCTAGGGAGGGCCATATCGGCTCAGACCAATATGATCTTTCGGCCATATCGGTCCAGACCAATATGATCCTTCGGCCATATCGGTCTAGGGAGGGCCATATCGGCTCAGACCAATATGATCTTTCGGCCATATCGGTCCAGACCAATATGATCCTTCGGCCATATCGGCTCATACCAATGTGATCTTTCGGCCATATCGGTCCAGACCAAAATGATCTTCCGGCCATATCGGTCCATACCAATGTGATCTTTCGGCCATATCGGCCCAGACCAATATGATCCTTCTTCTATAAATATTTGTTTCGCTGTTATTGTTGCTAATAGAGGGACCATGCAATTGTTATAAAAGAAAGGAAATTAAAAAATTACTAATTTAAGCAGAGCCACCGAGGTGTTCAGGGGGTCTCGTAAAGTAATGTACAGTGGAATCCCGATATAACAAACCCCAGATAAAACGAACTTCCTGGAATAACGAACTATATGTCCCTTGGACTCTGCCTAGCAAACTTCTTACAGATTCTCTCGGTATAACGAACCCCTGATATAACGAACTCTCGCTATTGCGAACCAAATTTTAGGTCCCTTCATCACAATTTTCCTCGATTTAACAAACTTTTCATAACTTTTTCATCTGTTATCTTTATCAATCTATCTATCTATTTATTTATTTATTTATTTATTTATTTATTTATTTTTTATTTATTTTTTATTTATTCATTTGTTTATTTATTTATTTATTCATTTATTTCCGGTGTTCATTTATAACTTTCTCTTGAGGGAAATCATTATCGTAATCGGGAAAACATGCTGATGATACATTTCAAGCACTGGCTGATAAACTCAGAGGACAAGATAAAAGTTTGATCGCATCAGAAATTACTGCGAACGAGTCATGGACACTAACGAACAATTTTATACAAATGAGACATTGGCGATGAGCGACGACCAAATTGTTTTGATAGACCAAGATGGAGGAGCAGAAGAAAACAAATAAGAATGATCGAAGATCGATCGATGATCGAGGTGATCGAAGACGTCATCCAGTCGCCAACTAGAAGTGAAGTTATAGCAGCTTTGCCATTATCTGAGTCCCAAATTATAAGAGGAATATAAGGATTGTCATTTTCGATGATTAAACATTAGGGATATTGAATAACCAGCTTGGTTTGCGGAGTAAAATGTGCACAGAGGTTTCAGATAGCCTAAGCAAGCCCACCAAAGTTTTTCTTGGCGTGTACTGCGAAAAATCCTAAAAACGTTTACTGCAAGTTTAACGAACTCCCGATATAATGAACTATTGTCTGGTTCCCTTCATAGTTCGTTAAATATGGATTCCACTGTACTTCATTTTAAGAATGGAATTATCAAACGTAGTAAGATTATGCCTAAAATAGTGAAACGCTGCAAGAAATAATCTGAATCGCATTTTGATGTGATCTGAAGGGCGCGGTCGCAAAAATTTTCTGCTCCCTCTGCTCGCAGATGGCCTTGTCTTTCAGTTATGCTCCAGGGCCTCCAAAACCTCCCGGCGTCCTGAATATAGCAAAAAAGGCTGGCTTGATGTTTGGCTATAATGAAATGATTGCTTAATGATGTTTGGCTATGCTGAAATGATTGTTTAATCATGCTTGGCTATGATGAAGAGCGAAAAGTACAGGTAGAAAGGCACCCACCTGTAGAATTGTGGCTATCCATTTGTCATGAAGTGCTGTTTTGGAGCAGACTTTGCTTGGCAAATTGTACACCTTGGATGTATGATGATACAAAATAAAACACACGATGAAGCTCTGAGGCACAGGAGCACGATAACTATAAAATCCCCAATAATGTGTGGAATAATTTGTCAAAATTACAACTATACTATTGTTTCTTTGAATTCTTGGACTTTTCACATTTTTCATAGAGGCTAACCTCTAATGAAAATTGGTTTCACAGAATCAGGCTTGCTTAAAATAACATGAAGTCTCTTTTTTGTCATTCATACTAAAATTTTTACAAGAAAAATGTTACTGTATCAAACAATTCAGAATGCAACGCGAATATTTAATTACTATCTAGTAATGTATTTGATGTATCTTCTAGCATTTAAGCCTCATGTTTGAGCAGAATTATACTGATAGTCTTAAACTTACAGTGAGTTTGCTAACATTTTATATCTTGAGGATTTATAAATGTTTAACGGGTCAATTTTTTGTTACCTCGCAATTGTCTTCTCCAGTTAAGTTCACTTTAAAATTGACAATTTCACAAGAAAATTGTCGCAGGCAATGATGGACGCATTGCAAATGGCTACTGACATTGTAAATGGTGACGACATTTGAGTTACATTCAAACTTCGTGTCCTGTAATACTTTCCTTATGAGGCCAATTGTTGTATCGTAATTGTCAAAAGATGCAGCACTGCAAAAAGCTGTGATCAAACTGATGCAGAATAGGGCAACGAAAAACTTTGAGTCCTTTTCGAGCATTGCAGAAACTTTGCTTGCAAACGACGTGTATTCAGCGACAGAAATGTAGCTTTACGTCTCAGAATATCTGTGTTTGTAAAGCTTTGTTCTCACTTTAACAGATACTGAAGTAGATATCACTGAAAGAAATCAAAACTTATCTTTTAGATGCTTTGACATCCTAACCTCTACCAGGATCTTCTCTAACTTTGTTCGGGAGACGAAACTATCAGTGTCCTTTGTTTCGAAACAATAGCGTCTTAAACCAATCAGTGTTGCAGGCTCATTGCACATGCGCATTGATAACAGTATTTGTACAGCTGTTCTGCCTCAGTTCAATGTTCTGTCTGCGACCACATAATTCTTAAACTTCCTGCCAGGGCTTCAAGTGATTATGCGCATGTGCAATGACGCCGAAACGGAGACTAGTGCATGTCTGGAAGATGGGCATGATTCATCTCTCGAACAAACCTGCAACAATCTAAAAATTAACTCAAGATGCATATAAAAAGCTAAATTGAATTCAAACACGACCACCTGGAAAATCCGCCCTACGTCTCTGTTATGAATTGCATGTAGATATATTTACGGATAGCTCCTTGTTTTAAGCTTTGATGGGGACATTTAGTATATGAATAATGCATGACAATGTTGCTACTTTAATTGGCTCATTTTTTTTAAAGACATATTGACATTTGAAAGCAAACAGTATAATTATAAAAACTGCAAGAGAGCCGTGCGCAGGTTTTCATTGCATGATACAGCTTCTTAACTAAGAAAACTGCAAACTTTGTTTAAGAACAATAAAACATTGTGAAATACAAACTAAAGCGATTATCTTCAAATTTATAAGGAAAAAGCAGTTTACATCACTGACTTCAAAAGCAGCTTCATTTTGTCTGTGTTCGTTAGGATAAGGATTTTATCAAACTTTCGGTCACTGACAAGCACCAGACAGCCATTGGGCTAGTAGGGGCTATAGCCCTTCTCTTCCCAATTTTTTTGCAAAATAGGTTAAGAAATTTAATACGTCTACTCTAACGCAACTTTTGAAATTCCCTCTCATGTATCCTAAGTAATAGCTGCAGGCCCACCGAGAGGGGGGGGGGTAAGGGGGGCAACTGCCCAGGGGCCCGGCGCCAGATAGGGGCCCGTCAATAAGTCTTCAATTTTTCAAAATGTTAATTTTTGAATCAGGGAAGTCATAATAATAAATCAAATAACTGTTAACAAACAAAATACCCATCAAGTAAACAAAATAGGTTAACAGGCAAGGTAACACTCTAGTAAGCTTTAATGTCTTTAGCTGTCCGAGAGTAAAGCTTTGCGAGCTTTTCCTTCAGCAAACGCATTAATAGCATCTTGCAAATCTACTTTTCGAGCAATGTCTCGCTCATGTGATAGCACAGCCAAGTCATTAAGCTGGACTTGTCCCATTGTTGTCCTCAAGTGATCGCAACAGTAACTGGAAGACAGCAAAAAATTCTCAACACGATGAAGAGATTTGGAAAAAGACTCATTAATCCCAGACCTCCAGCTTATTAAGGAGATCTAAGGGGCTCAAACAAACGTCTCCAAACTTTAATCGATGGAGATGTCGTAGTTGAATCATTTCTTCTAGTAGATCCGGAGAAACATCAGTAGCATAGTTGGCTGCAAACTCTTTTACAGCGCTGTTCAACTTAGTTTCTTCCATTTCCACGTATCGCCATAAGAAGCTGAGATTTGAGGCAATATTTCTTGTTTCTCGACATCTCAGTGAAATCCCGGTCAAGACAGAGTCAAACGCAACATAGAAGACATTTAATTTGGATTCGTCTTCGTTGGACAATCCACAGGATTCGTTTCTATTGTCAGCCCTACGCTTTCTTTTTCGCCTTGACTCAAAAACTGAATCAATTTCAAGCGATTCAGCAACGAATTTTGCTTCATTCACGATGGCATCCCAATTATCTCTGATGGCTTTTATTTCTTCAATAAGCACATCAAGCTGCTTTACTGCCTCGTCAATTGTAGAAATGCTCGTTTCCATCAGCAAATTAGCGGTGTGAATTGGAACAAGAATCTTGTACCAAAATGTGAGCAGGATCAAACCCTTGAAGGATTTGAAATAATTCAAAAGGATAGACCAAACTTCCATTGCTTCTGCAGATAAACTGGTATCACCCAGTTGATCAAGAGCCTTCAAAACACCAGGTAGATTGCTTGCAATGGGCTTAACATCCTCTATTATTGCAGACCAACGAGTTGTCGATGTTGCGTGAAGTGATGCACCTGTGCATTCAAGAAGGATTTATTAGGCTGGGCTTAATAAATTATACAGTTTTTGGACATATCCAAAGAATGATTTGACTTCATCACATGACTGTGTAGAATCAACCCCAACAAGATTTAAGGTGTGACAAGTAGAAGGAGAAAAGATGTCCAAGGAATTCTTTTCGAGTAGGTGTGCCTTTATTTTCTGCTTCTAATTCTTCAGATACATATACAGTTTCGACTGGCTGGACTTGCTTGGACAATGACTTCGTTTGGACACTGAGTTTTCACTTGAATCAATCAACTCTTCTTCTAAATTTATATCCGTTGAAGTGACAAGGTGAGCTGAGCCATTGTCGGGGCTATCGTCAGGACCGTCGAGAGGGGGGGGGGTAACCAGGGTAGTTACCAGGGGGCCCGGGGCCTTGAGGGGCCCGTAGAAAATAAGGTATGTATTTTTGGCTATGAGTTTTCAATTAGCAGCATTGGCAGGGCGGACCCATGACCCGATTGATATTCGAAATTTATTCTTTCAACAAGGGTTCAACAAGCTGGTCTATGATGAGGGCCTTTTTTTGTTAAGGTTTATAATTAAAACATTGACGATACGATCACAATATACTTCTCCGGAAGCCGAAAAATTCGATTGCACTTACATATATCTACTTTTAGGTCAAATGTTTTAGTTATTCCTTGTGTGGACTTCCTATAAACGTAAAACTAAATTTTCCATTCACGGCGTACACCAGAGAAAAAGCACATGCGAAGAACCAAGACAAATCCAAACGCTATAAAAGTCTTAATCAAAATCACTAAGCGGGATCACGATCCAACCAACCCCTGCGATGTCATCTTACAGGCACAAGTCTGGTGCTCAGAAAAAGCAGGAAAAAAGATGCGAGAAAAAGAAGCAAAGAAAGCCTCTCGCACATTGTTTGAGGTAGGTGCTTACAAGAGACAAGGAAGGTGATTCAACTTTAAATAAACCTGGTGAAAGCTCTGTTCAAAGCACCGCTGAAGAAGAAGAAGACACAAACGGCTTGGCTGCTTCGGTAGACCATGACACCCCAGAAAGTAGAGAAAGCACTACTGATTCGTCATTAAATCAAGATACTGTTCATAGTGGATCATCTAGTTTTGATGTCGGCACATTGACCGGATTTCCAACGATAAAGGAGTTAGAAAAGGTTGTTAGAACTGGTCATTTGCCTCATCCTCCAGAGTTTCCCAAAGATTGCGACGGCCACAAATTTCCAACAACGGTCCTTAATGTGAAGCAGCAAAATTGGGAGGTAGTAAGAAGAAGCTGGCTTGTTTTCAGTCCTACAAAGGCTGCACTCTATTGTTTGCCATGCACACTATTAATAATGGTTCAAAATCAAAATTGGCTTCTCCTGATGGTTGGGGAGCGAACGACAGCTGGAAAAGATTGTGGGAAAAGATTAAGGATTTCGCCATGAGGAAAGCAAGAAAAGCAGTTTTTTAAACATTAAATTAACTCTGATTTTTAAACTGATTTGTTTTAATGATTTGTTTTATATAGTCACTAATTACATGTTCTGTTAAAGACCTTAAAATACAAATTCAAGTGTTTCAGGGGCGTTGATTTCAAAATTCATGCCTTTTACAGTCCATCTAACTGCATTGCTAAGGGCGTAATCCAAAAAAGGTTTTTGTAGCCTTCGACTGTGGGGCCCCATGACAGTCCCAGCCCTGGGGCCCGGCCCGTCTCTCGACGGCCCTGGCTATCGTTTGAGCGGCTTGCATCAGACGGAGTTGCCGAGACGAACTTCAAAATTGATCTTTGGTTTTCCAAGGATTTTGATACTTCTAATTTCTTCTCGTTTCGCTTTTTCGCACCACTTTTGTGCTTGTACATGGCCCAGATGACCAAAAAGCAAAGTGTTTAAGCTAGAAATTATTTTGATATCGACCATAAGAAACATCCAGTTGCCATTTATTTTACGAATATAACTTGGCCTAGTCTAAAGAGCTGAACAAAATATGAGTCTGATTCGTTACCTCGTTAAAGGCATTGAGTCATGGTAAATAGGCTTTCTCTATAGGGGGTCATTTGGTTTCTGCGTGATCGCTGCTGTTTCATGTGATATTGGCATCCGTTGTTGACAACTTGCTATTGATGGAAACTGTTATGTTAATCAGTACGAGGTGAGTTCATGTGACCAGTTCAAGGTCAACCAATAGCATCGCAGTCATGGAAATCATGACTCAGCGGATCTTGGCACTTAGGGTATACCCAGTCTATTTATCATGACTCAATGCCTTTAACTCGTTAAGTTTTTACCTTGATAACAGGCCGGAGACTATGGTATCGAATTCCAAGTTTTGATATAATGCTTCCTATTTTTCGAAATGATGGACTAATTTGCATTTTGTGAGAATAATTTACAGTGATTAAAACTCCAAGACAAAAAGTTGTTCTGAATCATGCGGAAACGTGATCCAAGTTGCGAAAATTGGTGGGGAGGGGGGCCCGTGAGTTCGAGTTGCACTGGGGCCCGTCGTGGCTCTCGGCGGCACTGAATAGCTGTTTTTTAACTGGGATCCCTTATGTTCATTTTTTGCTGTTTAATGATATGTTGTATTTTCTAACTTGGTTAGCTTGGTGTTTAATTATCCTTAAGCTAATTGTATCTCCTTTTTTAGTAATTGTTATCTTTTCTGAATTAGACTGTTTATGAAAAATAAGTTGAAATAAGCAATTATTTTCTAAGAGGGGTATTTGGCGTTCTGAAGGGCATGGTCTCCAAAAAATTCTGTCACACCCATCGGCCACGCTATTTTCAGATCACTGAAGACGGGCTCAGGACCATGGGGGAATTGTTTGCCTAACGATTGGAGAACATGGTAGGATTTTGCCTGAATTGAGCCTGAAATTCGATACATTCTGCCTTATTAGAGGTATGCTGTAGCCCTGCTGGCCCCTATTTCTCGCGCCTTTTTCAGGACCCTTGCTTAAATAAATCAAAGTGAAATGAGCATGCCTTGCATAGCAAAAAAGTTACGGAAAAGCGTCTATAAATACATATTTATATAAGTATATATGTATTCCAGATTGCATTGTCTATTCTGACGTGACAGTGCTCGATGTGCAAAAGCACAGAGCAATAGATATAATAAAATAGAATATAGACTAGAAATGAGACATGTTCTCTGTCTCATTTCTAGAAACAGAGAACATGTCTCATTTCTAGTCTATATTCTATTTTATTATTAATATATATGTATAGATATAAATTTATAATTATATACATGTATGCGTTCCCCTCTACCCACCACGTAGTGTACTCATTCTTCGTACACAAAAATAAACAGTTTTAATTGATAAAGTATCTGAATCAATCAATTCCACAACTGATTTTTTATTTTGAGCAACAGGGACACACAAATTCGAGCGAAGATTACAAAAGGACAAAAAAAGAATCTACTCTACTTCTCTCCTCAATTTCTGTCCCCAAATTTATGCGGCTCTTATTGTATAACATAGCCTCTAATAGCCGAATGTGGAGATGACACCCTTTGTATATCGAACAACTTTTGTGCTACGTTCTCTGCGTTTTTATTGAAAACTGCGACCGGTCCACAGTCAATAATTGTCTGCCAGCAATCATTGAAGGATATATGTCCAAGTTGGAAGCTAAAGAACGAAAAATAGAAAATGGGAGGGTGGCTCAGTAGTTAGGACCGCCGACTACAAATCCAAGGATCTGAAGTTCGCGTCCCTGACTCGACCAATCTTTTACTCAGAGTGAGGGGAGTCGCCAGCCCTCTGTAATTCCAAGCGTAGAAATCACTAGGCGTGGTCATATCGAGAGGAAGGACCAGGACACTGCTCGATAAACTCAGCTTCTCGTTGCCCTAAAGCTATCTTTGGATGCTATGTAGAAACAATTAACCAATAACAGTTGCGACAATAGGAAAGATTTAGACATATAGCATCGTTAATGGATAGTTGTTATTAAGGGTTAGAGTTCATACCCAGTAAAGATATTACATTTCGTACTTATCAAAATTTCCTTTACATTTCTGTATGAATTAGATTAAAATGACCAATTCTTATTTTGAATTGCTCAAAATACAGTAGAAAATTGTACCGTAAAGGTCCAGTCGGGTCCAAGACTCAGGGACACCTGGAGGCTGATTTGATTGCATGTCAGAAGGGTGGCGACATTGTATCTTGAATATTTTTAATTTTATGCAATCTTGAGTGTTATTATTAGACTTTCAAAGAAAACAGGACTACAAATAATGACTGTATCGCTGCAAATATTGTTTGAAAATCTTCCAAACATCTTATCTACAGACTTAAGTTTGCAAAATAAATCAAAAATGATTTGTTCAAGTGTTACATGAAGGAACAAATAAAGTAGGATTCTATGGAATAACGGTATTTTACGGGTGGTAATGTAAACCCAGCTAATCTTTATTTATGTAAGACATGAAAAGATATGTGATTTACCATTTTATTGCCAACCTGTTTGTTTTGCCAATTTTGCTGAGATTTTTTATTGCCAATCTGTTCGTTTTTCATCAGTCTAAGGCCTGGTTCAAACGTCGCGCTTCTCATGTGCCGAACCTAACTCGAGAATTAAGTACATGAGGGGCGCGACGTTTGAATCAATTTGATACGGCAGATTTAGTTAGGAGTGGCAAACTAGTTTGGATCGGCAGAGCTTGCCGAGCTGCACGACTCCAGCACGGCACGGTTTCAAGCGTCGAACTTGTCATGTACCGAACTCAATGCATAATTATATTTAATTGATTTTCCTTCACAGAATTCATTTCTTTCTTGGAAGGCGCATGCGTTTCAAACAAATATTTGAGATTGTGCGCCTTAACCAAGATACTTCATGTAACAATCTAAAACCCATTTGGCGCGACTTGATTAAGTTCGACGTTAGAAACGGGAGTCGCGCTAAACATGCTCACGTGTCGCTCCAAACAGAGTTAGGTTCGGCACATGAGAAGTGTGACGTTTTAAATAGGCCTTAGGCTCCGTTCAAACGGGAACGTTTCCTTCCATATCGTTCCGTTTCAAAAAATGGAACGTTCGAGGGTTGCGTTCACACGGGAACTCTTTAAATCGTATCTTTCCTTTCCGAAACTGGAAGGCTGTCAACATTCCGTTCCGTTGTGAACAGGTGTAAATGAAGGCGCATTGGTTAACGGGACGGAACGATTGCGTTTCCCTGCGAACAGAAGAAAAAACCGATACGCAGTCGCTCTGGTTCATCGTGAACTGTTAATTTTTTTGTTCGAAAACTTGGAACGCTGTTGGGACGGTACCATAGAAATGGAAGTTACACATTCTTTTTATAAGAAACCGCTTTATAAGAAACTCACTGGTAGAAGGCCAAAAAAATTAAGAAACTTCCACAGGTAAACGAAAAAAAAACTAAAAAACTTTTCAATTCTTCATTCTTGTTTGAAATATGGAAGATAACCACTGTGTATGGTTTTACGCTGCGCATGATTGTGCTAACTACATCCCCTACGCGAAATATCTGCATTATATGACAAAAGGTACACTGGTGAAATAATGTGGTTCAACACGAAGTTTGGGGAATACAGAGTTTCGTTTCAAGACAAAAGATAAGACTTTCTCGTGCCGATATCAATGGAGTAGATATGATGCTCCTTGAATAACGTACAACTGTACAACTATATTAGATAGATTTTCCAGCCTAACCTTATTTTTCATTTGCTTTCCGATGTTTTTTATTCTATGTGTACGCTTTTTTCAAAAATCCAATTAAGAAACTTTTAAGAAACTTTTACTGGTAAAATGTGTCCAAAAATGCCCTAAAATTAAGAAACTTCAACCGGCGAAGCTTTAGCTAGGTTTTCTTTAAAAAAACGTGTATGCAATCGTTCTCTAGTGAATCGTTCTCGGGGCCAGGCTTTTTTCAATAGTTTCTTCATCTACCTCGCTTTAAAGGCATTCGACGCAGGTAAAAGTGACTCCACCAGCAGCGGTTGACCAATCGAAATGCGCACAGAACATGTGAACATGTGAGTAACATGTGAACAGTTTCCGCTTTCTGCAAATCGGCGAAATCCTAGCGCAGCGCACAGTGACTCAAAATGGAGAATGAAGATATAGCTAAAGTTCCAATAAAGGCCACAAATTAATCGATCTTTTCACAATCATTAATATCAGTTCACTGGAATCTTCGAGCAGCTATGTTCTCACTTAGCGTCTTGGGCAATGGTGCGAGTTATTCCAGTAATAAGTTTCACGTGAGCAGTTTCCACTTCCTTTCATGCGCGCGAAATAATTTTTGGATTTGCTGTTCTTACATATAATAATGAATAATTTATTTAAAGTTGGCAACGAAATCCAGCATTAAGCTAATTCAAGCCAACTATTTACAATGAATATGAAAAGTAATTGTTTATAAAAAGGCTTTAAATGTTTAACACAATCTACAGCTGCACTCGAAGATTTTTAAAGATTTCATATGCATGTCAAATGCTTTTAAAGATAGGGTCCTGTCGCCATGTATTGGTGCACTATTGTCAAATTTTTCAGTTCATTTCATTTCAAAGGTTTAAAGAGGGTAGCCCTTCAGCAATGCTGATTTTCAAGGGGCCCTCCATTTAAAATAATTACAGAAACCCTTGTAAAAAACAAATTCTTCTAATAACAATTAAATATATTTAGGGTAATTTTGTTATCTTGTTTTAACAAAATATGTGTTATCTTGTTTGAACAAAAACTTCTAAAATATCTACTCACTATAAGAGACACCTTGGTTGCCCTCTAAAAGATGTTTTGAATTATTATTAGATTCGTTCGATTTGCTATCCGTACAACCAGAATTAAGAAAAAAGTAGATAAAATGTTAGCTACCAAAACATAGGTAGGGATGACACATTTTTCAAATAATTCTTTCAGATTTTAATTCCAGAATAATAATTTTATTGCACAAAATATTGCTCAGCAATCCTTTTGGCTAAACATAAATGCAACGGTATGAAACAATTTATGTCCTTAATTTTGTCAATGCATTTCTAAAAATTATCGCAATTTTTTTTCAAATTTCTGTGACTTTTTACTTTGAATCAGACATTTTACTGTGAATTAATAAATGCAGTAAATTGATGTTCTTTACAAGCAGCAGAAAAGAAAATGAAATTAAAACATGGCATGGTGATCTCAGAAAAGGCTGGAGAGATTGTAGCCCCCGAGAGTTTGAAATTTTGTCGAAAATCAGCCCCAATCGAATAAAAATTTTCTCTTAATCCAGCAAGTGTTAGCAAACAATGGAACTTTTGTCGGACAGCACCATTGGATTTTTTCTTCCCGTGCGCTTATGCCTTCACAGGCGACTCTGGGTGGAATTCCGGAGGTGCACAATTATGTTGGCCTGAGACAGATAAAAAGCGGTGGGAAAAAAACCCTGTTTCAAAAAATATTGAAAAGCATTTTTCAAATTCGTAATGCTCAATGCATAACAGGGCTGTAGAAGTACTGCAGAAGTCAAGAACAGTTCACAGCCAGTAAAACAATATTTTACCCTGCCTGGGAAATACAGACAGCGCTAGGAAGTAAAAAATAGGTAAATTGCGTCATCAAAACGTTTTCGCGCGTATTTTTTGACAAACTTCAACTTTTATCGCCTCTTCTTCAAACTTGAATACGACAAGATCAAAAATCAAGATTCGATTAGTGCACAAACTCATGGCGTCAGGACCCTACTTTTTCTTTGCAGAAAAGATTGATATATCAACAGCTCACATTACTCGTGTAGAGACACAGTTGTCCCTGAAGCAGAAACTTGTAAAACTTAACCAGCAGCCTTGTTGGCAAACAGATGCTTAAGTTACTCCTTTTTGGTCCAGCAATTGAAGTAATATTAAGCTTCGAGTCATAGAAATGAAACAGGACAGAAATAACGAATTGCAACCATAGCACGTGTGAATTTGTCTCATGCTTACCAAAAGCATTGACCAATACGTGCATAGATAAATCAAAAGCTATAGATTTAACACCCTTGTTCATCCATTTAGGTAAACATTGAATAGAACATATGATAACTATCATTTCAAGTTATTATTATTATTAGGAGATATAATTTGGTTTCAGATAGATGGCTCTGAAAATGACGTTTACAGAAACTCGATGCATCTGGGAACAATAAGTGGAGACCCCCCCCAAAATCCATCTCAAGTATAAATAGTGTGGCTGAGCCCCCCGGCCCTCCTCCACGGCACCCCTGAATAGGGCTTAACACTGAAATTCATGGTAATACAGCGGACAGATAAAGGAATTTGGCTTTTAACAAATAACGCATAAGGCACTTCCCATAAGAACTGGAGCTAAAACAAATTTAAATTTGGCACAAAACACTTTTCAAAAATCAAAAATTGTGTGTAATCATTGATAATTATCTAAGACACCTAAACATGACAAGTCAAAATGAAATTGCAATGATTATAAAAATAGACGAAGTACGAAGTCTGAAAAACAGTTACGACTTTGCAAAAGAAGGCATTACCAAAAAACGCTTAAATTAATATTGACAGAATGGCATCTGAACGCCTAGAGCCTTAATGTACAGCACATGAATTTGCTACAGCAAGAAAAAACAACATGAAACTAACCAGATTACTTCTGACAGCACTTTAGGTGTTACAAGGACGAAAAGCTTAAAATTCTGCGCACAAACATAGAAGACATTCAAATTTAACATGAACCTGCCTTAAGATTTTCAAAAAACAGATAGGTATGAATAAGTTTGTAGAGTTTTCAATCCATGTTCTGACATTCTATAATCTGACGTTGGTCAGATGAAATGCCTAAGTATGTTTTAAAATGTTTGTTATTTTCAAAGCCATTTTCAAATTTGGCGTGAATTTAGATGCAATTATTGGCAGAAACTTATCAAATACCATGCATACCTCTAAACGTGGAGCAAACACGATTTTTGGGTTATGCCCAGTGTGGATTTGGATATATGCTTGATTATTTTTCTCTATCAAACAATTCGTTAATTCGGCAACTAATGAACTAAGATGAGAGGGGATATAAATAAAAGTCGGGATAGGCTATCAACGGCACTGAAAGAAAAGTTTTCTCGTTAAATTTATTCCGGAATAAATTAACATTATACCAAGACGTTGGGCGCATCCTTTACGCAATCGTCCCTGGAGATGAATCCATTAATTTGTCGAATTATGGCAGTCCCAAGAGAGAGATATTGATCTATTTATACCAAACATCTAATATCAAACTATATACCATAGAAATATCGTCTTTAAATATGGCAAGCCTTTAGTTGGAATACATAGTTGATTCTAAAGTGATACCAAACTATAATTCTATTGTGTTTCGGTCTTTTTCGTTCGGAAAGATTTCATAGAACATAGAACGTGAAAAGACTGAAAGCGAATTTACGTGTAGGGCTATTTGCTATTACAAGCAAAAGGAGACTTGGATACATGCACAAAGATTTACCAATGTAGAAATTAAACCTTGAAAATATGTTGTCATTGTTTCCATTGCACAGTTGCAGGTATCAGGTACTTTGACAGAATGCAATTCAACTTTGTGAGAAACAACGAATCGCGGTCGTTACCTATCTAAACATCCGATAATTGACGATGTATTTTACCAATTATTATGGCTTCCTTTCACAGTAATTAGCAACCTTGAATGTTCAGTCCAAGAATATTTGTAAACAGATGGCCATTTCGCAAAATATTCAGGTATGTTTTAAAGAAAAAAACGGGGGTTAATGAATGATCGTTTCAAAAAAAGAAAATGGAATTCAGCACTCTGTTAGCAACTATAAAGGAGGGATTGATAAATTTAACATCCGTAAAATTTACAATTTAGTTCTTATTCTGATCAATTGAAAAGGAGGATTGTCTCGTTTCTATGTGGATCTCTATATACATCGAAATTACAGCAACAGAGACGCATGCTTCATCGCTTATTTCACTAACCTAAATTGCAAATAAGTTCAAACCGACAACATCCCTGCTAAAAACGTAATGATCAACCTTTTTCATCGTTTTAATAAATACCTTCTCACAGCGAAAACAACAAAACATCCCACAGCTATACCAATAACAAAACCAACAGGAGAAAAATCCTTTAAGTCTCTAGGATCTTCTGACGGTGAGTCCATGCTTTCCCGACTGCTTGATAACTCAGTAGCCTGGTAGGTGAGAAGAGCCACATATAATAATTTCTATTTCATGAAAGTTTTCAACCAACTCTAATTCAAGGAATAAAATCTTACCTTTTTTGCCTAATTAAAAATTTTAGCCAGACTTTATTTTTGAAGGAAATAAATCTTATTAAATTTAAATAAAATTTGAAATATTAAGAGGTTACAAAATAAAAACGGTACATATTTTTCTGTTTCCTTACAAATACTTTAATCTTTCGCGTTCCGCCAGACTTTTCTTTTTACTTTTCTTTTATATTTCATCGTTCTTTTTCCTGTCATTTTTCTTTCTTGTCTGCTTCTATTTTCTCTTTTGCTTTCTTTTCACCTCTTTTGATCTACTTAACATTTATCTTCACTTTTTTTCTTTTCACTAGCTGTCTATTTTTCGTCCTTTCTATCTTTCTTCTGGAGTGAAGTGCTCTATATTTCTCATCTTCTTTTCTTCAAAAATATTCATAAAGAAATTAATACAAATAAAACTTACTTGCAAAATGCACCCAATGTGTTTGTGTATTACTAATCTTACTTTTTTGCTTGATCTAAAAAGTTCTACAGCATCTGCATGTTTCATCTTTTCCAAATTTGTGCTATTAACCTGCAAAGAAATAATATTCTCAAAAAATATAATAACTGTGAATTGAATTATTGAAAAACTTTGCTAAGCCCATTTTAATCCTATTGGCAAATCCAAGATACATTAAACAAGTAATAGTGATTTCATGACAGGGGCAATAGGGGCAGAAGTCACTGTGCCCCCTGCACTTGAAGTTGTTGGATTTATTGAAAAAATTTGAAGAAAGGTTGCTAAAATTGGCTTCACACACACTTTTCAGTTCCTGTAATGTATAGGCAAAGAAAAGTCAGAAAAATTATATCTTTACCACCTTTTCTTGAATTTGATTCTATAAGGGACATTGCTTATAAGTTAAACATTTACATATAATTATAATCATTTCACTGCAGAGATTTTTTTGCAAAGATTAAAAAATTACTAGACACTATTATAAGAAAAATGGTTTTTTTGAAAATCAGAAATTGTTTTTGAAAACTATTATAAGGAAAAATTGTTTTTTTACCACAGCAGAATAACAAAATTCTAGGCTAAGCTAGATCCAAACAAGCTAATCAAATCAAAAGTCTCGAGCCAGCTGTATTCTGAAAGACATTTGGGTGAAAAAAAAGAATTTGTAAAGGGGACAAGATGGGGAGAAATTGGCAACACCTCACTGTGAAAACGGAGTGCTGTTTAATCAAACTTTGGTCAAACAACAAACAAGAAAGTTCTGCTAATTCACCTCTAGCACTTTGTCTCCTACTTCTAGACAATCAAGCTTGTCAGCATTTGATCCTTTTCGAATACTCGTGATAAAAATTCCATCATCTTTGCTATACAAAGGTCTGTCTGCCCCTCCTTCTAGAGTTAAGCCAAACCCATCAGCTAAAAGGATAAAACATGACGAAAATGACTACAAGTGGACTTTGGCTACAGTAGCAAAATGGGGTTGTATAAAATAAAGTAGAAAGTCAATCAAATTATAGGTTTGAGAAAATAACATTTGAAAGCAACACATCTTGGATCCCCCCCCCCCTCCCCCAACCAATGTTTGCACAGCAAAAAAAACCTTAAAATTAGCACTCTGTAAGCTATTATGACCCTCATGATTTAGCTTTTAGCTTTTATGGTCCTTAAAACTCAGAGAGATTTTGTTATTTTTATATCAAGCAGTTATCAAGATATTTGAAGCTACTACCATATGAGCAAAAGCTGCCATATGAAAGCATTTAAAATTGAATCTCCATAAACATACAAAATAGAGGAGACCAAAAAATTTACTATCCAAACACATCGTACAATATACAAAACTTTAAGTAATTCAAAGAAGCAGAATGATCTGGGATTTTATTCCTGCCCTGGGGTTTTATTGCTGCCTTGGGGTTTCATTCCTACCCTGGGGTTCTATTCCTGCCCTGCAATTCTATTCATGCCCTGCGGTTTTATTCATGCCTTGGGGTTTGCAATAGAGGAGTTAAGTCTTAAGGCTTTCTCTATTTTCAAACTGCATTAAGTTCATGCCATATTGAAACAATAGCAATTTTCCTTGAATAAAACAAGTGACTAGTTCTTAATTACTTAATCATTTTAAGTTCTCAAAAACATACCTCCTTTTGAGAGTTCAACACAGATCTGGTGACCATTCAAGAACAGCTCAATATCTTTCCCATCTACATCCAATGGCTGGATAAAAATTTAGAGAATATGAATGAATCACATCTATTGGTCCAAGTTTTTGCCATTTCTCCCCCAATTTACATACAAAAGTTGTGAAACCATGCATCAGCTTAAATTAAACAATATTTGGTATGTCTACTGCAGGAACAAAAAGGAGCAAGAAAACATTGATGTCAAACAATAGATCTCCAAGGATTACAGATATCAGGAATGGAACGTATGATAAAACTGTGCAAAACTAAAAAGCAAACATTGAATCATCTTTGTCATTAAACAGATTCGATAACATTTATTCCCATTTTGCAAACAAAAGAGACAGTTTTCTCCATCTATTCAGTCAATACCCTAGAGTTTTTAATCATAAATAAAATCTACGCAGGAGAAATCATTCATTAAAAATTAAAAAGAAGGTTTTTTACCAACATGTCCAAACAGACTGGAAATAAAGGCCCTATCCCTTCTAGATATTGCTCACTTCACTTTGCAAACTTGCAAATGGCCATGCAATTAAAATTTCATGACAAACTTGTTTTGCCTTCACTATTGTCTCTCTTTTTTGTCATTGTTCTTGGCCATTCCTGGACCACTGTTTATACAGTTGCCTGCTGATTGCATTAAGCATGAAACTCAGAGTAGCAGCTTAGAACTGTTCTGTTATATATGCCCACTAGCATAAAAAAGACCTATATAATACATATACACATATATGCACAGAATTAAATCTGACCAAACCAATTTCTTGTACGTTTAAGTTCAAACCATGCAAAAAGCAAAACTCGTAGCTGGCTTGTCTTAAGAAATATAAACATTTCCTATTAGGTCCTAAAATGGGTTACAGATTGCCCGTACAGTACAGCATGTGGAGGTGAGTATTTCTCCAGCCAAACTGCTTGTGAAAAGTACTCATGGGACTAAAAGAATGCCTTATAGAAACCAGTTTTAGCTCATTTTTCAAGGTTAAAACTTGAAATAAAAATAGAAAGGGAATTATTAGAGAAGAAGTCTCATTAATCTCTGGGTAACTATTAATGCATTATATATTTTTCCAATTTATAAAACAAGTTTTATTTTTTTGTCAAGTTATATTTTTATCAAGAATTTTTTTGGCTGTTGAGTGAGTAGAAACTTCACACAAGGATCAATACAAGCATTTTAATGTTTCTAAAATATAATGATTTTGTCTAGACAAATCAACATAGATTTTAAAAGGTTGTTACACGTTTTGTCGGTAACAATACGCAAGTTATTGTCAGAAAAGATGACTTGTCGAATTATTTTCGAAGAAAAATAATAGCCTGTCTGGGCCATTCTTGCCGAAGGAATATTTGGCTTGCCTATCACTCACAAACCGGAACTCATACATGGAAGTTGAGCAGTCAGCAAATTCACACGGCCTAAACTTATATTATATGGCTAAACCTAGTATATACAGCTTACCCTTTCAACATCAAAAAGCGAATCCTGCCTCTGACATACCTCGACCTCTTCGTCGCTCATTTTAAAATGTTTTCGGTGTCACCAAATTAATGCAGATTTTCAACAATTTCAGTAGGGTAGTCTATCCTTTCACTTTCGTCAAGTATCGTGACATCTCACAAGCCTCGTGTTCAGAATTCAGAACGAGAAACAAAAAGCCATTGTTCTAACACTTAGGAACTAATCGTTTCGAAAATCGGAAAAACACTGAAAAACAATGAACGGCATCAGATTGCCAGAAAATATCTGACAACTACTAAGAAAATTTTGATTGGACGACGATTTTCCAAATAACTTCCAAATTCGATAAATTTAAATATTTTTGGCAAATGACTTTAGTGCTTGTGCGAGTGTCTTACCAAAGACTACCAAATCCCTGTTTAGACCATGTCAGCTTTTAATTGGCTGTCAAAAATTAAGTCATGTTTACGAAAACTTTATAAAGTTAATATACAGACCAAGGACTAAAGAATCAATATGTTTTTGTCCCATGATAAGAGATTTATAGGTGATCTTTGGCTTGACTTCATTAGGAATACTTGCATCCTGCGGTGCTCCTGAGTCAAGATTTATCAAAACTAGTCACTCTCAACTAAGTATAGCAATAAAAAAGTAAGGATACCAGCATGAATGAAGCGAACCGAAATGAAGCAAACCAAAAACCAGTAGTTTTGTAATGTAATTCCTGATAAGCTCCTATAACTCTAAATAGTTCACTTTCTATTTGGCATTTAGTCAAAATGTAACATTTTTACCAAGAAAGACAAAAATGTTAATTTATGACCAAAGCTATTTTTTTGTGAATTCCGATCTGCTCATTTGGTACGGTCTAAAAACATTTACTTATCCCTTTTTTCGCAAACGTTTGATAATTGCAAAAAAACTGCGTTTGCAAATAGTTCGAATTACTTGGAATTTCATTCTTCGCCCCCTTTAATTGAGTGAAGCCAAAAGCAGCTTGACATTGAAAATCATAGCTGAGTTGGCTGCTTTCGAAGGAAAGAAAAATTTTTTTACAAAGTCATTAAAAACACTAGAAGGATCATGAATGAACCAAGTCGCAAACTAAGCCGACGCAAACACAAGTGTTATTTTGAATGGAAGTATATCCTTTCAAGTGTTTAAAAGTTAAATATCATAGCTAGATATGTGGCAGGAATAAGTGGGACTCCACTGAACCTACTGACATTAAAAAACCAACATTTATCCAAGGAGGAGAGGGATGTTATTGCCAATGCGAAAAGGTTAAGTGTGACGTACCAAGCAAGGCTTTTGACAAAGATTATGGGTTAAAAGAAAAGAGAAGAAAACAAAGAAGAAGACGAGGAGAGAACAGAAGGAGAAGAACAAAAAGGAGAAGATACAAGAAAAGAAAGGGAAAGAAATATGACCAGATGAGCACAAGCTCTGTCCCCATCAAACCTCTGTAGTTTGATCTCAGTAGTTTGATTTTGTATATATGGGAGTATTTCATGTTGAGAAAAAGAAAAGGGGAGATAGCAGGCAGGAAAAGGCAGCAAATTGGAAGTAAGAAGCAGAAAAAAGAAGAAAGTTTACGGGAAAGATAAGAAACGCGTTAATAGGAAGCTTTAGTTGGCTGAAACTGCAACGTAGCAAAGAATTGTGCTAATCTTTAATGAATTTCTCTCCATAGTTTTTTAGACATGGATATGTTACGTATGTTTTAATTTGCCCCTGCTATTAAGTATTCCAATCTTTACTTTGCAACGTTGCCTATCTAGATGTCATTATATCTCAAGGTATCTTGTTTAATTCTATCAGCATAAATGTAAGAAAGTATGACGAATGGACCTGTTTACGTTCTCTTGCTTTTTGCAATGAAAGTCCCCCGCCCCCTTTTTAAGGTGAATTCTCGCATCCATTGCAGGCCACATTCAAAAACCAACCCACCCTTGAAATGGCTTTTACTATGGAGAAAAATTCCAAACCATCGAACATGGTCCACAGCTATTAGAGATGTTTTGTATCGCGGACCATCGCCAACATGTTACGTTATATGAAAACCGGGCGTTATAACAAAAGATGGTAATATGATACTCATGAACAATATTTTAACGCGAAAATATTGGTTTCCTCAAGAATTTAACTATTTTATTTGGAGGCAAAAGGAGCTTAGCGAAAATTTTATGAATATCTTAAAAATCAAATCTGACATCTTCAAGCATGTCAATCCAAAATCTAGCATCAGTGGAGGTCTGAAATTTAAATATCTCGACAAAGATGACATTTCTGACAGGATTACTGATGTTAAAAAATTGAGAGCAATTGTCACTATTATGTGGACATTTTTAAACCAGTTGTATTTTGATGTACTTTGTCAAACATTATAAAATAGCTGTTCGCCACAAGAAGCACTGACTTTTTTGGACAGATAATGAGTACAAAATGACTGAAAAGCCTAAGACTTTAGCTTCGCTTCTTGTCACGAGTTTGAAGATACTAGTTCGTAAAACTTCTCGGCGAAAGTCTTTCCCTGCAACGATGCCCAGTCAATATCTACTTGTTTGCCTTCCAGTTTTGTCCACTTCGCATCCAGCAATAAACTTGATCCTTGTTCTTCTTCGGTATTTAGAGACTTTTGTAGACTTGCGTGAAAGCTGAACCCTTCAGTTACAAGCAAGGAGATCACGCTAGGAGCAAGAAACAGTGTGATTCTTAAGAAGCAAATTTCGTAAATCTGCGCAGTTAAGGAAAAACGGAAAGGAAAATTGTATGATATATGAAATAACTTAAATGTGTAAATTCAATTTAAAACAAAACCTGGGATTTGCTAACAGTTTTGATGCCAAGTAAATTAGAAATGCTTAATGAATATTGTTGGGTCTTTAAAAAAGTTCCTCTCGACAGGTTTTTGAAATTCTTCGAACGACTCTCCATTCCTATTCAAGCCCTTCAACTCAATAATCGTTCGATGCTCATGCTAGCAAAGTCAATGCTGTCACATTCAATTCATTCAAGCCTCCACCCCCAAATAAGTATATACGGAGAAAAATTTGCCTTTCGCCAGTTTATTAAATCCCTCTTCAACAAGAAACTAGAAAGTATCCTTTTTGGTCATCAAACATGCAGGATGAAATTTTTGCCATGTCTCGTCAACTGCTTGTATGTACAAGTATATTTTTTCTTATCTATGACAGACCTAGTAAAGACTTGGTCCCTTGTTAAGAGAACCGTTTCTGTGACAATGTAAGCGATAATTATACGAGTTGGCACAACGAGCCACATAAGGGGGAATCCAGCGTCTAGGTATATTAAAAGGGGGCGATGATAGGTTTTACCCGAAAAAGAACAAGTCTTGCGTTCTAAAGTTTTCCCCTGACATTCAACTCGCATAAACAACATGCAAGATTTAATCATTTTTCTCCAAATCATTAGCCTTTTCCTTTGATCATTCCTAATCTGTTGAGCATCCTTTAGACTATTTATCAATTCACATAACATATGTTCGTCAAAATTCAGCCAAGTGGCCAGGGGACAGTTGGGGCCAATTTGTTGTTGACCCCGTTGTTTGAAAGTTGATTGGGTAAGAGTCTTCTTGGAGAATATACCTCTTTCCAAGATATCAAGTCCGCTATGGCAGCTGCACTGGATGACGTAACGAAGATATAAGTGGGATCAAACCAGAATATGATTTTCTTACCATTCCTGACTCAAGCTTCTTGCTTTCACATAGAGCTTTTGTCCTCTTTTGTCAATTGATATATTGTTAGGATGTTGCAAAATTTTCCAACCAAAGTCTTCGAAGATGCCAAGGGCGACATGTGCAAAGTGAATAGTGATCTGCAATAAGTATTGATAAAAAACTTTGTCAACTATCATTAATATGATACCAAAGTCATCTCAGAAAAAGATTTGCTTTTCCTAAAACCATGTTGGAGTCAGCAACGGTCTGTTCACAGGGTTGCTTACAAATCAACGGCCAAGGGTAGGATGTAGCAGTGAAAGACTTTCGACTATCATGGATATTAATGAAGAATAATGTGCACCGTTCTGTCACAAAGTGTTCGATGTCCTAAAGACAGAGCTGTACATGGTATTTGATGTAAAGAAAAGGACGGTTCTAGGTTGCTACTCCGAATTCCACGCTTAATGCGATCACCAGGCAACTGCTTGAACTATTCTCGTTATGGATACTTAAGTTTGTTTGAGAACTAAAGAGAAAACAGAAGGATTTTTCTATCATATGTTCGAAAAGAAAAAGGGCTGAATCCTACTGAGCCCTAAGAAATCTAAACGATGTCAACTTCGCGCTAAATGCGATGCATTAATATTGGATCAATGACATAAAATAACGTGGATATACCTGCATCTTGACATAGTCTTCGAGATCATCGAGAACCCAGTTCAAACGCACAACTGTCCCATTCATATTGATCAGCACAAACTTGTCCAGGTCAATCTTCAAGTTAAATGATGTCCTGGACCAAAATATAAACAACATGGTAATACCAACATAGGAGTAAATGCCTCTCTTACAGCCAAGAAAACATGCGGGTAAAAACAGGCGAAAAATTTTCATAAGGCCATGGAAACAAAATGAAACAAAAGTTCCTCAACCAAACCGCGCACTGTTTTCGTTACATTTAAAGGTAGTTTATTTAAAGGCTAATTATACTTTCCAAAGAAAGGCCTAAAACTTTCCTAGACTAGACCCTTACATTCTTTTGCAAGAACCAGAAAACTGAGGCCGAGGCTCGATGATCGTATTTGTTGGATGATTCGAGGCTCGATTGACATGATGTTGTTTTTATTTTAGAATTGACTTTTCTTAAACAAGGAATTGTTTCCAAGACAACTTAATTAAAATTCTGAATGACATTGTTAACAACATGATCAAGTAGCTTATAAAATCTACTCTGTTTTGTTAACATGAGATAAAATTTTCAAAAAACAAATTGCTTTTTCTTACATTGTTCTTATTTTTGGGCAAATGCCTCGATGTTGTTATTAAAGTTTGTTTATTTAAACAATAGTGTTATATAGATGCATTCTTAAAGAGGTGGGACAAATTTCTGAAGAAAAACCAAATACGGAAACATCTAGATTCTAGAACATAAAATCACACATAGGGGCAAAAGCAGAAGGCCTTCCTTTTTTAAAATTAATAGTAGAGACAGACATTTAAATATCATATGAAATAGTATAGTATAGAATACTGCAAGAAGAGGAGAAATCAATAGTGAGTAGTAATTCTTCTCAAAACTACATTGAGAAAAACCATTGTTATGATCAATTCTCCAACACTGATTTGCAATTAAGTAAGTAAAAAGATTGTGGTAGAGGTTTCTCCCATTCTGCGAGACCACGAGCTCTAATCATTTCGTTGAAAATTCGCAGAAGTACCAAGCAGAGAGAATTCAATGGGTCTAAAAGGTGGCATTGTTCCAAAAAGGAAATTATTATTCAACAAAGGAAAACTACGAATGTGCTAAACCAAAAAAGGAAAGAAATATTTCAAAAGTTTGAAGAAATCTAAACGATTTCCGCATCACTTCATTTCTACAGACCTATAGCAAAGTTTCTGTCTTTTAGAAAACATATGGACGTTGGCAAATGATACTTTCGGTCCAGCATTGGAGCTCCATTCCGTTGCTATTGATGGATCAGAGTATTCAAGTGCCATACGGTCAAGCAGAGCAGTTGTCCTAGGATCAAAGTAATATTGGTGTTACAACAAAGAGTTAGATTTACTTTACTATACAGAATGCACCTGTTAAAGAAGACGTAACGTACATTGGAGGGAGATGTCTGATGGAGGGAGGTGTTAAGTGAAATAGGGTGTCTGTTTAAAGGTGGGTGTACGGTGAAGGAAGGTGGCCGCTAGAGGAAGGCGTCCATGGAAGGAAGGTATCCGTTGAAAGGAAGAGTCCGTTTGGTGAAAGAAATCCGTAAGAGGAAGGTGTCTGTTGGAAGGAGGGGGTCGTGGAGGGAGGTGTCTGTTGGAAGAAGGGGGCGGTAGAAGGAGATGTCTGCTGGAGAGATGTGTGTCCATTTGGAAGCAGAGGTCCGTTAGAGGCAAGTGTTCATGGGAATGAGGTAGCGGTTAAAGAAAGGTGTCAATTGAAGATGGGTTTCTATTGAAAAACGTATCTTTTTGGAACGAGGTGTCCCTCAGAGGGAAGTACCCATTGGAGGGAAGTGCCCGTTGAGAAAGGTGTCCGTTGGAGGAAAGTGTCCGCTGGAGGAAGGTGTCCGCTGAAGGGGGTGTCCGTTGAAGGGAGGTTGCTTTCTCAGAGCTTAAACGGAAGAGAAGAAATTCTGGAATAATTCATCTTTTCGTTGTTTGGCAGTGGCAGTTTCGTTGTTGGGCGATGGCCGTCAGTCAATGTTTCACTTTGAAAACTGCATGACGTCTTCAGGGAAAACAAAGAGAGGATGGTGTGACAGGTCGACTACGAACTTGCTTTAAGACCAATTAAACGAACATGTAAGAAAAACGACAAACGGTTAGTCTAAAGCACAACTAAATAGCCCCTTTGGGAGTAGAAAAGATGGAGCACTTGCATACCTCTTGGTGTGCTGATCTTATAAAATTTAAGTAGCCAAAATTCACATTTAGTTCAAAACATCTAATAAAACACATTAGGGCCCAAACAGGTGCCTCTGTGCAACGAACAAGCATACTTCCATCGCTAAATTATTGCAGAAAGGATCTTTAGCAAATAGAAAACTAACAAGATACTCTCCCAGCAATAACTACCCAAGAACCAAGAAAATAAAGGTCATCAAATAATAAATGTAGGTGCAAGACAAATGAAAAATTCTATCAAATTTCTGCTTTTCCGATGGTTTAAAAGCCTATACCGCTCTACTGGATAAACATTTGAATAAATCAAATAACAATGAAAATACCTTTTCCGCAAGACAATATGCTTTAACTCATCGCAATATGTATCCAGCAATAACGGTTTACTGAAAAAGGACAATTGAAACTGCAATTAATATAACCAAAAATAAAAAATCAGGCAGGCAAGATATCTTAGCCTGCGTGCAGACTTTACTATCCGTTGCGAAGGAGAGCCAATACGGAGCTTACAAGTTCCGTATTGGCTCTCCTTTGCAACGGATAATAACGTCTGCACGCAGGCTAAGATATTGAGATAATAATATATTCAAGTTATGTGATACAAAATCCAGATAAAGATGCTATGAAAAAATAGAACGTTCAAAAGATGGACATTTAAAAAAGTGGATGAAAGACAAAAATAAGATAGACATTAATTATTTCATCTCGTGAAAAAAGCAAAGTTAGAAATATATAAAGGAAAAGAGATTTTGTTGATTTGGGAAAATCGTTGGAAGCAGCCCAACATATAATGTAAAGAACAGTCTTTATAATCGGACAAAGGCTATCAAATACAGAAACATTGCCCTAGCAAAATCTGGGACCAAGAGCCTTAGCAAAAGACTTTTATCTGGAATGTGAGGATATTGTGTGTGAGACCCCGTTTACACTGTGCCGGATAAATTTTATCCGCATCAAAATTAGTTAAGATAGGCGTCGCGTTTACACTAGACCCACGCTATCCGCACAAATTTGAGAGCGGCTATCCGAACAAAATTAGCTCAGATGGGAAAATGGATTAAATTAGTTCGGATAGCTATGTGGTACAGTGTAGACGGTTTTATCCGGATAAATTTTATCCACATCGTATCTTGCTCGAAAGCGATTGGCTATTTCTTCCTATTTAGTTTTCACTGTCTCCCAATCAAGACCTTTCGCCATCTTGGCTGCGTTCTGGTCGCTAAATACTCTTGCTAAAAGTGCAGTATCTTGTCAGTTCACGTAAAACTGGCATCCTTGTAAGCTTTCCCCATTTTCTTCGCTATTTCAGCGTCATTTTGTTTCACAGAACGAATTATTAAAACTAACTTTGCCTAATTTGTTTTGACAATATCTTCGGACTATGTCTGAAAGAGAAGCAGATGATTCTGGAGAGAGAATTTAAAGTCTTTTTACGTTGGCGGGAATTTAATTGTTATTTTGTTGCCCAGAGATGACTTCAATTTGGACGTTCTGTGCGCGACTTAAATCACGTGGCTGCACTTATCCGGCACAGTGTAAACGGGAGGGCAAAGTGGACAAATTTTGTGCGGCACAGTGTAAACGCAAATCAATCCGAACAAGTTTTATGCGGATAAAATTTATCCGGCACAGTGTAAACGGGGTCTAAGAGCATAGCCAAGAGCCCTAGGGAAAACATTTCAATGTGGGAACATGGTTGGAAGGACCAAAGAAGGGACAAAGAAAAAGCCGAAAGAAAGAATTTTTAAATTGAAAATCTTCTGGGAAACGCATTACAAAGGAAACAACTTGCGAAAAACTTCAAGCATTGCTTCTTACAAAGAAAAGGACAAAGGAACGTTGAAAAGCCCAGAGTCTCTAGAGAATAACATTCGAATGTTGGAAATTATCGAAAAGGGATCTCGAAACGTGGGGCAAGAAAGAGAGTAAGGAAAACTGAAAGATGCGAGCCGCGGGTAAATATGTTTGAATGTGGGTATATTGTAGGGCAGGGTCTTTAAAGTGCTGAAGGTCTGGAGAGAGTTTCTCAAAGCGGATTGTGAGAAATGGGGCTTCTTAACTAAAGAGGTTAGGGGAAAGGATTTCGAGGGATAAAATAGTGAGAGAAGGGGTCTTAAGCGTAGTGTTGAGAAAGGGACTTTCGAGAATTCAAAGATCCAATGTGATAGATTTAGGAATCTAGGAAATCAGTTTAGAAGGATCTTAAACACAGTAAAACGACAGATTCTAAAGGAGAGAGCCTTAAAGTATTCAAATGATAGAAAAGATAATAGATAACTAGGTATGTATTCGACTGCAGTTTTATAAAGGGCCGTCTCATGATACCCGAAGAAGAGAAAAATTGCCCAAATGAAATGTGATTTCGGCACGAGTATTATTTCATATACTAGTGAAACCCAATGCTTCGACTTTTTGTAGACAGGCGGAAAAAATCGAGGCAGGATGAGATCACTTTAATTTTTCTTGCCGGTGTCATATGCGTTTCGGTAACCTTATGATTTTGGTCCGGGTACACAAAGGTTCTGGCTCATATTGTTCAGAATGTAAAGAACAATCGAACTATTTTAACAAGGGGGTGCTAATAACACGTTGCGTTTCACAATGTTACACTTTTGCATAGGGTACCAAAACGCATATTACACCGCATTGGATTCATTTTCAGGGCGAAATGAAATAAAACAGAACTAAAGCAATCGTTATCGTTATGGGTAGTTCAGAACACTTGGAGGTTGCTCTAGACCACAGGGAAGCATGAGACAAAATTTGATAATGAATTGAAGAAAGCTTTGAAAATGAGAGAAATACATAGAAGGTTAAAGGCTGGTTAACGGTAACTAAAATTCCCGAACTTTTAGAAAGTAAGATGCAGATTCGGAATGAAACAAGTTAACTTGCAATTACCTGTTTTTGTACGCTATGTTCTTCTTAGCCAGAAATTCATGCGTGTTAGAAGAATGTTTGTCCTTTGTTGTCCATGGAGCTGTGGCTGGCTGTGGAGTAGGGATATCAATCTTCGCCAGGTGTTGCTCGTGCAATAACTGTTGCAGTCGCAGTTCCAGCACATCTCCATAACCCGAGAGCTGAAATGTCAACAAAGTGTTGATTAAATCCTTTCATGCTTGCACATTTAAAGCTATGTACACTCTCTTGTGTAAAGGGCTTTTTACCTATGATCAAAGAGACAAGATTCTCTGTCCTGACCACCATCTCATGCTCTTCCATAGGAATCACAAGGTGTGATCAGATCGATGAAAAGGACCAGAACACTGCTCGATACTGTACAGCCTTTCCGTGTCCCAAAAATTACTTTTGGAAGCCAGATAGTGGAAAATACAAACAGATGCAACAAGTTAGATAAATAATTAGAAATCGATAGATAAATAAATTATTTAATTTGATATCATATAATCAAAATGGAGAATGGAAAATTTGCATTTTTAAAATGGAAAGGACAGAATTCCATTCCCTTTATGTGTCTTTTAGTATTTTGGATAACAGCCCAACAGTAAAAAAGCCGCCAATTGTTTGTCAATTTTAGAAACTGGTCAGATATTAAATGCATCAAAACCCACTGCACCATATAAAACCAACCTGTATGAAGTAGTGAATACTTATTGCAGTAGCAAAACCACGGCTGTCGCAAAACAAAGTGAAGTTGGGATAGGAGCACAAGATAGTAAAGGAATAAGCTTTTTCCTACTGTATAGAATAAAATAGAATATAGTTTTGAAATTAAAGAACAATATAGATGACCCTATTTGGAAAATATTATTGGGATTTCAAGCCCCTTTACAACCCCATTCCAGATTTTGGCAGACCCTGCCTTTCAATTACATGTCATCTTTAAGCCATCAAAAGAACAATATATTATCTGTAAATCTATTAAGCTTGAAACTATAAACAGTTATATATGTGAAAGATAAACATATAAAGATAGAATGAAAGAAGAATTTCTAAAAGACTGAATAAAAAGGAAAGCTTGGGTGATTGTATGCAAAGTTTGAGCTAAATGTAGCAGTGATTACGGCAAATTAACTAATTCTAGAAATTAAATGTAGGATAAATCTCAAATAACAGTTTATGAAAAATACAAGCACCCGTTTACATGGAGCAAATAACAATAATAGGGTTCAGGGGAGGGGGTAAAAGAGGCGACCACTATCCTTCACGTTCAAAAATCAGCAGTGGTCTTAGTCGTCAAAGATCCTCTTATACAGCGTTTTCGCCGCCTAATGAAATTGTCATTTTGATCCCTCATTTTCATTTTAAAAGACAAACTAAACCAACATCAACCTAAAAATACACACTTTGTAAAATGAAGGATAACGCACATGTAGGAATTGATCGGGATTCCGATCTCGGTACTTTTGCTCAATACTAACGGGATCAAGGTCTCGTTTATTTGGAAAACAGAATAAAGGATTCCAAAAAGTTGCGTTGGAGAACAGTATGGGAAAGATCCCGTTGAGTCCAGATTTCTAGGGAGGTCGTAGGCCGCTAGAAGATTTAACCCTGTAGTAAAAATATTATAAGACATGTTTACCTATAAAATCAAAATCACAAATATTCTTCTCTTCAACGAAGACTTGGCTGGTTCGTTTCAATCGTCATGATTTTCATGTAGAAAAATAAGGTGAAGTTTATGTAGAGAAGTACTTAATTTGGTCAACTTTCTTAACTATCGAATTTGAGATTCTTATGAGAAAGCATAGTTACCAGATTTTCGTAGCTAGATTCGTCGCTTTTTAGACCTTTTTCATAAGTGATCTCAGCAAAGGCATCAGGGAACAGCTAAAAAACAACACATATGATAAATGTCATGTCAACAACAATTCAAATCTTGAAACTGAGCATTATTTTTGTTGATGTGATGTGATGTGATGTGATGTGATGTGATGTGATGTGATGTGATGTGATGTGATGTGATGTGATGTGATGTGATGTGATGTGATGTGATGTGATGTGTAGTGATGTTATGTTATGTTATGTTATGTTATGTTATGTTATGTTATGTTATGTTATGTTATGTTATGTTATGTTATGTTATGTTATGTTAAGTTATGTTATGTTATGTTATGTTATGTTATGTTATGTTATGTTATGTTATGTTATGTTATGTTATGTTATGTTATGTTATGTTATGTTATGTTATGTTATGTTATGTTATGTGATGTGTAGTGATGTTATGTTATGTTATGTTATGTTATGTTATGTTATGTTATGTTATGTTATGTTATGTTATGTTATGTCATCTCACGTCACGTCACGTCACGTCACGTCACGTCACGTCACGTCACGTCACGTCACGTCATGTCATGTCATGTCATGTCATGTCATGTCATGTTAAATTTTGTTCTTGTAAGCAGGATTATACTGTTTTCTTTTTTTCTTATATATAAAAAGCAAAACAATTCTGAGCATGCACTTACTTGCAAACGAATTCTATTTCCAGTCACTTGGACATTTTGTAAGTACTCAGAATGAAATGCCTCCTTCGAAATCTGGAAAGAAATAACGAAGATTTATCAGCTTGAATAGAAGGAGAAATTTAATATTTACCTATTTTGATATTAACCAGATCAACGCATACTTCGTATGAAATAAGTCTAAACTTATAAGGTTCACAAAATAGGAAATACTTTTACCTGGGAAAACAGTTCTTTGCAGAATATATTATGTTGTGCTTGTTTCAGCTTTTTATGCCAGGGTGAGGCATCAAGTTCATCTCGTGCTGAGGAAGTGCCTGCTTTGAAAAAACCTCGTTATCAAGAATACTAATAGCTGCAAGAGCAACTTAACGAAAAAATTTACGCTGAGTAAAGAACTCCCCCCCCCCCCCAGGAGTAAGAAGGCATCATTTTCCAAGGATTTTATGCTGAATTGAAGTACCTGCTGAAATTAATAAACTTTCAAACAGAATTAAAGACCCCTGCAAACCAGTGAAAGGTTGGGTCACGGTTGCAATCACATCTCAGTACCTCTTGGTTCCGTATACCCTCACTGTTTCCCTCTTCTAACCAGAACTGACCAGGATAAGGCGTGGCAACGAAAAAAGCCACTGGTGTCTTCTCACAAACAGCCAATCAGATACAAGAAGTTGAAAAACATTGGAATTTAGGAGTGAAGGAAGTTCAATTTTCAAAGGATTTAGGAAGTTCAAACAAACATTTTGAGGAATTAAAGCTATGTTCGGAAATTATATTCAAACATATGTAACAAGGGGAAAGTACCGTTCGAGCTTGGCTCTCCATTGTCAACATCCATTCTCTCATCTTCTTCGTTTAAATCAGAGATCCTCACTTTCACCCTGGAGTAATCTTCAAGATCTGAGCTCACCCTTACAGACAACGGGCAGCCACTTCCGTCTCTTTCTTCCTCCGGAAGGTCTTCAGTCTTTTTCACTTCAAAGAAACCAGGGTGCCAAAACGTCGATCCAGCTAGAAAGAATACAACATTTTATAGCATTGATATTCTATACGTTTCCGCGTATCAAACCTTACCAGTAGTAATAGCTAAACCCCAAGATGATTTTAATCACTGAAAGAAACAGGAAATTATATTGGAATTTTCAACTTGAAAACTACAATCTTGGACAAAATTGTTGAGACAAAATGCAATTTTGCATTTCTCCACTTTACGTTGCCCCTGTAAATTCGTATCCCCCCTTTTCCCCGAATCAATGTTGAATGTGTAGTTCTATCATTTCTCCTTAAAAATCATGTGCATTTAACATTGAATTGGGAGAAGGGGAAAGTTATCTTTCAGATGAAAGAGAATTTTCTTCGATATAGTTCTCCATGAAAAGTCTCAACTATTTTTGTCCGGGATTGTACATTCTAGGACTTATTATGACCTAAGTTAGGAATCTATAAGTCTTTTTCAGGACGTTAAAGTTTTTCTGGAGTACGATGAAATATCACTGACCTATTTATTTTTCATTACATATGCTGGAGAAAAAAATTGGAATCAAAATTTGGTTGTACTTTTCATAGAAACATAGTTACAGTCGAGATAACTGTGACAAAACCAAAACCCAACATAACACAATGTACGTTACAGAGAGCAAGAGTTGTCAATAAGAATCCTTTAATTGTACTATTCCCCAGGGATCGCGGAAGTGGGGGGGAGGCTGAGGGGGCTTTAGCTCCCATATAATTTCTAAAATATACTTAAAACAATACAAAAAGTTGCCTTGCTCTTGGTTTTTAGCATGTTTTAGCCCCTTCCCCCCCAAAAAAAAACATTTTAGCCTCCCCAAGCTGTAATATGTTATATGTTTCATGGTCCTTGCTACCCCCTCCCTTTCCAGAGAACAATTTGAGTTTCTTTCAATATCTGCGAATTATCATTTTCGATTTTGGTACCGCAAAATTCTCATTTTCATTAAGAATTGAGCTACAATGGGTATGACTGACAACATCATGCATTCACTTACAATGTTTAATTAGTGAACTGCATGATTGACGAAAGATTTAATTACAAAAATTATCTACCTGATTTATAACTCAGCTCGCCAGTCACTGCATTTCCTGTCTTCTTAACTTTCCATCTTTGTCTTAATTTCATGAGCTCAGAGAAATAATCCACCTTGGGCAAGGGAATGTGAGTATAGCTATCATATTTTTCTTCGACCTTCCCTTGCGTCATTCGCTCAGCTCCAAGTCGTATGACGTCAGCGGCTTTAGCAAGACTCTGTTGGATAAAATAGATTTTAATTGAAAAATCAGGGGTTAAAGCGAAATACGATATAGGATTTACAGGTAGTTTCCAGAATAAGTCCTACAATTACATTTCGTCAACATTTCGCACCATCCTACATTAAATAACCTTTGTACTACCAATTTTGCATCTTGTCAAATTGTCAGGAAAAACCTCGGGTTGAGGCGTGTGAGGTCAAAACGCTCTGAGCTCCGGATCGAGACATGAAACAATCGTCTTAAAATGATCTAGAAGAGATCCACGTTAAAAACTCAACAATTAGCCATGACTGTTTGCTTCAAGGCATAAATCGACTGGGAGTAGACACCTCTGACTGAAGAACGTGGGCAAAGCTTAAAAAGCATGCATGCAGGTTTCCTATGAGTTTGACAGAATTTTTACTTCTTACTTTGGTAGCCTCAGTTAAGAAGGAGGTGGTTTTGGCCTAATTTCACTGCATTTAAGGTATTTAAGGTATTTAAGGTGCCACAGTGATTAAGGCATTCAACTGCCATGCCAGCAGTCTGGGTTCAATCCCGGCTTGTGGACGACTCTCAGTTAACTCAGCTGAAAATAAGTTCCTAGTTGAAACATACTAGGGAGATAAAAAGCATCATGGAAAGGAACTGGCCACCCTACCACACAATGTCATGGCTCAGGACGATGCGCCTCTAACAGCGCACAATATCGAATAAGAACTAATCTTTACCTTTACCATTAAGGTATTTAGCCCCTCCTTATAGGTCTCCAATCCTGGCAAGCTCCTCTTATTGTATTGCAAAGAGATTATATTTAAGGTGTATTTGGAAATAGAATTGAAATTATTATGTCCTTATGGTCAAATGAAAAACACAAGAGAATGAATTGAAATATCTCTCTATAGCCTTGCAAATTCTAGCAGTTATAAGAAGTTGTATATAGTGCAGGAGCATCGAGTAAACACTTGAAAAGGGCCAATGAGTTTTATAAATAAATAGTTTTGAACAGATTCCTACCTTTCGTTTTCCGATCATTTGAACCACTTGTTTGGGTGGCTCTGCATTTTGTGAAACTGGCTCAAGAACAAGGTATTTCTTTTCCTTCATAACTTGCAGAACATCAAGGAGAACACACACTTCAGAGAGCGCACTCCTGTATGAAAAAAGAGAAAAGATAAACAACCTTTAACCGATTTCATACTGATCCAATTTTTTAATGTAACTCTATTCATGCCGACATGTGTAATGAAAGTCGAATAAAAACACAGAAGGGCAATTAGCTATATTTTCAAGTTAAATGGTTAAAAGAAAGCTTGCAAAATCTATATAAAAATAAAGGAAAATAATGTACAAGCATACTGCAAATGCATAGGGGGACAATTTGCTTTAGAGGGCACTCTAGAGATGCATGCCAAGGTAGGATGTTCAGTTAGGAAAAAGTGGGGGATCCAGCCAGCTACCTTCAGCACTGAAGCGACCACCTGCTCTCTTTCCTTAAGATATAAAAATGCTGTAGATTACAAACATCAGACTTTTTTGGATATGGTGCTAAGTGAGGTACTAAAAACTGAGACAAAAATATAAAATGAGCATTTCATATAATTTCATATAAAAAAGGAGGACACAAGTCTTTGGGAAGAAAAAGTTCATCCAATTTTTGGCAATCTGACACCTTGGCCATGTAACTTTGCAAAAAAGATTTAAGCACCTAAATATGTGAAGAATAAGTGAAAAACAATAAAATCATTGATGATGCTAAAACATAATCAGAATTAAAATAGCAAATTACCGTATCTTGTTTCGAACAGACTCCCATGGCCATTGTTCAGCCTTTGATTGATCTTGTTTTTTATCAGACATGTCTTCATCATCTTCCCCATTTTGCACTGTTGAGTCTCCTTCGTCACCCAGAAAATCAATCTTATGTGCAAAGTCTGTTAGCTCTTCTGAAAATGTTAAAGGTCTGAAATGCAACAAAATATCAACCAATATACCACACATTCATTTTCAATTAAAATCTTTCCCAATTAAAACTTGACCAAAATATTTAGTTATTTTGTGTAAAAATGGAAAATGGATTTTAAAAAAAACATCATGCATATAATCAATACAGAACTGATAACGGGTGGACTATTTTGGAAAAAACACCAAAAGGGCCTTGAAGGGAATGTATTTCCTAGATCAAATGCCTGAGGGCTAGTACTGAATTAAGCACTTTTTGGTAGTGCATTTTTACCAATAGTGCATTTTTGCAAATTTAGATCATTCCACCCAGTTGCAGCACAAATTTTTCTGTGAATCCTGCCCACAGCCTCACCACGAGGCTTATAAATGCTATTTAAAAATTAAATTCTACAGTCTGTACTGCTATTTTGCAACATTATTTGTTCCTACGCAAGCATAAGCTGCAGAAGATAATTTCCCCAGCACAATAAATACTTTGCACTCTGGTATATAGATGTGAAAGCCAAGGAAAACCCAAGATGGATGCAACCAAGGCATTTTCCTTTGAAAGATTCGAACCAATTTTGAAGAGCCACAACTTAGTAACAGTTTGGAGCTTGGAACAAAAAATTGGCATTCTTTCTTTTCGCTAAGTAAGGAATAAGTGGGCAAGGTCTAGTGAAAATCTGAAATGCCAGGTGAATGCCTGTCTCTCTGTTTTGTTTTTATATGGAGTTACCCTCTTTTGTGGCAGATAAGTTCACACGTCAGCAGCAGTCTGATTTCACCATTGATTTCAAGTTAGCAGAAGCTGAATAGTTCATCTCATAATACGTGCAACTTTAAACGTTTATTGGCACCAAGGCTCCAAAATGACGAGTTTAAACCGCAGCTCAGAAACAAATAGGCCGTAACAATCCTGACTAAACCAATCGCTGAATAAAATTATCACTTGAATAATGCTTTAAATGCTTACTTTCGATATTTTTCTTCTCCAGCCCGAGAGATCTCCTCTATTTCGTGTTCTAGCAATTTTTCTACACTGACTTCAACACTACGCGCCCTTGCTCCATTGGAAGCCATGATGAATCGAACTGTTTTGTTGTTGTCGTTGCTCCATGACTTTCTTTTTGAATGAAAAAATAAAAAATCTTTCTTATTTTTTAAATCCAAGACTAAATATGTTTCTATATAAAATCCAATAGTTTTTGTGAAAGGAAGAAAATCGATGAAAATGTTTCCATAATTTGCCATTTATCTAAAAAAAGAACTGTAAAAAGTTACAAGTACTGTAAGAGAATAAAACTACAGCAACAATTTCGTCAGATAAATTTTTCGGCGGATAAACTTTGTCGAAAAAAAATTTCGGATAACTTTTCCGAATTGCGTCGTGACAAAATTTCATCGTGGATTTTTAACACAGAGATAGCTACATATGACCAAAATCTCAAGAGGCAAAACCAAACAGGTTATTTTATATTCAATCCCATAGTTACCTACTTCCTGGAGTCTTTGGGGCTTTAGCACCCCCTTCGGAATTGGGCTTAGCCTCCCAGGCAGCCTTTAAACACAAAACAACATTTCAGGAAAATCAAAATAAAAGCGGTATGTTTCTCAGTTTATCTGGAAGCGGGTCAAAAGAGATGCTTTTAGCACTCAAAGAGTCTCTATTCACTATCTATATGGTATGAAAGTTTATAAATAGAGTATATCTAAAAATACATGTATAAATATAAGTATTAGATTCGGAAAGCAATAAGAACATCTCAAATAGGAAAAGTTGGTCTGGAAGCTTCTCTTTTTTTAGAGTTCAAAATTTTGGTCGAAAAGTGAATACTGAACGAATGAAAGAAGTAGCACAGTTGAATATAAGAAGACAGAAGTGGAATCTTTGAAATTGGTAACAAAAGACAGTTAGAACTATTTTTATCAAACGATGGTGAAACGAAGTTAGTTCAAGAATCGACGATGACGATGATAATTATGATGATGATGTTGACGAGAAAGGTAATTATGAAGACGATGCAAATGAGAATAATGACAAAGTTCGTTAAAAGGATGCATAAATTTGGTTTTTGAGCTCATCTAATATTTGTTCTATGTGAATTCTCAAATGCAAAAAATTTCATCGTGAATTTAATCAAATAGAATTTCGTCAAAATATTTGTCCGAAATTTTTCACGACGAAACGTTTTGTAGTTAATTTATAATGATATCACTGATTCAAAAGCTACCAAAATAATTTTACCAAGACATTCACTTTGATCATATCATTTAGTTCGTTAGGGAGGGTTGCCTTCTATTGCCAGCTTTTTTTGAAAGAGCCTTCATTAAAGACACATATTTCATCAAAAATCTATTACACAATTGATCTTATACATAAATGTAAATTTATTGAAGATGACTCTAGCTAGAGTCGAAATATTTAATTGCTTCTGTCCATTGACTATGTCAAACTGATTTTGTTACACCTGGAATATTTCACTGAATCTGTAAATCTTATAATGAAATCATTAAATTCAATTGGATTAACAATTGTAAAACAGAAATTCATAAATGCCTGTCTTTGTCGCCGTACTGGTCATCACAAGTATCATGTGTAGAATATACAATGTTCATAAACTATATTCATGAATATGCTGATAAAGAATAAGATTTCATTTGCAATCTGCGTCTTGGACTTAAAGCTGAAAATAAAGGCTCTTTTTTTTAACTGGAGGTTTTGAAGGCACCCTCGTCTCTCCTATCCTCTCCCATTTTCCTTTGCAATTTCTTTCCCCCGTTCTTCATCTTTTGACACTCTGAGGCTCTGGCGCCCAGGGTAGTTGGATGCCTGTTTTGACCCATTCGAAAGACTGATTCAATAGAAAAAAGTTTGTAAATTAACCTGCTAAAGTTCAAACGTCAATCGTTTTGGAGCTTACAACTTTCCATTTCTGCAACATTTTACATTACTTTCTTTGTTATTTTGGAACTTGTTATGTTTTCAAAGGGTACGACTGACGAGTACGATTTATTCTCGACGTATAATTTACCTTTTTGTAAGCACGTTTCGATGTTGACTTCAGTGATGGAAATTGCAGGGGTGTAGGGGGCGTCCGCCCCCAGCCTTTGCCAAATTTTTCTAGCGCATTTGTCGGTGAATTTTGACATTTGTCCGCAAATTTGCTTTTTTTGTTGGTTTCGCTCCCCTACCTGAAAAATGAAGTTCCGCCACTGATTGATTCTAAAGAAATGTTACTCTTCAACCGTCTTTGAAATTTTTTTGCTGTTCAGGGATAAATAGTTCTGTCTGGAAACGTAATGGCCATTAAGTAGTGATGTGCATTTTGTTTCAGAGTGACAAAAAACTTTTCATTGACAAAAACCTGGGTTTAAAATCATGTTATTCTTTAAAAGTATACTTGCTTATTTGTATGTCAAATTCAGGGGCATTGTAATTTTAATCATTATTTAGCATTGTTTTGCAAAGAAAGATTGCATTAGATCGAGTCATTATACGCAGTTACTTTAAAATGCACATTTGACACTACATTGGCTCAGGCACAGGCTAGGTAGTGGAGGGGGGGGGGGGGCAATAGAAAATTTAGCATCCATAACTAACAATTTTTCAAAAAGCTCTATTATTTTGCCATAGCATATAAAATTTTGAAAAATCCTTCTAAATCCCTCTTTTACATTTCCTTTTCAGCTAAAAGCAAATAAGAAATCGAAGAGTGCTTTGAGGGTGAAATAGCATAGTAAGTAAATATCTATAAGCGTAGAGTGCCTACGTCATTGGTGGTGAGGTAGTGGGACTTGGGCCTCGAGCTCCCTTTGTATATCTTTACAGGGGACTTGGACACCCATTACAGCTTTTTGATGCAAAAAGAGTTTTTGGGATCATGGAATAACAGTATATGTTCTCGATTTTCATAACCGCGATGTTGCTTTTAGTGGCGGCCTGGCCCTTTTCGCCTGGGGAGGCCAGCATCAAAATGGCGCCCTCCATAACTAACACTATTATCTTCTTCCTGAGAATATTGGGAGTACAGGGGCGGTGCCAAGAAATTCAAAGTGGGGGGGGGGCTCAAATTAATAGCTTTATTTGACTAAAAAACCAGCATTGGGAAGGGCCGGAGAGAGGTTGTCGTAGGCCCTTGGTATAACTCTGAGGCTTTCTTGCGAGCGGAGCGAGCAGAAAATTTTTGCGACCACGCCCTTTAGATTCAAAATATTTCTTGCAGTCATTTTCTTGAAATCGTTTAAAAATTTTGCTATTTTTAAGGCATCCTTTTAGCACGTCTGATTAATTTTAATAAGGAAAAGAATCCATCCTATCTTTGTATCGTCGAGAAAAATTGGTCCTTTCATGAAAAATGAAGCAATGAGACAAAATCTACTGACCCCCACATGAGCAGGTTTCTGAAGGCCAGCAGAGCCAAAGAGACTCATCGAAAATCAAAATTTTCCCTGAAAGGGGGGTGTTACGGTACGAAGATCGAACTTCTATCACGTGCTGGTCCACGTGCGTATCAGCGTGAACATCCTTTTATTAACTTTTATGTTTTTAACTATTGTTCTGTTCTAGTATCTAATTGGCTATTATCATGTTCTGTTTTGTTATTGGCTAGCTGTATTTTAGAAAGGGTATAAAGGAGCTTGCCTGTTTTAGAGTAGGAGGCTTTTTACTGTGGGCGTTCCCGCCTTGCCAAAAGAATCGTGGCCGCCGTTTCCCGATGAAAGTCGAAGCGTGTGTCGCTTGAAAGACGTCGCTGTTGCCATTCGAAGTATTTAATTCAGAGACGCCACAAGTCGCCAATACTAAAGCAAGCAAGCTAAAGGTCGTGAGTGCTTTGTTTTCATTGTTATTCTTAGCTTTTCTACATTCTTTATATTAAACATTTGAGACTGATTGCCTATGAAGTTATTCGTTGACTCACAAACTGTTAGACTTAGAGGCGTAGTCTAATAGGGGCATGAGTCCGGACACCCAAAAAACAGACTGTCCCCGACATCCTAAACACAGTCTGTGTGCACTATGAGTGCTGTGTTCTCCACACGAAAGAATTTAACTATGTAAGTTTCCTGACAATCCTCTAAAAAATTGATTAATTTTTTCGCCCCTGGGAACAGTACAAATGTTTTGTCTGGATAATACAGATAGTGCTCTTGAAGTGAGAATGTTCTAGGGGGTGTGGGGGCGTGCGCCCCAAAAAAGTTTTGAATGTTATGGCATCTTTTTTGTCTTTGCTTGCCTCCTTGAGACCTAATAACCAGACAAGTTGGTCGTATCAAACTTTTTTGAGTTTTCGGCGCCCTGTACAAGCTTTGGCGCCCCTATAAAAATGTCAGCTGGGGGGCCTTGGCCTCCCCGGCCCCCCCGGCCAGGCCGCCACTGGTTGCTTTTACTAGGAATCTAGATTCTCTATGAACATCTTGCATATAGTCAACTTCTTTTCAACATGTTCATTTTAAATTTGGAGTGACCATTGGAAAAACTATGTAAATGGAAAGTCTATGGAAACACGAAAGTACTATGTTCCAATTGAAAGCAAAGCAAAAAAGTTTGGGCTACGTCTTTTTAACTGGCGTAGCCCAAAATGGTTTACCAAGAAATTGTGAGGAGAAGGTACCCAGGGTATTTTAATCTTACAACCGTCCTTTTAACGCCCATTCCATACTTAGTGTTGCATAAAAGGCAGTTTGAAAAATCATGAAGTTTTATCACAAAGGATACTTTCCCAATATTTTACCCTTCCCCAACATTTCTTAACAAAATTTAGACCAAACAAAAAATCGATCCTGATTACACCAAAGTCTGCAGAGTATGGCAGTTCTCGACGAGATCTCGCGCGTGCAATATTCATTCACGCCCATTTTCCGCGTGCAAACCTCTCTTTACTATTCATTTCGCGTGCAAATATAAGTTTTTTAATAGCGCTATAGTATACTTGGTATGCAATCAGAAAAAATTGGCGTGCAGGCGTGGCATTCAACACTATTCAACTTGGATTACACCAGTACAAAACGATAGCCTCAGTTGGGAAACATCACTGCCTTGAAACGAGACAACAATGCTTCTTGACATTTGTTATCATTCCAAGTTTTGACAGGAAAATCAGATTAGGGATTAATCGCATGCGATAATCAACTGGAGGAAATCGAGGGAGAAGGCTGGCTGAATTACTGGAAGGCAGTTACTGGAGGTATGTATCCACTGAAATTTTGCGATCATCATCCTTTACGCTTTTATAGAGAGGGATAGGAAAAACTTAGCAACCTTCGGCTCGCTGACTTTTGCACAGGAAACTATATTGATGGCCCGCACACTGTCGCCTTTCAACCAGAATCTATTGGGAAAAAGCGTACGCAACAGATTAAAACTAAAGTAAAGCATTTTTAACTTTGAATCAAGCTCCGGTCGAATAGTATTCCGAAAGTGATGGTGCGCTAGTCTGTGTTAGAATATTTAGTCCTGTTTAGAAGGCGGTTATAATCTGTATTGTTAATTGTTGCGAGGGGTAAATTGATTGATTACGGTTTACTGATAATCCATTGTCTACTGGCCGAAATCACTTGTTCTCATGATCAGGCCCATACATAGCTTGCTTCGGTGAATTTTCCACAACGACTTGTAGCGATTCGACTTAAAGTTTATTAAAAACAGTAAGGGAACCTAACAAATCACCGAAGGGGAAGGCAGAATTAGCACTTTTTCTGTCAAATTACCGGATTCATTAAGAAGCGGAATATTTGTTGATAGTATTTCAAATAATTTCAGTTTCCGCTATCAATAAAACAAAACAAAAATGTCACAACAATATATTTATTTCACAGCAGTCAATTCTAACATAACTCGAAAAGAAGTAAAAAATGTCAGTGAAATTAGTATGCTAAAGTGCAGTTAAAGTAAAGAAAGGATTTAAATGGAGTGTTCTCTTATAGTAAAAATTGTGGTGTTTATTTCTAAAGGCATAATTTGTTTGAATATTTTTCTTCTCCATTGGAAACTTCAATTTTGAACTGGCCTCCTAATTATTTTTTTTAAACAATGAATTAGAGTCTATGTTGATATATTTGAAAGTTAGTGGTGTCAAAATAAAATAAAGAATTTGGTGATGCTTAAAGGAAATCAAAGGATACCAAACTGTCTTAAGCTATCTGTCAATTAAAAACAACCAATAGATGAGCTCACAGACAGCTCAAGTCACTCTAGTACCCCTAGGTTGCCTTTGGTTCAGTTTCAAGTATCAATTAAAATCTATTTACATTGCACTTATTTCTGTTAGAATTCATTCAGCACATTTTGTGTTACTGAATATTTTGGCACATCAATGGCTGTGACAGAATTCCTCAACTATTGTTTGTTGTGTGCCAAAATAGAATCACAGATCTAAATATAGCTTGGTACATTATCTCACATGCTCAGCTTTTCAAGTATTTGTACAGATTAATAATGTTTTGTGTTTGAGTATCATAATTGGCAAGGAATTAAAATAAAAGCCAAGATTTTCACTGGTATTCAAAAGACTGTTTTTTCTTTATTTGGCTTGTTTTTCAAAAGGGCAAAATTTTCATTTCAGTTTTTTTGTTGCCCATGTCTTGGTGAAGATATATTTAGCACACGTTTCATGAAAACGCAAACTCAACAAGTCACATCTTTCAAGATTTCAGCAAAAGGCCTACTTAAGATAAAGCAATCAAAACATTTGCTTTGTGGTACATTGGATATTTTTCAAGTTTCATATTTGCAAGATAATTCCTTATTCCTAAATCAGTTTACATATTAGGAGTTGGCAAGTTTTTAATATTAACAGTTTTTAAAACTCATTTTAGTCTTGATTTGTTGTATTTGGAGTTGTGAAATGTTGCCTATCCTACTTATCCAATTGCTGGTATATGTTACAGTAAGCATTTGTTTCTGTAACCCCTTTAAAATAAACCAGATTGTAATCAAAAGTGACTCATTTGCAGTGCAACCAGGCCCGTTGCTATAAGAGGTCATATGGGGTGTGACACTCTCTTTCAAAAAAAGAGTTTTCACCATCTTGGGATGCTTAGTCGGCAAAAAAAGGATGCCTCACCAATTTTGTCAGCTAATGGGGCCTGGAAACCCCCCTTGAGAACAACAGCTAACAACAGGCCTGAGTACAACCTTTATTATCAGATGTTGTTAATTTAATACAAACTTTGGTCTTGCCACAAGCAATAAAGGGCACAGTGGTGCAGTGTTTATGTCTGTTCTTCATCATTTTGTATAAAATAAGATGTTGTTTTTGCCAACCAGTTTAAATATTGAAAAACTCTTTGTATCTTATTCTTTGTTAATAACAGTAGGTTCTTATCTACAATCAAGGATAATAACATAGTTATACAAAGAATCTTTGTTTTTGCAATATCAACAGAAAAAATAATAGACAGTGTTATTGACACTATTTGAAACAATGGTTTCAAGACAATGATGTTTGGGTGATCTTTTTGAAAAATGGAATATGACTTTTCTTTTAACAGAACTTTCATATTTTTATGGGGAGGGGGTGTATCCTCCCCACAACAGGAAACCATATAGCTTACTAAAATTGGCTTGAGTTTTGCCAAAACATCAAATTAATTAGTTTAAAGGAAGTACTAACTCTATAGTTCATTCAAGATGATAAATTGGAAATCTTATTATATCTATAATTTCTACTTATATATTAAGTCCATCCCCCATGTTTTGACTAAGGAACTGTTGGTGAAAATCAAGTCCTTCCTTCACCTTGAATAATACCTGTAGCAAAGCATTTTCAATTTCATGAATATGCTTGTGGCCTGGGGTTTTAAACAATGTACAACAGTATGAATACCATTCATCAAATCTTTATTGGTCTAATTTCCTAATGGATTTATGCCACCTGTTTGAGTAAGGAAATCAGTTTGAAATTTGAAACATTGTGCACAGTTAAAATAGGTTATTCCTAACTGTGTTTGTAATTCAGCAGATAATTATCAAGTATTGATCTCTGCCATTTGCAAAGCCAATATGGCTTAAGTTATCTGTAATCCTCATCACATGATTTAAAAACAGCAAGAAGGAGATTTTCTGAACCTTGTGTCCAGAGGAAAGGGCTGTTGCTATAGTGAGGTGTGGTGGTGTGACACCCCTCTGCAAAAATTTTTGTTGAGAAAATGAGGAGTTTTTTAATGAGAAGAGATGAGGAGACTGCTTTGTCAGCAGGTTTTCAGGCTTGTCAGCAAATAAAGGATGGCTCACCCACTTTGTCAGCAAAAGAACATAAGCATATCCCCTAGCAAACTTTAGAAAACTGTAAAAGATCAAACTGGAGGTTCAAAACTGTACAGCAGAAAATGAGTAATATAATTATGCAGTCTTTGTTAAAATTACACAACATTTAAATTTTTCCATTTTACTAGCAGTTTCGGCTGTGTTGAGCAAAAATTTTAATACTAAGAATATTTCTGCTGATGGTACTGTTCCATTTTCAAATAAACATATCTGATGTGAAGTGCTGACTGATTGCTGATGATCCATCCCTGCGGTGATTTTGACCAGAGGCCTGGTTATTTAAGGAAACGTGCTTTCAGAAAATAAACTGAATATTTTCAGAATGCCTGACAGAAATCTAAGCCCTTTTCTGACAAACAAAAGAGCACGCAAGTTTGTGAATTTCGAGAGCTCTGTGAGTAATCCCATTGATGAATCTCTGGTCAATGATTTGACGTCACGTAGGTCATCATCTCTACTTGCCAAAATTCCCTTGATATTTTAGATGTTCTGAGTAGGTAAGATTTTCTTTTGTTTTGAAATCGAAACTACATTAGATACCCAGAGTATTGTGTTGCAGTGACGGGAACTGTTTTGGACAGAACTCTAGATAAATCTCTATGTTGCAACCAGGTCACGCAAAGAAGCAATTTATATTCCTTTTACAGTTTCTCATTTTTAGAATTTTAACGAAAATTTCAGGACTTTCTTTCTCACTGGAATAGTTTTGTCCGGTTTTGTTATTAAACTGTTTATTTCATTTTGTTCGAACATGGTGGCTCAGTGCCGTCGGAACGAAATTCATATTGGGGGGGGGGCTGGGGGGCTGCCCATTGTTTTCCTTCTCATTCAGTACACTGTTATAAAGGAAACATACTACAGTTTGACAGTTATTGGAGGGGCTCCAGCCAACCCCCCAACCCCTTCCCCCCCACCACCCCGGTTCCGACGGGCCTGTGGCTAGATAGTGTAGGAACATTAATGTAGACAAGACGTCTGCCTTTGCAAAGCCGTTTCTTAACTTGCCCCCCTTTTTCTTATGAGAAAAGAAATCTGTTTCTAGCCGCATGTTTCTTATTAAAATATGCATAGCATTGTTACTTCGTTTAAATTCAAAGGCTTTGATGCAGCGCATAAGAATCGTGATATACGTATCGTTATCAAGTTCAAATCTTGCATCCTAAAAGATTTCCGGGTCCGCCACACGACCCGAACGTGTGAAATTGCCCTATGCCAATTCCATATCCTGTATTTGAGCAAGTTTCCATTGATAAAAAGGTTACTATTGTTCAGAAAATAGCTCACCCGCAAACTCAGGATTTATTTCAGTCACACAGTGGTGAAAATAGAATCTGTGCCAAATTAAACGTGTGTGTCTAATTTCACGCGGTGAAAGCGATGACATAGCAATAAAATTAGAACCATACAATGGAAAGTAGATATTTTTCGCAGATATTTACTCATTATGATTGCCTAAGTTAGAGGTAATAGATAATGTTGTGTTTTTTTGTCCCGAAAGCTTTTAGCCCTTATTCCCAGCCCATAGATGTGTTTGTTGGGCCAAGGGGTTATTGCACCCCCTCTCCCATTTTTGACCAAAAGTTCACTTTTTCCGTATGTCCAAAACAAGTCTATTTTGATAGATGGGGTGTGGTAGGTGGCAAAATCACAAAGCCAAGCAACAGGTTCAAATAACGAATAACTTAACAGGACCCACGTAATTATCAAGGAAGTCACTTAGTTAATCTTTTAGGGAATGTTTAAAACTTTTCAAATGGGGAGGTCTAATCGAAGTTTATGGATCGGAGCCTTGAAAAGTCTGATACATCTTGGCCGTATTCAATGATTGGACTGCATTATGATGCGAGCTTTAATCAACTTTTTCACTTGTATCGAATTTTGTGTTATTAAGACTTTATCCCTCTCTTATCTAAAATATAAAACAGTTTTTCATGTTAATTCGGACCCGTACAACTCTGCGGGACTTTTCGAGGTATCGTCTAAAGTTATCAATTTGCAGCCTCGTAAATGTGTCTTGCAACACCATTACGAGATCGCATAACAAAAAAAGGAAGGAAAGAGACACCATGATGAACTGAAACTCCGCTTTGGGACTTTCGAGAATGTCGAATCTTGCTTTCAAACCTTTCATATAGTTGCTTCTCATTTACATGCTAAATGCAAGCCCTATGAGGCCTTTTTTCATAAACGAGCATTCCTTTTTTATCTGAAAATTCACGACTAGATGTTTGTATTATAAAACTTTCTTGTGATACTCTGAAGCCCAAAGCAAAAATTTTTAAAATAATTGCTATTGCCTAAAAATTAAGATATTCAATCAAGTAAAATCAAAGTCTTTCCTTTTTGACTGTTTGAAATACTGTTTGGAGAGACGAACGAGCGAAAACCTTCAAATGAGTGTGGCAACCCTCCGTCCTGGAGTCAGAGAGCAATAATAACTTCGTTACGTGAACATGCTCTTTAACTCAATAAAGGGTTGCGATACTCGATAAAAACTTTCTCTTACTCGTCTCCCAAACAAACACAGTAAAAGTTGTTTACCGTTTTCCGACAGAGTTTTCCAGGCATCTGGTAATTTCATTGTTCGCTAAACTTGTTAATCTGAAATTGATCTATTCGGTTATTCGCTGTTTGAGAGCGAATAGATTACTTGACCTAGCACAGGATTAATGAGTTTTGTATATGTAGCAGCATTACCTAAGAAAAAGGCGTCTATGTTTTTATGAAAAGGTGTAGGGATGTGGTGTTAATGAAAAAAGGGGGCCTCCCTAGAAATTTCGTTAAGTAAAAGAAAGTGCATTTTAACCAAGTTGCTCAGGAGGCTCTGAAATACATCATGAAGTGTTTTTGAAAATTTTCTCTCGTGTTAACTAACCAGAGCTGATTTTAATTGGATTTTTAACCGTGCCACTAAAAATGTCATGCAAAACTGTTATTTAGTGGTCAAAGAAGAAATCAATTCTATGAAGTTTTATAAAAATATGTTTCAAAATATGAATACATTATCCCAAAAAATATCGAGCCTTGGCGAAAACCTTTTTAGTAAGAGCTATCAGAAATAGAATTTTAATATGTCTTCCACAAATATGAAATATTTCTCAAGTCAGTTTTTCGATTTTTCCCAGTTGCGTCATAGTTTTAAATGATCAAAGAATAAACTTTGAATATTCCTGTAAAGAGGGATGTGTAATTTTGTCACGGCAAGTTAATCTGCATAATTTTTCGGAGAATAAAAAATAGAATTGAGACCCCCTCCGCAATTTGAAGAAGATGAGAAATCTTGAATTGATATTAACGAATTTAATAATTCATCCTAGATAAAACTAAGAACTTCTCACCAGGATGATTGGTAGACAGGGTCGCTTGGAGGGGGGCTTGGGAAGCTGGGCCCCTCTTGTTAAGGTACAGCGAGCAAATGTTTGGCTGGACGAATTCTGTGCTATTAACCCTATTATTATGCTATAAATTTTCCGAGAAAGAGCAATTTCCTATTCCCCAATTCCCGTCCCTCATTCCACGACCGACGTGACTGAATGATTCATACCGATTAACGAACTAACGTATTAGAACCGTTACTTTTCCACGATAACGGCAAAGGAGACTTTGAATTCTCCGGGCAGGATGTTTGTTGTGAATGAACACTATCATGGGTTGTCCGACTCTCCTGCTGTCCGTTTGAATAAAAGCAGTGGACAGTGAGTCATTGGCTAGTACCGCGTGGACACATACTGCTGTGTTTTGTTCAATTTTTCAACTGCTGTCGACCATGCTCAAAGCAGTGATGTATATAAGTCTATTTGTTCTAACGGAGAAGATCCTTACTTTCAAACATTCGAGAAATATACACTTGTAAGTGATAATATTTATGTATATTATAACAAGACTATAACACAAATGTTTCGTTACATCGTCTATATCATTTCCTTTTCATTTTTTTCAGTGCAAGATTCTTTCACATTATAAGTTAATTCCGGGTTTTTCAGAGAACCTATTTATGTAGAATAGGCCATTGAATACTAACTGAGTCGCTATTTTCTCATGAACTTTGCCGAATTTCGGTGGTAAGTGGGTTCCATTTTTGTCCATTGTGGCGATGCGAGTTAAAACTATTCGCCGACGGCATTTAAGACAGATGTGAAAAGTGACGACGAGATAGAAAATAGGCTCACAGTTTTTAACTAACAAATCCTCTTATCTTATTCACTGACGATCTACTTACGTAGTCTCTATGCTATTCAAAACTGTTAACATGGAGGAAATTTAATATCAAGCGTTTGTATTTTTACTTTCAAATACGAAATTATCAGTAAAGAATGGTTATGTTAAGAGTATATTTTTTAGAATTTTTTAGAATATCGCAGCTCTGAAAGAATCAAGGTATTCCTATGAAAAGAGTGTTCTTGGGCTGTTTTATACTGAGAATAAATTCTAGACGTAATGCATTTGTAAACCTAGTGATCTGATATCCTCTCTGTTAGTTCTACTTTTTTTGATATCAAGGCGATTTTTGAATCAAACCTTGCAGCTTATGTTTTCGTTGCTTCCTTTTATACATTTTTGCTTCTTGAAAGTGGGGGGGGGCAAGGCTAGGAAAAGTAGGGGGCCAAGGCTTCTTACCTCTTTTACTGCAGCTCTAAAACTACTTTCTTCTCAAAAACTGGGGGGCATGGCTACCCCGGCCCCCTATTTGGCGCGGGCCCTGTTGAAGGTCATGTACTCACAATCTTGGCTGTCAGGTTAATACATAGTACATTTGCGCGGTTGCGTTTTCGCAGAAGCAGTCCATAGGGAATATTCAACTGTCATCTGCTGGGAATCGCAATGTTGTAAATAATGCCCTTTGAGAATAAAAAAGCGGTAGAGGAAAAAGAAGACTCTGTTCTTCTGCCGTCTCTCTCATTCATCTTATAATAAAACATGTATCCCAGGGTGTTTTCTTTTGCCATGTCAAACTGTCTTCTCGCATTACGTTTTCCGTCTCCGCTGACTCAGTAAGCTTATTTCTACTTTGTTTTTCTCCTACATGACTCTGATTTTCTATTGAAATTTCATTGGTTTAGCTATATTGATCATTGTTTTGCACCATAAAGGCCTTAAGCAGTTGGATTGGCAAATCGGCTAACAAGCCTTGTAGCCCTTATATCCCACAGTCGATTGTTCGCTTGCATAAAACTGTTATTCACCTGTCCTTACGTCATCGTAAGTCCAATGGTATTTGCATGTTTAATATTTTATGACGTTTGATTAAGATGCTGCTTGTTTTCAGCTGGGATCAAAAGTTTTTCCGATTAATTCAGGATTTGTTGTTCTTTGAAAAATTGACTGAATTTCTCTCAATTCTGAATACCTGCAAGAAGAAATCCTGAAGGACGGTTGAATGATTGGCAATCCTATTAGGTAAAACTGTCTGAGCACCAGCCTATTTGGCGATAGTTTCGTTATATTGGAAGTATTTAGGCCCAAGCTTTAAGGGCGTGCACCTCTTTTTCTGTATTAGTACGTGAGCTTATTCAAATGTCTTGTCGCTATTATCACAATGTTGAATTTTCTCTTATGTTATCTGTTTACTTGTTTTAACAGATGAAGTGGGAAGACGCGCGTGAGAAGGCTGTGGGAAAACAAGATCGGTTTTCGTAATGTTCTCAACCGGAGGAAATCCTATGCGTTAATTCAACTATTGGGTCACGTTCACTATCAAGATTTCGACAATGATGAGGAATTATTACAAAGTCGTTGAGGATTTTGAAGCTCCGACCATTGTCAACGGGAGTTGCCAATCAAATGGCGAGCTGCTTGCGGTCGAAAAGGGAGATATTATTGTTGATGTAAAGCCGTATAATGATAATTCGGTTGTTGGTAAGACTCTGGTATCGCAGAAGTTCGTGCAAATACCGAAAGGCTGTATCGAAGAGTTGAAAGATGATGATGAAGACGATGAGGGGCCTAGCGAAAACGAGATGTCTTGTGAAAAAGAGCGACAAGAAATTGCAGAGGAGGAAAAAAGATCGTCTCTGTGTTTGCTAAAGAATCTCCGATAAAATCACAAAATATCGATGAAAAACATAGGCCAACGAGCATCGTTAAACCGTTTGAGCGCAAAGGCGATAAGAACCAGATCACAAGCGATGGTGAGTCCGAAATCGCAGACGAGTATGTGCCTTTATCGCCGAATCTAGTCACCAATCCTTTGCCGAAGGCGCCACCGAGATCACGCCGGAAGCGAGAATCGAACGGTAATCACGAAAGGTTTCGCTCTCGTGAATCGGATGAAGGATACAACAGCTGCAGTCATTACAGCGGGGATAAACAACCGGACAACGAGGATATTGTCACAAGAAGAAGCTATTGCAATACAACAATCAGTGAGGCACCGCTTTTGAGCAGTTTTCGAGAAAGCCCGCAACGGGCCACAAGTCCGCGGCCTTCCATTCAGGATGAAGATGGATATGAAATACCCGCGTTTGCACCGCGCGTCAGCATTTTGAACGGTGAACTAGCATCAAGTGAGGAAAAGGGTGTCATGTTAAAGTTGATATACCAGAGAAAAAGCACAAATTTGGATGATACGCAGACCGGATTCGCATCTCCAGATTCTGTTAAGATTCCTTTAGATTCGATTGGTGAAAACTCTGAGTCGGTGTATGAAACTTGGGCGACAGATCAAAAATCATCAAATCCATCTCAAGATCGGAGGAAGTTGCGAAAGGAAAGGGTTTTTGTGTTGCTGTATTTCGCAATAAGTTTTCTAATAGCTATTGGACTGTTTTTAGTGATGCTGCATGTGTGCAAGACATCCCCACTCCTTTGCTTTACAACGGCAGTGAACGTTTTTGCAATTGTGTTGGTTGGATTGCTAACAATGGGAAAACGGCGATGGCTCTGCATTGCTACTCTTTTGGCCCCAAGTTTGTTTTCTAAGAAAGTGAAAACTGGTCTGTGTATAACACTCTGTGTCTTGATTATCACAGGCCCGGGTTGCAATGTCGCTAATAATCTGCGTATTGTATGGAATTGCAACTCGGCTGCGTCAAATGCAAGTGACAGCATTCCGTTAGACCAAAGTAGCTACGAGCAGGTTGTCAAAGCTATGGATCCCTACATGGCCAGGCCGAGTAGCCATGATTTGGTGAATGGAACAGTGAATTTCACCAAGAACAGCTCTCCGCAAGAAAAGAGTAAAGTTAAAACATGCAAAAATGCGCTACGTACAGCTTTAGAAAATGTTTTGCCCGTATGCAGTGCTGAAGATAAGTCATGTGTAATGAAAATGGTAGAACCTCGTTTCGGCGACATTTGCCAAAATTTCAGCGAGGCAAAGGCGAAATGTTCTCTTAGCGAAAGAAAACAAACGGCAAAACCAAAGCAGACGATCAGAAATTCAATTTTCAACTTGAGAAATATTTTGCTGCAGATGTTACCATTGCTACTTCTGCTTTTGGTTCATGAAGCTTATTGGTACAACAGGGACTATTTGTCAAATAAAGAAATGGACAACGTTTATATCACAGGCAAATTGCAGGCACTTGATTGCGAACGAAAAGAGCGTGGAATGAGAAATAAACTTTTTCCATTGAGAAAACTTGAATTCCGCACATACGTTCTTCCTTCATCATTTTTGCAAACATCACAGGAAGTAAAGCAAATTCTGAAGTGGGTCATTGTTTGGTTGTCGCTTGGCCTAGTCGTCTTGCTAACTATTTTTCTGGACAAGGGTGTTTACGAAGCATTATCATATCTTAATGAACACGCTTCAAATCAATGCCCTATCGCCTTTACATCCCTTGAAATGGACATCGTTTACTCGATCTGCATAGTCCTAGCGTTACTTATAATTGCTATAATTTTTCAAAGCTACGCCCTCCGGTCACGAAGTCGCATTTGCTCGTTTTTCTATCCGAAAAAAGAGTCAGCCAGGGGTGTCTATCTTTACTACAAGATTTTACACGATCGTGCACAGTTCTGGAAAGCTTGCAAAGAACGTGGCAGGATGCTGTCAGAGGGTCGGAGAATCAGATGGAGAATTGGAATCGGCCACAGACTGTTCCATGCCCTTCCAATGCAGATTAGAGATCTTATTGAAAAGCTGTTTGTGTATCGTTGCATGATTTGCAACAGTTTGTCTGCCAGAAAGACATTTGTTTGTCGTGATGAAGACTGTTATGCAACATTTTGCTATGAATGTTATATCGATATGGGTCAGACCTGTATCAGCTGCCGACCAAGTGCCGCTAGAGATTCAGTTTTTAATTCAATTTAGAGTTCTAGGTTCTTATTTATTTGTTAATGTTATGTTTACAAAAAGAGAGATTAATGAAGTACGTAGGCTTAAAAAGAGAGGATTATCTAAGGTTTTCATTAATCGATGAAAAGCTGATACTAAAGATTGTTTTAGTCTTAACCCCGCCCCAATGATACTCTGTCATCTCAGTGTGTATGTTGGAAAAATCTTGAGTCTCTGACTCCCTACCCTTCCCTTCGAATACAATGTTAGTATCTACCCCTAGGTGCAGATATAAAGCTTTCTGTTACTTTTTGAATCCCCCAGAGCAGTATAAATCGAATTCTGGTAATGCTAAAAAAGCATTTAGATGCATCTATAATTGTTATATGTGTTTACTTAAGAAAGTAGAAACCATCTTTGTATGTGTGTTTGCTTCCTAAATTTATATGGACAAGCTGCAAGCAGAGATAAAGCTTGAAAAAGATAAAGATAAATCTTTAAACCAATGCTTGAAAACTATCTGTGAATTATGTTTCATCGACTAATTAATACCATTTAGCATTGGAAAATTTCATCTACACTATTTCATCTTCAACATGTACTCCCTTACGAATTAATTTCCAAAGTGGGTCATGGACAGTAGATTCCAGTTTTGCTTCAAATTTCGTTATCAAGTTTTGTTATTTATGATAGGTTTATTAGCCTTTTAATAACATTGGCAGATCACTCCATGGAAATCTCGAACGCTTTTGATGGAATTCCTTTTGTTTTTTCTGAAAATCCCTCATATTCTTTTCTTCTTGCCAAAATCTAGTACGTTATTTCCAAGGATGAATTGCCCCATTGGTTTTCGTAGCCGTCGAGTTGAACTAGCACCATGTTTTTTGTTGTGGCTTACCCATTTAGGACATGCGTGCTTGGTCGTTAGAGATTTATCTTTTATCTATAGGAAATAAATTTAAATCTATCAGATAATTAGGAATAAACCCGATATAGGGCTTTTCATCCCTAATCTCAAGTCAGATTTCCTTTTTGGATTAATCTACGTTTTTGTTTAAAAGCAAAGGGAAACCAACAAAGAGCGTGGTAAAAGGTATTTTTTGTTCTCATTGACAATAAGAGCATTGCAACTCAGGTAATGCGCAAAAATGTTAGGCAGACCCCGTCTGAAGTAGATTTTTTTAGTAAAGCGGAACATTTATTTAATTTCTGGACAATTTTAGCGCTTTTGACAGTAAAATATTTTGTATTGTCGGGTTGCAAAGCTAGAAAACTAGAACCTTGTAACTGTTTGTATCACGAGGAGGCCAAACCAAGGCACATGTGCCTCCACAGTGTCATGGTACTCTTCAGTTGAAAAACAGAAGGTCCTCCTCATCGCAAGCTTTTGCAATAAGCGGATTTCAGTTTGCCACCAAAGGCATTATTGTGCACAACACTTGTTGTTTAAGAGAATTTGTGGTCTAAAAACCAAGGTCATAATTGCAGACTTTAAAGCAATGTTGCAAGGCTTAGCTGTAAATAAATTTGTCGCCTAATGTACGCAATTTAACTCAAGTTTTGATCTATTGTCGAGAGCAAGCTTCATCAAATCCTAAGGGGTTTCTTTCTAGCTATTAAAGGCAAACGAATAAGAGCTTCACTGTCCCCATTTTACTGATAGAAATATCATAAGATTAATGCTTCTTGGAAGTAAAAGCGAGTTTAAGCAAACTTAAATGAAGTTGTTGATATCTTCTTCAGTCTCACACACGTCTGAGGCCTTAACCGTTTGAGGCCTTGACCATAGAGTTATTGAATTAGATCTACTTCTGAGGTCAAGTACTTGCCTTAGATGAATAGTGGGCGAAATCCTCGTCTTTAGGCCATATGATGGTTTTTACAATCAAGGAATGCATATAACATAAGTATTATGTTTTAAATTAACTCTAGATACAGAATAGACTGTTGCTTATCATTTAAACCATTTCATCTTCCTTGATTAAAGCGTGCACTTTTAGAAAACAAGAAGCGACATTGAATACAGAAAGAAAATAGGTATTTACATACATTGGAGCTGGCCTATGTTGATTATCTTTACCAAAATGGTTGATAGCAAAAACCTGAAATCCATGATAAAGGCGTCAAAACTCGAAACATCTGAAGCAATTTGTAAAAACGCTCGAGGAAGCATCAATAAAAACCCTTTTTACAAGATATCAAATGTAATATCCTCAAAAGGGCCTTTAAACAATAACAGCATTACATTTGTTCATGTGGGACCCTCCGTTGTCATCACCTATTCGTGCCATTGTGAAATAAATTTTAAAAACAAGATTGCTTATTTTCAATGGTATGTCCAGAGATTTCCTAGTCCGCTGCTCTCTGGAAGAGCTTCTCTGGAGTTCTTTGAAATAACTCTTAAGATAGAAAGTATACTTCATTCTTTAGAGATATGATGCTTTATTTGAGAGTCAATTATAGTTTATAGTTTTAAATGTTGGTTGTTGTTTTTACTGAAAATGTGTTTTTGTTGCATTACTCTGTTTTTGCAAGATCTGAGTTTGTTTTTTTGTGGATTTTCTCGTGTGGAACATTAGTTTTTAAAGCCAATATGTTAAAATTCATCTGCCATTGATATGACAAAGAACGAAAAAGAAAAATGTTAAAATGCTGAGAAAATCGTGTTTTTCATGTTGAAGATGTTAAGAACCGCGCCAGTTTCAGTATTATAGATCCTGTTTACTTTGCAGCGGACGAATGTGACTTCAGTAGGCTTCCCTTGCCACACAGCTTTTGTGCGGATAGTAATAGAGGTGTTTTGGAGGGAAGCTCGGGGGGCTCAACTTCCTTTTTGAATTTCAAAGTGATTTTGAAGCTTTGACGACACACTGCCAACGAATTTCTCTTTATATTGTTATTGAGCTTCCACGAATCAGCAATTTACCACTGGTGCTAAGCCGAATGGGAGGAGCCTATTACGTACAGTAAGTACCCGCAGATAAGAAACTCCTTGTATAAGAAACAGGCTTCATTTTCTTCAAAAGGGGCTTCTTCTATTAAAAGCAATTTTAGACCTGAAGCTAAATTGTTCCTTATTTCACGCATAAACAGTTAAGCTTTATATTTTCTGTTTATGCTTTAGAATGATTGCAGTGTGCGTATTCTATTGATATGATAAATTATACGGTAGATTGTGTATTATATACTACTACCAGTTATATTGCATGCCCGTCGATAGACGGTACTGTCATATAGCTTGATGTGATTTGACCTGACAGAGCCTGTTTATAAGAAATTCAGACCCTGATGATGAAAAATCTCCCAGAAAGTTAATGAAAAACTTTCTGATGCCTCAGTTTATAAAAGCGGTTTCTTATATGCGGGTACTTACTGTGTATGTATATGATAAAGATAATGATTTATTCAATGTTAGTTGTTACAATAGTGGAAAAACACTAATTCAGACTAACATGAAACAATTTCAAGGATTTCATTTACTGCAAAAAGAACACGTGCATTTATTTTCATGGGACCAAGTTTCACCAAGATTTTATATTTCTTTGAATTTCGGGTTGTTTTGCTTTTCGTATCAAAAGGAGATTTTGTATACGAAGGTTGTTTCTGGTTTTTTTGGTGAAAATAATCTTTCATAGAAATAGGATTGTGATTTTTGAGATTTTTCTCATACTTCGAGGGCTACGATTCAAATTGATTGAATTATTGATGGAAGTTTCCTTCGAGTTGGCGATTAGTTCTCTATAGCAGGGTGAATAGTCAGAATACGCTGGTCGTAACGCTCTCTCGTTTATTCTCTTTAGTTTATCCTGACTTCCTTTGCTGCTACACATTAAAAAACATAATGTAAAAGAATCTATATTTGTTTCATTTCTCCATATGCTTTGCTGTTCGTTCAAGTGACCTTAACTTCTTGAATACTTTACTACAAATTTCATCAAACTGGAGTGTCAAACTTGAGATTTTCATCAATTTCCACACCATGTAATCCTACACGGCTATCTGCTATTATCTTAAAGACAGTATGTCCCCCATTGTTCGCAGAACCTCTTTTCATGGCCACGATATTCAAGCATCGTTAATTCAATGCACAAATAGACAATCAGAATGAAGAATCACCATAGCGTAATTTCCCTGAGCAACATGAAGAGGACAAACTGCCTTTAAACTCATTGTTAATTTCAATACTATTTATATTTCTACCCCTATTTCTAATTGTAACAGCTTCAAATTTAGACGGATTTGCAATGAGAGTTCGTTCAATTTAAACCATATCCAGGGATCTATTAGCGTTTGTCTTTATCAGTTGTAGTAGCTCATTAGCATTAATTGCAATGACAGAAAGTGTGTAGGCATCAGTGATCAGTGCACAATGATCAATTGTCAAGGCAGCAACAAATCTATAGCTACATGTTAAAAAGCAGAGGGCTAAATATCTATCCTTGCGGTACTCCTTGTCCAAGCCTACCCCAGGTGCTGTAGTACCCATCAACTTTGACTTTTGCATTTTATCGGTGAGGTAATCTTGTACAAGCAAGAGGGAACTTTTTTCTACTCCGTAAGTATGTAGTTGCCAAAAGAAGATCTTTCGGTAGACAGCCTTTAACAGCCAAAAGCTCTCCATAAATTCATAGTGATTACTTTCTAACTATTTTTTCCAGTCTTCGATAAGTCTAAATAGAGCATGCTGGGAAGAAACCTTCTTTCTATAGGCACATAAAAAATTTGAGATTTCTTTTCAGGAAAAGGAGGGAGTTGGGGAAGTCTATTGCTTTTTCAAATACTTTCGAAGATGCTGTTGGTAGACATGTAGATCTAGATAATTTTTTGTGCTAAAGCAAGAGATTCTCTTCCCTCTCTTCAAAATCCGTCCCCCGATTACCTTGTTAGGGCTTAGCTACAATTTCTGCCAAAAGTGTTGGAACAGTCCAATCGACTTTTCTACTAAACGTCCCCCCTCCCCCAACCCCCCCCATATGCAATGTTGGATTCCGATTAGAAAATGACAACAAATGTAAGTTGGAGCGCAAATTGTGTAACCCATGTTTAGCGACATGTTCATCTTCCTTCACAACATCGTTTAAGGGGGCAGGGGGTTCCGTCTGCTTGAAATAGGGAAATGAACTGAAAAATATACATCTATTACGAGTGCAATCGCGGTATTTCAGCTACTTTTGGCGGGCATTGTAGTTCACTGTTGTTGAAGTTTTGTTAAAGGAGGCCACATACCAGGGGAAAATGGGGCCATTGATCGCCGATAACCCAGACCATAAAAATCAAACTAAAAAAACGTTGAATCATGGAGCAACTGAGTTTATAAATAGGAGCAATCATGTAAAAAGTTCCTATTGATAATGAACACTAACTTTTCGAAATAAATAATAAGTGAGACGTCAATAGTTCTAATCGCACGTTATTCCAATAGTGTTAGCTTCCATGCGAGTACAGCTGTCAAACAATCGTTCTAGCCATCTAGATCTTAACTTATAAAAAGAGGCTTGTGGTAAAATAAGATGATGTTTTTATACAGACGCCAACACATCACAATCGTCAGAAAAAGCTTAGTCATTTGGAACTAGTGGCAGCGCTAGTTACTTCTGAGTGGGCGGGAAATGGGCATGACCCATGACACCACACCCTTTTTATCTCGTTTCAATGCTTCAGATGTATTTTTCTTAGGCAAATCCTATAAAATATCACCTACTGCTGCCCAGTGCAAAGTTATTAATTTTTAGACGAATTCTGTGGCCGCAACCGTCTGGAACATCGGTAAGCACAATCAAAACTAAATTGCGGTAGAAACAAGTAGAGGTACCCTGAAAATGTTTTTTCCAGATCCATTCTTTAACTTAAAAAGTATCTCTAAGGTATACCCTTGGCATTATATACATAATACTTTGTTGGACGTTATTGGTGTTAGAGCTACGCGACTGGTTGCAAAGTAACAGGGTAGAAAAAATGAAGCAGGAGAGTCCGGACAGACAGACGATTGCTCTTTTTGCTAGGAACAAAATTTTGTAGGTGAAAGAAGACATTTATAAAAAACTATAAAAAAAACACTTCTTAAGATGCCAAATAAAATAATTAACTTTCAGCAACAAATTCAGGAAATAAACTACAATGAATGTTCGTAAATACAAATTATCACCTAAAAAGGCTAACCGTATTTTGAGAACCCCAGATAAACTTTCAATCATCTCTCCCCCCCTCCCTCTAGGGATGCTAGCTAGATTTAGAAAATCAACCACATGGGAGATTGTGACTCTGAAATAATATTTGTTTGTAATTTTAATTTCACCGTTTAGGGACAATTGTAAACTCCTTCTAAACTGAAACTTTGTAAATGATACAAAATTCCCGCCTTTATTGACAAAATTCACTGCATGGGCAAAAGAAATGATTAACCTACAATATAACAAAAGATAATGCGTAAAGTACCAGTATAGAATGTGTTGTGATCCAAATATTCCATCTAGTGCAAGTAAGGGAAGGGTCGCTTGAAAATTGGTCAAAAAAATACACTAATACAAATTTCAACACAAATATACTAGCTCCAAAAACAGCGCCCGTCGCTCAACTTTGAAATAAAATAGCCTAAATTCCTTGCAAGCTCTATCACATTACAAAATGAAAGTGAGTGAAAAAAAGTTACTTGGATGGCAATTTCTTGATCCCCAATTGTATCAGTTGATCATCTCTGTCATCTTGAAGCCGCTCGTAACAAGCTACGACTTCGTCACCTGCGGTCAATCTAAAGCGGCCGAGCGGTTTCTCAATGGCGATACCACTAGGGCTGTAAAAAATCCACCGCATATCTTCTTCCTCGTCATTCAAGATATTGTTAAAGGCCGTGACAACATCGCCAACGCCGTTAATGTACCTTGTTGTAAATCCGTATCTGTTGAGAAAGGTATTGCAAAAGTTAACAATGAAAGAGTGAGTGCTACATTGACCTTCAATATCTCTCCAAAAGGACAGCCCCCCCCAAAAAACAGACAACGTCCAAAACGGATACTTCGATGCAACATGCACAAATTTTGTCTTTATGGGGTTCATTTTTCTGGATGAAGATCACTGGCTGATTTATGAAGGGTACAATTTCCAGATTTCCAGACAAAATCAGAAATTTCACACAAACGATATTCGTTTCATTTTAGCTTCGTCTTTATATTGTAAGATTTGGAAAGTCCGTAAGATTCGTCTTTATACTTCTAAAACATCTTTGTAAAAGAGAAGAGAGGGAGTGGATGGGGTACAAAGAAAAATAGTCGGGGGTGGCAAATTGGAATTGAAGAAGTAAGGCCTTTCAGATCCAGACAAAGGTGATACTTAAAACCTTCCATTTTTGGTTCGTAATTTCCTTTGAGGGTCCGTCATAAACCGATACAGAATTTTTGCAATACACTTTGCTAGATCATGTACCAAGTAAAAGCAAAACGAGCTTGAAACCAATTAGCACTAACATGCTTTTCTGCTTTCCTGGTACTTCTCTAGAACCAGGAACCGTTTAATCTGTTTGCTTCTATGGTAACAGAACTGTAAACATGCTGAATTCAAAATTCCCAAAGACTTGAAAGTTTGCTATTATATCATATCAATAATTGTACTTTACTATACTATACCATGTTATGTTATATTATATTATATAATACTATACTATACTATATTATGTTATGTTATATTATATTATACTGTATTATATTTTATTACATCATATAATATTATATTTTACTATATTATATTATATCAAATTATATTCTATTATATTTTATTTTACTATACTATACCATGTTATGTTATATTATATTATATAATACTATACTATACTATATTATGTTATGTTATATTATATTATACTATATTATATTTTATTACATCATATAATATTATATTTTACTATATTTATATTATATCAATATATTCTATTATATTTATTATATTATGTTTATATTATATTTATTATATTATATTATATTGTATTATATTATATACTATATTATATTATTATACTATATTTATATATTAATTATATCATATTATATAATAATATATATATTAATTATATTATTATTATATTAATTGTATTTATATATCATTATATTATATTATATTATATTATATTATTATTTTATTATATATATTATATCGTATATTATATTACATTATATTATATTATATTATATTATATTATATTATATTATACTTATATTATATTTGTAGTGTATTATAATATTGGAACATCAAGCGCAAAACGTAGAATCAACAGTACCATGAGTACCAGAGTCTCTATCATTTACTCTAAAAAATAAAGTTAAAACTTGGTGCAGAAAAATTTGTCTACAAAACTTCATCCCCAGATTCATGAAGCTTTGATACCCAGGGTAAACCAACAGGTTTTATACAAAGGTATACAGAGTATATGAAAGGATACACAGTGTATACAAAAGGATGTAGGGCTCTGTCCTTATGGGATCAAGCACTATTTAACCATGATTTAACAGATCGATTGACACCAAAGTTTATTAAATATCATAGATACATACTCTTGATGAAAGCGAGCAGCATTTCGTAAGAGATCTATAATAGTTGATCCATCGTCAAGCTCTACACTTAGAGGATGCGGAGTGTCCACATCATTTCTTTTCCCTTTGTACTCAACACGAAATTTCACCCTGAATGTCTCACCCATGATGTGCTCTACAAACGAAGAGAATTAGAATCTTTTAAAGCATATTTTACAATACGAGTTCTGTTCTAGAAAGCATCAAAATTATCATTAGAGTACAACTTAATGCTCCCTTTTTATCGATATGCCAGTGCGCTGAAACCTGTAAAAGTTGTTTGGGTGCAGAACACACATGATCTGCACCCAAACTCCGGCCGGCAGCCATATAGTTTATTCATAAGAAATCAACTTGATTGCTTGTTTCCGTTCAATTTACATCCAATTCTCATTCAACTAATTTGTTTTTCTTTCTTTCTTTTTTTTACTTTACTTTATTTACTAGTTTTCATTAGTTTTACTTTATCGTTGATTGAAATTCCTGGTTTGAAATGAAAATTCATATGTCGTATGCTTTTGTCTATTATACAAGATCTCATTAAGATCTTGATCAAAACACATTAAAACTTTTGCCTATTTGGAAATACTTTATCAATTTCCTTATGATTGGAAGCGTAAATCATTTCAATGTTGAACGAAAATCCTTAACTCGTCCCATGTAAAAACGCCCAAGTGCTAATAATGGACGGAGATAAGGAAACACAGGACCAACAAACATTACTGGTCAATACCTTAGTTGTCTGTCTTGTGTACAACAAACAACATTTTCCTGGCAAACACACTGAATCCATTTCTATTTAAATTAGCGATAAGGCTTGGCGAGGAGGAAGCGAAAAACACAAATAAACGAACAACTTACCATATACAAACTTTCTTGAGTGCCCTCTCCCTTCTAGAATTCCTTAACAACGTAGGAGCTTCGATATGAACAGCGACCTTTTCAATAGATGATTCAATCAAAGTCCTTTCTCTCTTTGTTTCTCTAATGATATCACGTGATAGGACAGGGAGTTGGTCCCTGTTGAATATCGTTTGTCTGCCATCAAATCCCATTAAAACTATACAAAAAGCGATTGTATAGTTGGTTTTAAATTTTCTATTTGATTGTTTACTAGCTGAAAGCTTCCCATAAAGCAAATTTGAAGACAGGCGAAGCAAAGGCCGAGAAAAAATACGTTAGTGAAGGTAACAAGAAGGTTTTAACGTGTGAAATGAGATTTGAGTGTATTTCTTGAATAGCACTCGTTGGGTGCGGGAAATATCAACAGAGAAGGGACTGGAAGCATGATACGATGTAGTTATTTTAGGTTGTCACTCGCAGACAGCTTAAAAAATGTCCCGTATAATAAGCAAAAACAAATATATGATTCATATCGAGTGCCAAATCATTCCTGAAAACGATGTACGTGATTAACAATCACTAGTGATTAATTTGTGATTAATGCAATATTTTGTGATTAATGTGATTAATTTGTGATTAAAGTTTGATTATTTTCGAGAGCTAAAATGATTTTACTCAGTGATTTGCCCCTTGATTTGTATCATAGTCGCATCTTTAATGCTAGAGCTGCTCATAGTTACTATGGTCCCAAATCGTTCTAAAAAGATGGAGTGCAACGGTCTGGGGTCCATACTTTTCCAGAGGACCCAAGATACTCTCGGGTTTTACATGATGTTATGGGGGTTCTCTTTCAAGAGTTTCTCGGTATCATGTACAAATAAGTTTACGAAGAAAACAGGTTTAACTTAGCGGGGGAAATATGATAACAAGATTTTCTGAATGGTACTTGGGATGTTCAATCGATTAATCCATAATCCTTTAAATCAATCCTGGTTAATGTACTTTTCTAGGAAATCGTGATAGAAAGTTGTGACAGTCATAGACAGCTTTTAGCCGAATGACAAACGGGAGCAATGGAGTATATTAATGATTTGCTAAAAACGGGTCAATGAAACGATTACTTATGTATGCTTTAAGTAGAGTCTTGACAATCTTTTGGGGGGGGGAGGGGGTGTGTGTGTCCCAACTGACTTCAGAATAATGAATGTTTTTTATTTGTTTGTACACGGTAGTAAAACGTTCTTGTGGTTTCCGAGTCTAATATATTTTGAACATTTCAAGCATTTTTTGAAATTATGTTTCTCTATATAAGGTGATAGGTTAAGATTTTTACACTAGCTCATATTGGAGCCATATCCAAGCTTATTGGAACCACATTACTGCGGCCTTGGTACTTGACTGGGTGCAAATACCTTTGTTCAACAACACCTTTTGATGCAAATTAGTTGGGCAAAACTGATTAACAAAAGACAAAATCATATCACTGTGTAACTATTTCGATTCAATTTATGTTTCGAATTTGAGATCAACAGCTTTATTGGATCAGAAATAAGCTTCGGCTGGCTGGTGCTCTCTCTCCACAAAAATCTCTTAAGACACACAGAAATGATCGTCGTGGCACAAAGATACAAAACCTAGGTAGCCATCCCAAATTGGATATTCTTGGGATGTTTGTAAAGGAACTGCGATTAGAAATTCATTCTGGAATTAGTAAGCTTTGGGGCAGATGGGAAATTTTGAGCATCTAATAGTCATTTGGAACTTACTCAATAGGGCTACTTGGTAGTTTTTTCGAAGCAGAAATTGAATTTGTTAAAATTTCTTCTTTTGATGTCCAATTTAATGCTGTCAAATGACTAGGTTTCTCAATTTAACTAATTTTTTACACATTGATCGGCAGTAAATTCCATTTTCATACTCTATTGCATAAAGTTCCTCATTTCTTTCTTACAAACCAAAGAACATTTTCTTCAAAATATCTTTAAACTGTTTGAGTCGGAAACCCGAGGGGGTACTCCCATTATGGCCAACAGAGGGTCCAGTCAGGGCTTACGCTAAAATGTAAAAGAATTACCCTCAAATGGAAGTATTTTTTGACAGTAACCCTCAAATGGTAGCATAAAAACCGAAATTAAGTCCTTGGTAGCATCCATTTTTTGTACTCCCTTGGTCCTTTTTTGACAAATTTCTTCACAACTAACTGTTGTTGTTTCCGGGAAAATAAAATCTTGTTCATTATCTATAATAAATCGCGAGCTAAACCGAGCAGTTGAGTTATTATGTGCCATTTGGTAGCCATTTGGTAAGAACCTCAAACCAACTGGACCCCCTGTCAGGCACTAATGGGAGTATCCACCCCCGGGTAGGGAAATTAAAATTGTGCAAACCAAAAATTATCCACGGCAAGAATCAATCGAGAAATAGTCATTTTTTTGAAATTCCTTTGGCGATGTAACACAAGAACACAAATCAGTTCATATCCAAGATAGTAAAAACCCACATATAAGCAACTTGTTTTTCCGAATCAGACTGTACAGTTTCTTACTAAAGGAAAAAACATTGAAAAAAGGCTGATGAAATATACAACTATACATTTTGAAAAATAACTTTATGCAGGGCAGTCATTTAAATTCAATGAGTTTGATACCGAATTTTTTCGGAAAAACTGCTTTTTACATCTCTTATATTTCGCAAGCTTTTGCTCTAAATAAGCATTCATAAGAAACTAAAAATCCAGTCTCAACAGTTTCTCATATTTTGGTACATAACTTTAACAAAGTCATACTGCAGTTTTTTATAAGCAAGTTTCTTATAAGCAGTTTTTTATTGTAAGGCTTTCATTACCTTTAGATCGAGGCCTTATAAAAGAATCTAGAAGAGTAAAAAATAGTACATTATTCATATATATTTAGGTAAACAATTCGGCTTAGCAACTCTAATTATGAGCAAATTCATTCATGTGATCACACCATACGTTCTACGCAGTAAACCAAGTCCTTTAAGAACGATTTCAACCAAAAATCTAGCTCTAATCTTCGTGAATCACTATCTTGCAGTACTTAAAGGCCAGTTCTTTTTCTTTGGGGTTTTCTACGCGCCGTAAAAATGTATGATTGCATATTCATCTGCGTGCAATGAAGATAACAAGTGAAGGAAAGAAAGGCATTTGACGGCTTTATTTGAATTGCTGCAAAATGCTGGTGAACTTCAGAATAAACATGAAACACGAGAAAAATTTGTGCCTAAAAGTTTCTGTTAAACATTTATGAGACGCAATGTTAAACATTAACGAGATGCATGAACATTTTGTTGGCTAAAATTCTGGTTTCTGAATTTTTTACATTGCGTTTCAAAGAGCAGAACAGCCAAATCCGTCTAATTTTTGAACAGAACAGCCAAATCCGTCTTATTGATCATTACTTTCCGGTAGACAAAAAACAAGTTGCCAAAAACCACGATAAAAAGGAAGAAAAAAGTGGTCGAACTTGATCTCATAGGTTTTCAGCATTTAATAGTTAGATAGTATGATACATAAACGGAGGATGCAAATTTAGTTTATTAATATTACATACAATCCGCTCCTTGGAGGAGACTTTGCACAAGGGACATTGCAGCTTCCATTGAAATATATTTCTTAATACCATTGTTCTTTGGCTACTGTTAATTATAACATCTATACAGGGCACTTTTCAAAAGAGCCAAAATATGGAAAATTATAACATATACGGAACGTAATAAAAAAAACAAAAAATTCGAAGACATTTAACAACAGGAAAACCTCCATCGCCAAAAAGTGACGGGTGCCCATAATAAATTTAAGGGAAAGTCTCAATCATTCGCTTACAAATAATTTATAATTAAATAGAACAGCAACCCTATAGATTTTTCATGACAATTTTTCGATAATTTCTCTTTTTTGAGTAAATTCCTTTACGGTGATTTTCATTTTTAAATGAACCCGCATAAAAGAAGCGAAAGTTTTAAGACACTCTAAAACTCTCACGTTGCTACCGGGCCTTCTGTCTTGTTTACAGATTTTGATCTTTCAGAGTTAGGGTCGTCGTGACCAGATTGATTTGATCCGAACGACGAATAAGCAACACCACTGTCGCTTACTTTTAAGTACCTGAAAAAAAATTAAAATCCCTTATACTGGAGAGGTTCTTTTTTATTTATCCAAGGGAATTATCAAGGCTTAGAGAGAAGCGTTAACAGATTTAGAAATATGAAAATAAGAATATTAAAAAATATAGCTATGAACTCCACATGGCCGTATGAAAAAGAGGTGGAACAAATCGACAACCAGGTGAAAGTAATTTCATTATTCTTTTCATTATTCGAAACTTTATTTATTTTGAAGAACTAAGGATATTTTTAAAGGAAAAGATAGTTGGAAGTTAAAAGATTGTTTGAAGATTTTGGAGATAGAGTTAGCAATGCTCTTAAAAAGTACATAAGAGGTAGAAAATTGGGCAGGCAGAGAGCAGAGTCAAGAAAACATTATGGTTCCACGGGTGTGAGCCGGAGAATGGTTATCCAACAATACAGCAGATTTTAGGAAGGTCAATACATAACTTGACCAGAATATAGAAAGTGAAAGGAATCTGACATTGTGATGGAACTTTTTTTGCTTCCTGACAAACCATTAATGTTTTAACTAAAGTTATATTTTTAAGAAACACTTATTCAAAAGGTACAAAGAATGCAAATGGAGCAAAAATTCAACCGGAAGTTTACAAAATGTAAATGTTGTAGGAAAAGGTCTAAAACTACACCAAAAAAAGACGTTTTCTGATCTCTGATAAAGAGCTTTATCAAAAGGGGTTTGCAAATTGGGAATATTGCATAGGGAAAGGTCTAAAATTGCATCAAAAAGAGAACTAAGAATAATTCAAAAGGCCTAGAAGAAGACCTTCAAAGGTGGAAATATTGTGGGAAGGGATCTCAAAACGTAGGGCAAGAAAGACACAAACGATAATTCAAAGGCGAAATGTCTCTAGAGAGAGACGTTCGAAGTTAGGAATTTTGTGGCCTCGAAACGGAGGGCAAATGTAGGTCGTAGGATAACTCAAAGGCCAAGAGTTCCAAAAAAAAACGTTCGAATGAAGAATATTTTGGGAAGAAACATCAAAACGGAGAGCAAAGAAGTACCCAAAGAGAATTCAAAGGCTTTGAGCACATGGGAAAAACATTCGAATTTTGGAATATTTTGGGAAAGATTCTCAATCCAAATTTTAAAAAAACGTGCCTTTTTTAATCAAGGGCCCCAGGGCAAGGCTTTTTAGAAAGAAATAAAGTAGTATAGTGATGTAATAATACCTAAAAAAGATAGCAAATTAATTGTCCTAATCTGTAAACTTACCATGCTAGCAGAATTGGAACTATCGACACTGCAGCCATTATAAAGAAACAGAAGCCTGGAAACCACTCAACAGTTGCCGAATACACACTGTTAAAAAGGGCAGAGGCCACAACCGAGCATAACACTTCTATTGATGCAATTGCAGAGAACATCGCACCTTGAAAGGAAGATAACACCAATATATTAATATATTTTATGAGGCATGGATCCTGTAAATGAGGGGAAATTTATTTCTGTAGAACCTAGGTCAGAGAGCTCCACAAACCAACAACGCTGTTATAATCATGTGCTTACACTCCTTCGAACTCAAGACTGATTAAAATTACAATTCACTGTTACATATGCTTATAGCTAAATCGAAACGTCAATATTGATAAAAAAGTACAGTATACAAACAACAGTTAACAAAAAATCATGACACAATCAGAATTACATTCAATTTTTACATCTAGAAGGTGCCAGGGAAACATGGAGGAGTGCCAGGGAAACATGGAGAAAAAGACAGCTAGAAGAACATGTGAAAGGAAACAATTCAAAATCTTTTAGCAATTATTTTGCTAAACGATAACAAACGCTAGAATAAAGAGAGTGTTATTATTGTTTGGGAATTTCCACCAATCCTGATTTTCGAACACACTGTTTATTTGGGTTAGGGAAAATTTTCCAACCAGCCTGTTTATTCCAGACCTCCAATCTATGCCAGACTCGAAAGTAAACATAACATGAAGCCAAAAAACATTTTAAATATTACCTTCCTATCTTGAATATCACCATAGCAATAAATTATTGTCAAGTATGTAAGAGTTAATATTCATAAATTTCGTAAATATTTTGAAATTAGATTTTGCTCAGAAATCTACACTTTAATCAACACCGAGCCTCCGAGAATATCCCCCCCCCCATCATATGCTCGTTACTTCAAACGGTTGGTCAACACCCAACATATGCCAGTTACTTTAACTGTCAAAATAACTTTTCTCTTGTAGAAGATAACTGGTAACTTGATTCGCGAATTGGATTCTGTGAATCTTGCAATGAGGGTTGTGATAAAACGTAGTCATTCCAAACAGGAAGGGAACGATTAATTTATTTCAAAATTCAATTTGACAATATATTAGAACAACCCAACAAAACAGAAACCTTTTAAAACAAGTGATAGCATTGTAAACAATCTTTTGGTGGTATAAAACTTGAAAATGGCTTTGTTGATAGCATTGTATAAAACACTATCACTCTATTAGATTACCTCTCTCATCCTTTTCTACTATTTTTGAGCAGGCTGATCGGATGCATGGAACTGAGATTCCCCCAAAAATCGCAAAAACAGGCACTGAAAGAAGAAAAAAAATTAATATGTAAAACTTGACGCTTAAAATGGCATTCAAACTGAAGCTTAGTTCTGCATTTTCTCGATTGTTTTTAGAAATTTCCTCCAAATTTAATAACAAAAACCCTATTGACTAGATGCATTAGTAACACATTTTTTCTAAAGAAAAATCAATATTTTTATCAATAACGTTCAAAGATCAATGTTATAGTCAGTTGTGAGCCTAATTGGGGAATTTGGGGTCTACAGAAAATTGAAAGCCTAAAGCTCTGACCACATAATTTTAATTTATAGCCTTTGGGTACTTGGAGAGCTTGATGGTTTATTCCAGAAAATCAATAAAAATTCTTCTTTATCAGACACAATAATTTAATAATTATTAATAATTATTATTAATATCATATATTTAATAATATTTTTATTAATACATATTAGAAACCACAATTAACAAGTTTTTCGAGTTTGTTGAATGAAGGAATGCTGGCCTTCAGATACCTTGTGTTGTCTTGAGATATCATATTTCCTCTAAAGAACGCCACAGCATTTATTACAAAATCCAACTTTTGGATGCAGCGTTTAATAGAGGGTGGCGTTTATCAGAGGGCGGTGTTTAATAAAAAATGAGAAGTTTGTCAAATGAAAAATGACAAGAAAAGTGCAATGATAAACGATAAAAAAGACTTTGAGCAATGTTTTCTTTTTCCTGAAAAGACATAATGAAGATTGCGTGGAAAATGTTTTAAAGTTCACAAAATATGTGTTTAGAGTGTGGAAATGTCACAGCATGTCAACATCCCTGTCTCTGTTAGAGTTATCATCTATATGTCATAACAACTGTCATGGATTTCGAATAGAAAGTGTATAAACTATTTGTTACTTCTTGTTGTTGTTTTTTCTAATGAACGTCGCTTTTCAAGATGCGGCATTCAAAAAGAGGACAGTGTTTATGAATGGGCAGTGATTTTTACAAATGGTTGGCTGAAGGTGTGGTGTTAAATAGAGGGTGGCGTTTACTAGAGCATGGCGTTCATTAGAGAAAATACGGCACATAGAAAACATTGATTATTGTTTTATGAAATATGGCCAGCTTGACTTACAGATGGTTGAGAATGAGAAAATTTAACTTGAGAAAGGTAATGAAACATCCATGCTTTCAATCAGGGGTGGACACTTGGTCAAATATTGGGGGGGGGAGGAGGGCAGCAAGCCATTTGGTTTAAAAAGATGACATCACATTCCCCCATTGTTTTATAACAAAATATCATTGTCCTCCAAAATATTGGGGGGCAACTGCCCCCTTGCCCTCTCCCAGGTGCCTGCCACTGCTTTCCATGCACTCTGAATATAAAATCAAACCAGGGATTGTGTTGGGTAGTTGAATTGATATCTAGGGTCAAGGCTCTTAAAACTGGTTGACATTACAACTGGGTAAATAAGGTGATACAATTGAATTAGACTAGACTTCACCTTTAATGTAGGCCTATGAAAGTAGATCAAAATAATGCTTGTGCTGATAATTATGACTTTGCTTGCTACCTGATTTGATACTCTAAGCTCCATTTTGGTAATTTTTATACTCTCTGCTGAAAATGCTGAAATTTTTTTTTGGACCATTTAGTAATACATTACCTTAAGCTTTAAACTACTGATCTATCACAGTAAAGGAAAACTTTTCCTAAAATTGCTCTCTCAGCACATTATAACAAGGCTTAAAAGTATTTTGACAAATGTTACCTGTTTGATATCAAAGGAGGGAGGGAGGTAACAACCCTCTATCTTTCTTCAGAAAAGTCTATTGGATAGGGGTGTATCACATTTTCAACAAAAACTTAAGGAAAACTTAGAGCGTTTAGCACAGAAAGATAAAGCACAAAAAGATTTTGTTTCAAAAATCGTTGGAGCCATCAAAACTATCTCTTCCCTCAAATGTGCTAACTGGTGAATCTGCTTCTACTTGTGTTGTAGAGAAGTTTGGAGAAAAACGTTTACCTAATATGAATATGGTTTTACTCAACTCTAAATAGGAAAGCTGTAAAAAACACAAACTTATAAACAAGGGGTGTAAATGTTCTTTGAACTTCAGATAAAGAAGTAAACAATAGTGTTACAACTAACACAAAAGTTCTTTGCTATCATAACTTGTCAGAGAATTTCTCGCATTGATAATTAACACAATTTCCATACCTGCAAATACCATCCAAGGCTTGGTTGTAAATGCTAGCAGCACAGATGACACCAGTGTTGAAACAGAACCAATGATTACCATCGTTAAATCATGTAGCTTCAGCTTGTGGATAAAGAAAGGCATTCCACCCATCACACCAATGGCCGAATAAAACATAACTGCAGCCAAGAAATAGCCAACCATTGATGGAGAAAATGACAGTGGAGAGTGCATAACAAACAGGACCCTCACCGTGTTTGAACCAATAAAAACTGCAATGAAGGGACAAGATCATTGACATACAACAGTCAACAAAAAGAAACTCCTAAAACAGCATATTAGGCACAAAGACTTCAAAAATGATGACAAAGATCTGCTTATTTGTTTACATGTTTAGTTGATTAGAACAAGAAGATTCAATAAATGGTGGTTTGCTAAAAATTAGGATTCCACTATTAGCTCCAGAAATATAAACCGCTATTAACTGCATCAGTAAATGTTATCTTGTTGTTGCATTTTGATAACTTTTATACTTTTAAAAATATGCAGATGATAAATTTTTGCCAAAAAACTATAAAATAGTATATTTGGAAACTATGGGCAAGGAGGATTTCCTATTTTTCAAATATATATCTAGTGTAACTTTTTTACAATCTTTGGCAAGCAAGTAAAAACTAAGGTCCAAGAAAAAGTAGTTTTATAGCTGCAGAAACAATGTCCATCTTAGACCAAAATCTCAAGCATTTTGCTATCTACTGATGTTTGTTAAAAACTAAACATTAGATTAGAAAACACCATGTTGGACTTAGTCCATGCTGAAAACTTCTTTGGACCGTTTGGTCATGTTTAACTATCTTATGAATATTTACATATTTTTAAAGATTTAATTGGCATGGAGACTTTCCGTGACTAGTAGCGAAAAAAGTCCAGTCAGCTGATAACAGAAAGTCATCATGGTGAAAGCACAAGTTCAAAAAGTTTTTATAGTTCTTGTACTGCCTTGCACATCCATCCGAATAATACTGGAAATAAGTAACCAATGGATGAGTCTCCTTTATAAACTCTGTACTCAATCGCTGCACCTCATGAACAAAACATGTATCGTGATTCATGTCATCTGAGAGTAGGCAGAGAGAGGATTCCTTTAGTGTGCCATCACCACCCATAAAGTAGATTGCAACGGGGTGCGAAGTACACTGTAGGTTGTTCCAATAAAAGCTTTGCACCTCATCTTGCACAATAAATTTATAGTTCTCTGCACAGTCATTTCCATGCCAGCTCCATTTTTTTCTTTTTTAAAGTTTGCCCTTGGCTCAATAAATGAATGACACGTGAGGATATCAATAGAGTTGACTAGCATCTCTGTGTAGGGAGCAGAATCTGCTGACTGTTTAATTATGATTGGTCTGTCAGTGCTTTGCCACTGACTAAATGTCACTTCATAAACTTAAAGTTTTGCCAACTTTTCTTCAACAAAGGTTTGTAGTGCTACAACTCCAGGGCAGTCCTTGCAACGATGAGCCATGCATTCTTTGATGTCAACATTACAAACCACAATTTTAATCAGATCCTTGTAAGTTAATTCCCATCCAATAGCGGCAACTAAAAGCATAGCATTCTGATGATAAGTGCAAACACAAACAGAGTGTGCACCTGATGATCCAACTGTGACACACCACTTAGGTCTCAAACTGCAAAATTTAGAAAACCCAATTTTGATTGATGGGTTCTTTTCTTTGAAAGCAACATTCAATTCATTCAGATTGGATAGCAAGAGTCTTTTTTGCTTGTGCTCATTTTTGGCAATGCTTACATTATCCTTCTTTCCTGGAAGCAATCGTGAGAATTCATCATCCTCAAAGAATGACTTTACAAGTTCCTCTGTTTGGTCAGGCAATTTTTCCCCCTTCTTTGACTCGGGAATGGCAAGTATTCCTTTCTCCTTCTTTACAGATCTTGCAGTTCTAAAAAGGTACACAGAAACTCCAAAAAACTCTGCAACCTTTGCTCTTGGCCATGAGTCAGGGGCTAAAGTCAAGATTTGGATTTTCTCCCTGTATCCAGAGCAAATAATTTTTCTTTTAAGTTGTATAAAAGCTCATAATAGTTTTTAGCTTTATCGGATTCTTCTTTTGTAAGGGAAATCTCGGGTTCCTGTAGTGATAGCATTTGTAGGACATCAACTCTAATCATCAACTCCAATAACTTTCGCTGCTTTTGCAGTTTTTATTTTGCTTCTGATACCTTTCAACGCTTAGGTAAGTTGTGTAATTTAATTGAGGATACCCCTGCAAGTTCAAAACTTGTTTCTAATCTTTCTCTAGATGATAGTTCAAAATCCTCTTCCTCTTTTGAAGTAGCGTCTGGATCTTCTGGTTCTAGAGGTTTTCCCTCTCTGGATTCTGTCTTTTCTTCAGAGATCACCATTTCATAGCAGTTTCTACACAGCTTTGAACCTGGTACAACAGAAATACCTTTGTCTTTCAACTGCTCAGCCAGCTCCGGTTTTATAGTGAGGCTGCCAACAGCTTTCTTTTTGTGCTTTTTAAACAAGTTGCAGCATTTCTTTTATTTTTCTTATACTTTGTCCTGAACACATATTCGTGATGAAAGAATATAGTACCTTCAAATTTACAATCAATTTTGTCCAGCAAACCAGCTCTCCACAGGTAGACCTCGCGACTGTCATCAGAAAGTTCAGATAAACTCTTCAAACCTGTTTGTCTACTGTATGAATGTTTATGGCACTCATCCTCCAGTAATAATCCAAAAGTACATTTAGCTTCCATTTTGCAACACAACTTCTCTACAACTAGCCTGGCAAAATCCAAATATTTGTGATAAGGAAGGAATTATCAAGGAAGTGCTATTAAGTTTCAGGAAGTGTCCAGTAACACATATATTTGGTCAGCATTGTTCTATTGCATTCCCATGCCACAAAATTTTCAACTGTCCCCTAGTTACACCCAACTTTGACTGATACGTGTAATAAATTGATACGTGTAATAATTTCTTTTACATAGTTTACCATGCCTAGTTACCAAGTTAAATTTGCTGTTAAATTCTAAGTTAAATTCTATAGCTCCTGGAAACTGTCAAGAATGCATGTTTCAACTCAATGCCTGTGACTCATTTAATTAAGATAAATACGCATATTTACTAAACGAATCCAATAATAGAAATGTTCAGCAAATATAAACAACAACCATGTGCATGATGGTCAGTGGCATTAAATGTGGGACATTGAATTAATTTTTTCTAGTGTTGAGACATGAATTGATGTTTTTAAAATGACATTCTTTGCAACAAAGATGCACTAGCCAGCAAGAGATGGTGTCTGCTGGTTCCCTTTCGTCTGCTCGGTAGTTCATAAGCACCAACTACATATTTTGGTAGTATGTACATTCTAACTTCAATGGGACATAACTTTGTCTCAGAATGAAAACCATTGATCATCTATACATTAAAATAAAAGATAACCTTTACACTTTCCAAAAATTTAAATTTAACTGTCATAGTCACCTGGCTACACCCCAAAACTTGCAATCAAAAACAGGGTGTGAGCTTTACAGTGCAAATTAGTAAACATCTTTGTAACATCTTTCCCCTACCCCCACTGATAAAATTGACTTGATTTATGGAATCGACAGCCTCAGAAATGGTTGGATACGCATTTTCAGCTACATGTCGTTTATAAAACAGGTATATACCCATTTAGAGAATGACGGCTTGAATGGCCACACTTTTTTAATTTGAAAATTGCTGAGATAAGCAAAATCTTTAAACTACAATAACTTGTAGAGTATTTAAGTTATTCTTCTGAAATTTGGGAAGTAGTGTAACTTGATGTGATGTATTTAACTATGGTGTGAAAATCAAAGCAATCCTGGATGATTGAACATGAAATTACCCATCCTGCTAATATCACTCTACCCCCACAGGCAAGTTAAATGATTGAAAGTTGAAACTAAGCTTTCCTACAACTCCCGTAAGTGGCTGTTGTTCAAATTCCTATTGTTCTAGCAATTAAAGGAATAATTTTAAAAATAACTTTTAAAAAGGCTAGAAACATGACAAACCTAATTGATGATCTCAAGCTGGGTCACTAAGAGGGGGACAGAGGGCACATTGTCAAAGGAATTAGGTCTAGGGGGTTGCAAAGAGGGCCTAAAATATGGTAAATCATTTCAAAGGATTGCAAAAAAATGACTGTAAAAAATATTCTGAAATGTATTTTAAGCTAAACTCAATGAACTTGATCATAAAATTTTTCTGTTCCCTTTGCTCACAGGGCCACATCTTTCAGCTAAGCAGCCCTGAACTTTTTGGCAAGCCTGAACACAAGACTCAGTTGTGTAAAAAAAATTTAGAAATTCATTTTTGTAATCTTAAAAAAAACACCTAAGCCATACTTGTCACATGTGCAAGAGTGCACTTGCAATTTTCCAAAACTTTTTCAAGAGGGCAGCTGCCATGGAATCCATACTAGGGTCTTCTAACATAATAAGATTTACCAAAGATTTTTACTCACCCATTAGTGAGAAGAAAAGGGCAATAATCACTAGCAATAACTTCATACGTCCATTGCCAGGTCTAGGCTTGAGAAATATCTTCAAAGACTTTATTGAATTCTCGCAACTGACAAGAGCTTCTTTTAACGTCAATTTCACGTCAGGGTAGTATGATTCTTGTAGGATACATGCAACATACAATAAATTGCATAATTGAACACCGGCAGTTATCGAGAAAGTGATAAAATAGCCGGCTTTGTCGACCAATACCCCGCCAACCAGTTCTCCTAAGCATCCACCAACAAGAACCATCGACTCCAAAAGAGCTACACGTAAAGTCCTGCTCTTTTCGCTTGAAACATCCGATATATAGGAAAAGACAGCCATGAGGATCGTTGCATAGTTGCCGAAGAACCCAGATATTATGACACCAACAAGAAGAGCAGATACAGGCCAATCAGAATAATGAGTATTTAAAATCAAAGCAACTGCGTCAATGATCCCACCAATTAATGGAAGAACCAATGCAAACTTTCTTCCAATCTTGTCGGAGCAAGGGCCTAGGATCATGGCTGTGAACATGGACGGAAATGTTGTAGCCATGCTGAGGTACAACATCCATGTTGATGTCCCCTTTTGTACTATTGCTTCTTCGTGAGCATAGGCCTTATTTGTTTTGATGTTGTTGCAAACAGACTGGTTGTATTGGCTGTCACAGAGCTTTTTGTAGATAAGCTGTTCTTCGATAGGAAAGATAAGAAAAATGCAGAACATAAATCCGAAGAGAACCGGCTCAACTGTCACAAGCCTCGCCATTTTCTCCAACAAGTGCCAAACACTGTCAAAGGAGAAAACAAATGTTGTTGCTGTTGTTTTCCATCGAAGGAATCTAGGCACGTGGTTCTCAGGAGTCACTCTCGCGCTACCCAAATAAATTCCAGAAAATTTCGGACGGTTTAATTTCGGGCGTTTATTTTTCTGACAGAAAATTTCGGATCAAAAAATTCCGAATCGGACAATTTCGGACAAAAATTTCGTACGAAATGTGAAAGGCGCAAAGAAATTTCAGACATTATCTTTTAGTATCATTACACAGCACAATAATGTGATCTCGGACAAAACACTAATAATTAAGCATCTGAATACAGTTTTAACTTGTATCATGATCAAGGATCAAGGTTCAATTGTTGATCTGGCTTTTTCGCAAATGGTTCGCAAACCAATAAACCATCTTGGTAGATATAATTCAGATTTTCTTGCCTACAGCAATAACAGTTATTAGTTTTATCTGAGCAAAAATAATAAAGACACTACATGGTTACGAATTAAAGGCTGTAAGGAACCTATATGTACCTGGGAACCTTTTTTATTTTAGGAAGCGGAGACAGGTTTTAAGTGGCAAGATCATTATATGAGTGTGCTAGTGCATGCTTGTTAAATCAATTACCTAATTCTGTATATTTCTGGTCGCATTTTTTCCCGTGACTAGAAGGACTGACTTCTAAACCAGATTCAGCTCAATACTGCTACAACTTGATTTATTGTTGCCTTTCAAACCCAGTCCTCTCTTTAAGTTGCATTTATTCAGGTAATCGTCCGCTCCTTGAATTCCGATTATTTTGCTTATAATTATTGATAATATTATATTGATCGTAGGATTTACGCTGGGATGCAATATAAATACAATTTATGTTATATATTCTTAAGTTGACTTCGTTTTTGTTTAAGTAAGGATCCTTTCATGTTAATCGACATTGATTTCGTAAAAACGTTATGCTTGAATTAATCTGTCTTTAATACGGAAGCTTATCTTGATGTTATATGATGAATTCGATAAATAAAGCACCCAATCTCCTCAATAGCGTTTTTTTGGGAGATTTTTTCCGGTTGCTAGTGTTTGTTTGGAGGAAAGTGGTACTCTGTTAATGGGCCTCGGGATACTATTCTCCGTCCCTTTATTTTTTCGCAATATATGGCGATGGGATCATTAGGTACCCGTTATCTACTTCTGTACGACTTCATTTAGCGCCTGTTGTTGACGCTAACTTCGAATATTTGCTCCCCCAATTGGAGCTACATCTCTTACACATGTTAGCTTAATATTTACTATGTCAGGTTTACTAATAGTAGTGTTGTTGAAAATAGCGTAGTTCATTTTGTTTGTTATATACTCTATGCTCATGCACAAATTTTCTGCGCTTCATTTACAAATTCTTAGTTAATTGCGTGTGTCAAAACTCTTCATCTCCGCCGTACAAAGTATTATCCTGTGCGACGTCGGTGTTTCTAGTCTATTTAAATCTTCCTGCTGGTTTTCCGTATTTCCTTTTTTTCTGAGATGATCTAGCGTATCGCCCACATATACACCAGCAAGCTGAGTCGTGTAGTTTAGGCAATTTGCGTCCACTAACGTTATGATGAGTTAGACTGAACGTAGAGCTGGTGTTATTTTGCTCTGTCTTAAAGGGTGTATTTTGAGGGGTATTCTGATCTGTCGAGTGTAATGATGACATCGACTTTTTGCTCGAATTATCTTAGAGTATCGATTTAGTTTTATTTGATCCGTTTTATACGAAAGTGTTGTGTGTGATACTTGTACTTGTATCCCTCCGACCACTCATCGGGTTTCTCTATTGATTCTTGAGAGCAATATATATATATAGGTGATACGTATAATGGCATTTTGTGTGCGTGTTATTGGGTGTTCTTATTCATCTGATTACAAATGCGGTTCTGTCTTTTTCTTCACTGTTTCTTTTATTTTTCACTTAGGTTGAAGACACTCATCTTCTGCCCAATAGAATGCATTGCTCCATTTTAGGGCCGGTACTGATGTGCCTTCTTAGCTCTTGTTGCGTGGCAGTACTTGTCGATACGAGTCATAGGCCGGATCAGAACACTGGAGTTTCTGTGTAGCTTTTATAGTCCTAGTTCTACAATTCTTGCCATTAAGAAGATACTGCTCAGTATGCGCAGTCTAAAGGCTATTATATGGTATTTCTGGTCTCTATTTGCATATCTTTGTATTAAGCGTCTTATAGGTATGTAGGAATTAGTTCCTTGTATCTCATTTTGATGACTTACACAACTTCTATATTTATTCATAGATCAAGTACAATACCCTTATAAGAAACATCGATTGTATTTACCAAAAAATAAGAACAAAATTAGAAATGTGGCTGAGTTTCTCGCACACCTTATTCGCTGTACTTTTAGAATCGACAATGTCGTGGTCCCTAAAGTAAGTCGATTGTTAGAGACCCCGACTACTACGATTAGAAACCGATAATCTTTTAATCAGGCCGACCGGTTTTCCCCTGGTTATTGTTCGGCGGTTATGTTTTTGGTCGGTTTTGGCTTATGTTCTTATTCATATCTGTTTTATTCTATTTGTTTACTACTAAGCAATGCAATGTTTCTGCATAGCTGATTGTTTGTTATTTTTTCATTTGCTGCCCGAGTTAATTACGTTTTCCTGACCCCTTAACTAACCTATGACGTCTACGTGGTGGTACGTTGAGTAATGTTCTCGGTTAGTAGCCTCAGCCGCTGTTTCTCCCCTTCCAGTTTCCGTAGTCCCGTTGCATGACTATTACCTAGCGCCTTTATTACCTCTGTAGGTAGTTCATATCTTTAGTTAAAATTACGTAGAGAAGCGAAAGACATACCCCGGAAATTGTATAAATTGTATTAACCCAGTTTTCAGACTCCTGCCTATGTCCTCATAATCTTCGTTATGCTAGTCATGTTAGGTTCGACGGTATCAAGGAGTGTCCGGTTAATTTGTATTTAACTGGTGCTGATACTTGACTCTAAGAATGACCGCATATTGATTACATTCTATCTAGTACCCAAAGATTTCTGGTTCCCTGGTAATATAGCTTTGTCTGGTAATTTGGGGAGCATTTATTGTTACTGTAACCAAAATTATTTACCTCAAATAGCATATTAATTGTCCAAATCAACACAAAGTGAACATTAACGGAACTTAAGAATACGTATATTTCCCTTGAAGTTATTTTATGAAGTTACTTAATAATTTATAATTAATCCTGATAAAAATTTGGCCATAGTCTTGTAGAACTTGGCAACTTAGCACAAGATCTGTCTAACTTTTTTATAGCTGTTGAAACGTTGATCGGGCTAAATGCCATAGATACCTTAATAACAAGCAAATGTAAGCCATCAACCTATTTTTATTAAAATGGCACTTTTTAATCGGGACCAAGTGATGCTTTATTGAGTGGTTTTGTATACCACGGCTGGTTAGCCTCCGGTCTAAATATGTGTAATATCATAGATAAACTTGGGGATCAGGATCTCCTTCAGGTACCTTCTACATACAATATTGGGTACAGAGATTATCTTAATGACTTGGGTCTCTTTTTTGTATTGACTATAGATCGATAAAAGGCGCAGCGTATTAAATTGTGAAATATTAAAATTGGATTATCGTTATTTCTTCATTATCTACTGGCCGCTTAATAATACGCTTTATTTCTTGTCGTGTTGAGGTACAGGTTACTCCCCAACAATGATGGTAAGTAGAACACTGAGAGTGGTCGTTTCTGAAACGTTGCAGTCTTATTAATTTCTTTCAAGAATATCAAGGACATACCTATTTTC